TGAGCGTTGCTCTCGGACGGGAGGAAGGAAGTCAAATGACACCGACGTTTGGTTCAGAGAAAGAGTTTATTCTGCTCTCCGGATAGCAGAAGGCACTGCGTGAATCAGTTCACAGCAAGCACAAAGGCAATAGAAATTGCATACAGTATATATATCCTCCAGGCACCCTCTCCCCCCTTCCCCAGGAATCCAGACACGTCAGCTTATACACCTAAGTTGACATCCATGACCATAAACAGATGTTCCTGTTCTGGTACTCTTGAGCATAAAAGGATGTTCCTGTTCCTGTATTCCTTATCTTGGGGTAAGAAGGTCACCAACTCTAAGAGTACTCCTGGCGCTGTTCCCGGGCATGGGGGCTGACAAGGTCTGTGCGTCAGTGTGGTCAGGATGTAAGTTAAGATGTGCCATCCCTGCTCCACTCGGAACTGACAAGGCCATCCGTCATTACCAGCCTTCATGGACTGATAAGGGAGACGGTTATGTTTGTACAGCTGGGTTCCTGTTATACATGAGCTCAAGTTAATGGTTTTTAGCTAATGCACCCTTGGAGAAGGAGAAACAGGGATTTTGGGGCCCGTTTCAGACTGACTGCACAGTCAGGTTTTAGATTTGGGAAACCCATTCCTTCAAAAGTAGACACAATTGGGTAATCACTTTTGTTGTTTGCATATTTCACCAACGCAGTCCAGATCTGTTAGGGAGGTGCTGGACCTCTCCCTGCACGCAAATCCCTGACACAGAAGCCTAAGGAGGCAGGACAATGTGACGGGAAATAGCCCTGCATGCTTTTACCTAGCAGCAATGACCAGCAATCAATCCAAGGAGCAGGGCTTGCAGGCAACCTTAGCAATAATCAAGCCGTTGAACCCAAAGTCCTAATTAAACTGCTCACAGGGGTTGGCAGATCCAATATTTTGGGGAAACTCCCTAGCAAGACTAGTGTACGAGGGACGCACTAGGCCTGGCAGGTTGGAGCATCAGAATGCGACATGGGGAAACACTAACTGGGATGCTTTCAGACATGGAGCAAAGTGGTTTACCTGTTGTACCGCATTTTTTGCTCTATAAGACTCACTTTTTCCCTCCTAAAATGTGTGTGCGTCTTATGGAGCGAATGCAGGCTGTGCAGCTATCCCAGAAGCCAGGATTGCTGCTTTCACTGTGTAGCGATCCCTCTTGCTGTTCTGGCTTCTGAGATTCAGAATATTTTTTTTCTTCTTTTCCTCCTCCAAAAACTAGTTGCGTCTTGTGGTCTGGTGCGTCTTATAGAGCGAAAAATACGGTTATTCATTCTTCCCTACGAGTCGTGTGAGCATGGTTTAGTAACCTGTGACAGAGCATTCTCCTTACTTTAGCAACTTGCAGTTCTTTAGCTCCTACCATTCTCCGGTGGTGAAAATGCTACAAGTCCCAATGAGTAATATTAGTAAATTTGTAATAATTGCCTGACCATCCCGTGAAGCGCAGGTGCAATATAACTGAAGCATCGTTTCTCCCAAACGTTCTGCTCTCTGATTCTGTGCAGACTAGACCCCACACTTTGTAGGTAAACGTGTCAATATTGTTTGACCTCTTAACGCTCAATGAAATCCGTCTTGTTTCCTGTGAACCATATGATCGGATCACCTGCCTAGGCAGCTTTTTGTTTTCAAAAGAGCATCTCTTTTCGACCCAGTTCTTCCAAATGTTTTATGTGATTAGTGTTTCTCCATTCACACGTAAAACATTTATTGGCTCCGGGGTGCCTTTTGGGTAGGGTGAGCCTTCTTCCAAGTAGCTGTCTAGGGCAGATTAAAGGAGGGGAAACAATCGAAAAATGTGTGTTCGTGTGGTGGGAGCACTCTTGGAAAACAGATAAGATTTTTCTGAAAGATGGCAGACAAATCTTGTAAATAATGAAGTGATTATGAATCAAACTGAGGGGAACTTGTTCATCACCTATCACTAAATGATGTACTGTGGTACCTCGGGTTACATACACTTCAGGTTACATACGCTTCAGGTTACAGACTCCGCTAACCCAGAAATAGTGCTTCAGGTTAAGAACTTTGCTTCAGGATGAGAACAGAAATTGTACTCCGGCGGCGCGGGAGCAGTGGGAGGCCCCATTAGCTAAAGTGGTGCTTCAGGTTAAGAGCAGTTTCGGGTTAAGTACGGACTTCCGGAACGAATTAAGTACGTAACCAGAGGTACCACTGTATGTGTGTACTGCAGATAAAGGGTTTTTCTTTTCAATTGTTAGATGTGCTGTTCACTGTGCCAACAAAAGTTTGCCAAACGGCAGATTAAGGAGTGGCAAACTACCAAGGGCTCCTCAGTCCAAAAGAACAAGTGCGAAAGAGTTTGACAAAAGAACGCAAAATGCTTGTGTTAGTTGGCACCTCTTTTTGAAATGCCTTTCCCCTTTTTTTCTGATTTAGCGCTACAGTGCTAAACCAGCCACAGAGGAAGCCATCTGGATGCTGCCTTATCTCTGAGCGGTTTAATTTAGAACAAGAAGACTGTTCCACAAAGAGGCACTTGAAAACTGCACCTTTTCCTATGTAATTGATTCTCGACTTAACATACCGAAATGAAATTTTCACAAGGGTGTTGCTCTGCTGCAACACAGCTTTGACGGCTATAAATTCACAGCTGAATGCTGGAAAATGGCATCCAATTTTGTCCTTCCTAGTTCTTTATTGTCTTATAAATACTTGGTGGAATTGGATATAACTTTCATGAGAACCAGTAATTAATCTTTTCTAAGACAGGTATAAACAGAACGGTAAAAACTCATTTATTCCAGAAAGGTGGAAATACCTTGCACTTAGTGGACTATGCATGTATAATTTATGCCACATTGATAAATCCTAATAATCATTTAGGGATCCAGTGGATACACAATTTGAACCCAGGTGTATCAGCTGAATTTAATGTTACTATTCCCCCCCCCCGGACGTTCGTTTTCAGGTATTGGATATCTCATGTTTTGACAGCCTACAATTTAGGAGAGTGGGGAATATTACTTTTCCACTATTTCACGTGACAAATAACGACAAAATACAAAAGCATTCTGGAAATATATGCAACATTAAGGAACTCTGCTTGTTAATGTCTCTCCGGAGGAAAAAGATGCATTTGTTTTTCTAAACTCTAAACAGAGAGTTTGGCCTTGTTGTGGCTTTCAATAGGTTTAATGATTGAAATTATAATCCAGGAAGGCTAATGTGTAATATGAGAGGAGTTATTCAGCGGGATGCTATTTCTCTGCATACGTATTTTTACAAAGAGATCATCAGTATTCCAAATGTCATTTATCTTTGTGACAGTAATAGATATTTCACAATTCTTCTTTTAACTACTCTCAACAGTAGCTACATCAATTCATATTCTAGTCAATTTTATGATTATTTTTTAACCCTCCACTGTGCAAAGGTTTTCAAACCTTGGGCATGATCTAGCCAAAGTTAAGCATGGTGAAGTCCTGTTGATTTTAACGAGAGGGTTACAACTCTGCTAGCTACCCATGGAACGTAACACATTATAAAAATAAATTAAAAGCATTGATTCCCACTCTCCCCAGTGGGGCTTGCTTCTAAGTAAGTATGCATAAGATTACCTTTCGTATAGGAGGGACGGGCTGACTTCAGTCTTGTGTGGTCCACTTTATTAATAGAGCCCTTGTGATCCACTGACATGTTTTAAATTAACAAAGTAAGATTGTGTGCTCAGTTAAGGCAAAATCTATGTTATGTATTCCCAAGAGCACTCTTGTTTAAGAACAAGAAAAGTGCTGTTCTGGATCAGACAAAGGCCGACCAAGTCTAGCAGTCTTTTGCTAGAATCCTAGTCTCCCTTCAGAAACTGGTAAGAAGCCCAGAGGCAGCACCTAGCACATTGCGGCTGGTGAATATATGTTTATTAGAAATAATATCTGAAGCAATCATTCCAGTCAAGATTCCAGAGGGGTAGCCGCATTAGTCTGTTGCAAGAACCAATAAGTACTGTGAATAAATCTTTTACCCAGCCATAAATTTTGTGGGTTTCCCCTTTTAAAAATAAAAAAGCTCAGTCAGTACAGCACGAAACTCTTAATCTCAGGGTTGTTGGTTTAAACCTCATGTTGGGCAAAATATTCCTGCACTGCAGGGGGTTGGACTAGATGACCCTCGTGGCCCCTCTACAATTCTATGGTACTATGTACAGTTCTCAAATTAGGATGGCTTATAGATAATAATGCTTTTTGAAAAACAACAACAGCAAGTAAGTAAGTAAGTGACCCATTAAACAATAGATTGGGTTCCAGAAGGCTGTGTGCTGGTTCAAGGCCGTGTGCCAAGGGCGAATAATAATAATAATAATAATAATAATAATAATAATATAAATAATAAATTTTATTTATATCCCGCCCTCCCCAGCTGAAGCCGGGCTCAGAGCGGCTAACATCAAAAATAGCCTAATTTGCAACACATATGCCCTTCGCGACGGCGAAGAAGAATTTCTTCACCGCCTCTATTGCATCTGCAGAAAACAGCAGCAGGAGACTTTTTCAGGTGGTTCACAATTTAGCGGAACCACCTGCAACATCGCGGCCCAGTACGGGCCACATGTTCTCCTGCAATGATTTTGCAAAGTTTTTTGCAGATAAAATCGCTCAGATTCAGGAAGAAGTAGACTCCACCGTGGGAGCAGGGCCGGGGCAGGAGAGTGCTAGAGTTTTGTCTAGTCAAGTTGAGTGGGATCAATTCCAATCTGTTACCTCCGAGGATGTGGACAGGCTGCTTGGACGAGTGAAACCAACCACCTGTCTCCTGGATCCTTGCCCATCCTGGCTTATAAAAGCTAGCCGGGAAGGACTGGGAGATGGGCTTCGCGGGGTGGTGAATGCTTCCCTCCGTGAGGGAGCCTTCCCAGACCCGCTGAAAGAGGCGGTCATTAAACCGCTTCTTAAAAAACCATCTTTAGATGCGGCCACGATGGCCAACTATCGCCCAGTCTCAAATCTTCCATTCTTGGGCAAGGTGATTGAGCGAGCGGTTGCTGAACAACTCCAGGCACGCCTGGAAGAAGCGGACCATTTGGATCCCTTCCAGTCGGGATTCAGGCCTCATCATGGGACTGAAACTGCCTTGGTCGCAATGGTTGATGATCTCCGGCGGGCTAGGGACAAAGGTGAGAGCTGTTTCCTAGTTCTGCTGGATCTCTCAGCGGCGTTTGATACCATCGACCATAACATCCTTCTGGACCATCTTGAGGGGCTGGGAGCTGGGGGCACTGTCATACAGTGGTTCCGCTCCTTCCTCCTGGGCCGTGTTCAGAAAGTGGTGGTGGGGGATGAGTGTTCAGACCCCTGGGCTCTCACTTGTGGGGTGCCTCAGGGTTCTGTCCTCTCCCCCATGCTTTTCAACATTTACATGCAGCCGCTGGGAGAGATCATCAGGAGGTTTGGGCTGGGTGTTCATTAGTATGCGGATGACACCCAGCTCTACCTCTCTTTTAAATCAGAACCAGTGAAGGCGGTGAAGGTCCTGTGTGAGTGTCTGGAGGCAGTTGGAGGATGGATGGCGGCTAACAGATTGAGGTTGAATCCTGACAAGACAGAAGTACTGTTTTTGGGGGACAGGAGGCGGGCTGGTGTGGAGGATTCCCTGGTCCTGAATGGGGTACCTGTGCTCACTGGAAGAACAGATCCTGAAGCTGAGGCTCCAATACTTTGGCCACCTCATGAGAAGAGAAGACTCCCTGGAAAATACCTGGATGTTGGGAAAGATGTAGGGCACAAGGAGAAGGGGACAACAGAGGACAAGATGGTTGGACAGTGTTCTCGAAGCTACCAGCATGAGTTTGACCAAACTGTGGGAGGCAGTGGAAGACAGGAGTGCCTGGCGTGCTCTGGTCCATGGGGTCATGAAGAGTCGGGCACGACTAAACAACTAAACAACATTTGCCTTGTGCAATGGTCAACATTTATTCTCTATTTGAGACCTCAGCGTTTCTGTAACAAAAGAAAATGGAATGTTGTGAAAAACAGATATGGAGGCTGAATTATCATCATCATTATTATTATTATTACTATTATTATTATTATTTTGGGGGCGAGGCAGGGTGAGCTCCCTCACCCCCACCCCCCAGATGGTGGAATTGTGGCATCCAGTTCACCTCCTCTCCAGCCACCACTTTTCCTTTCTCCCCACACAAGGGCATGTGTGGGCATAGGAGACACCCCATCGCATCCCTCACTCCACTCCCCCCAACTCCCCCCCCCTCACCCGCCAAGCCTTTCTCCCCACAGGCTGCCATGACGCGAGATGGGGGGGGGGGAAGAGAAGGGGGGCGGGGCACACGGGGACACCGGAAGCGGCCCGAACGGCGGCCGACCGCGGAAGGCGGGGTTTGCGTGTGAGGGAAGCGGGGAGCATGCGCGCGTGCGCGAGGGAGAGCGCGCGCGAATGAGGGAGGGAGGGAGGGGGAGGAGGAGCAGGAGCAGCCGTTGTGGAAGCCCCCGGCGCCTGCGCAGTGGCGTCCGCCGCTGTTGGCCGGTTGCGCCGCGCCTCCGCCGACGCCTGGCCGGTGGGTGTTTCTCTCACGGCGAGGGGAAAGAGCGTGAGGCGCCGCGGCCGGGGGCCGTCGGAGGGCGTCCGTCGCAAGGGGTGTGTGTGTGGGTGTGGGTGGGGGGTGAGGTGGAGAAGAGAGGGGAGGGGACGGCTGTCCGTCCCCGCGGCTGAGGCGCGGGGTTGAGGGGGGGGGAGGCGAGGGAAGAGGGGCGGGACGGAGCGCGCGAGCATGTGAAGATGGCGGAGCTGCAGATGCTGCTGGAGGAGGAGATCCCCGGGGGGCGCCGGGCCCTCTTCGACAGCTACACCAACCTCGAGCGGGTCGCCGAGTACTGCGAGACCAACTACATACAGGTACGGCGTTACGTGTCAGGGCGGGGGCGCGCCTTTCCCCCAACCGGGTCTGGTCTCCACCACCCCCCCCCCAAAAAAAACCCCCGCCGCCCCTTGCTGAGGGGAAATCTCGGGGCGTCCTACGTTTCGTGCTTCTGGAGGCCTGGAACCCGGGGTGTGGGGGTTGGGCGGTCGTGGGAAAGGGCGACACGCGTGTTGCGGCGGGAGAGGCCGCCTCGGCATATCTTGGGCGCTGGGAGAGATGCTCGCTTTCGCAGGCTCAGCCCCGCGTTGTGTGTGGTTTTTTTAAAACAACAGTGGAGCAAGCCCGTGGACATTTTTTTGGGGGGGAAACCCAGCCAGATGGGCGGGGTATGAATATTTTTATTTATTAGATTTCTGTCCCGCCCTTCATCAAAAAAATATCGGTGCGGTTCACAAGAGAAATAATAATAATACATGGGGACGGGCTCCCTTTTTTGCCCTCCCGGTGACCCTCCCCTGCTGCTCGCGGCTCGCAGAAGCCGTGGGATCGTTCGGATCGTAGATCTGGAAGGGACCACGAGGGTCATCTAGCCCACCCCCCAGCCCCCTGCAGCGCAGGAATCCTTTGCCCAACGTGGGGCTAGAACCCACGACCGTGGGATTAAGAGCTCCGAGGAAACGCTTCTCGTTCTGCAGCGTTGTGTGGAGTGATTTGTGCTCATGCTGCGCTTGTTAAGTGTGTGTGTGTGTGTGAATGCGCACACGATTCTTGGCAGATGCTGCTGTGAAATGATTTGAGAACAGACCTTTTCCCCTTTACAATGTGTCGCTCCTAGATAGGTGGTGGCCAGATGTGCATTCATAAAGGACTGCCTTCTTCCCTCCTCCTCCTCCTCCGCTAAGAATATCACAGTATGCTCGGAATAAAAGGATATTAGTTGATCTTGTAATTCAGACTTCCAAGCCACCAGACTGAGGTGATGATGTTAAGCTGCATCTTCAGGGCTCCTCCTGTGATGTGGTAGTTGAGGTTACTTGCATCTGGGTGGGTTAGCATTTTGGTATTTCTGCTGTGTCTTGGGGAGAAGGAAAAAACCAACTGAGTTTCCTTCTGAATAAACATGCTGCGTGCTGAAATTATACTTGAATATTCAAACAGGCAGTTGGCCTAGCTTAGGTTGCATGCACAATATTTTAGATTGCATCCTCGCCACACCAGCCTTTCATGCACACTTGCAGGAGAGAGGTGATACGGTTAATTCTCATATTATTGCATGGTATGCAGTGTCATTAAAATGTCACATTGATACAATTCAGCAGCTCTCTGCCTGCTGACTGGCATTTTGTCTTTCAAAGATTTTTCAATGAAGCTGCCATGTCAATGACTGCATAGTGAAAAGATGCTGAGGAAAAACAAGGCAAATGAGTAGTAGATCTCCAAAGGCACAGGGATGGGTGCATATGTGTAAGTTCTAAATATAAATAATGGCATAATGATAAATAATGGCATAATGACAGCTTGTCTTCCACGCATTGCTGATTAAAAGGGAAATCGGATATGGCTAACAACTGAATGCAGGTGATTTTGCTTCAAGTGGGCATTGTGAAGCTGCATCTGTTGCTTCAGTACATGCCTAGGTTTTATTCACGTACCTTTTATCTTATTATTGAAGTCTGCGTTGCCTTCCAACTCGTTCTAATGAATCGAAGCTTTCTGGGCTTTATGTAAAGGAATGGTTAAAGAAAAGAAAGGCAAATTTATTTTCTCTTGGCATAGTCAGGGCACTTTACAACAAGTGAATTCTGCAACCTGTTTTTGATTTGAAAAATAACATAGCTTGGGGCATGTAAGGGTTGTGAAATCTTGGAATTTGTTTCCTTATAAGTGTATCCATTATGTAAGTATAGCAAGTTCTCGAGGAGAGACCAAGAAACAGTAAAAGACATTTATAGAATGTTTCTCTGTATCTTCTAACATATTATTTGAAGAACAAGGGAAGGGTGGAGCATTTACAATGCCACAATGAGAATATGCCATAGCTGTCAATTTACAGATTTGAAAATAAGGGAGCAGCAGCCTAGAAAATAAGGGACCAGCAGCCAAAATAAGGGACCTGCAGCCTCACCTGTTCCAGGCACTCCAGTCTTCCTGTCCTCCTGCAGTCTGGTCAAACTCATGCTGGTAGCTTCGAGAACACTGTCCAACCAACTTCGTAACCAGAGGTTCAACTGAATAGAATCTGAATCACATGCACCACAAGGCCTATGCAGCCTCAGCTTAAGATGGCTCCCCGGCCTGGCTTTGCACTGCAAAGTTTGCAGCAGCACGTGCAACAAAATGGCATCCAGCATTCAAAAGCCCCCTCAGCTTGCATTAACTAGCCACACACAAGCTCCACATGCAAGCTCCACCCCCAGTCATTCTTAGACTTCTTATTGGGTGAGCAACACAGCCAAGCAACACAGTTGGAGCCTCCCTCCTCCTGGCCGGCAGGGAGAGGAGCTGCTTCCTTTGAAATTTAAGGGACATCATTTAAGGGACATCTATCAATAAGGGACAGCAGTGGGACATGGCGCTGGAATAAGGGACTGACCCTTCAAATAAGGGACACTTGACAGCTATGGAATATGCATTGATTCATTTGCATTATTTGAATGACCAGACCTATTAATTGGGTTATCTTTGTGTGTTCAGAGAGCTTTTGTAGTTGATCTGCCTTGGTGCATGTACCATGGTTTCACCATGGTGTCCTTTATGCGTAATAGCTAATGGTCTGAACTAAGCAAAAGTTTTTCTTCTATAGCACAGGATGAATGAGATCTTTTTTGCCATGTTGCATCATGGTGGGAACGGGTAGGCTTGCAGGATTTTTTGCTTTTAGTTTTAATAATAACGATGGAAAATATTCTGGCATTTGACCTGGAGATGATTGAATTTCTGATCAGGTTTTGCTGAAATGGTGGTGTGATGTGGCGAGAGCAATTATCATCGCCCCCTGATATCATAGCCTTGGAGAATTTTACTGAGGCTTGCAGAAGGTTAAAGAAGTATTGTTTGCAGAGGAACATAGAGTCTGATATAATGATAGAAATTTTAGCCAACTGTGCAGATCAAAGCTTTCTCTTCATATAGTTCTGGTAACAATACTTCTTGAGCTGAGATATTTTTCTGTCAGATTTTTGATACTTGTTATATTACATGATGTAAAGTGGGTAACTAATAAGGACCAGAGTGGAAGATAGATCTTGCTCAGTTCACATGTAATTCTAAGCCAAAACATGGATAAAAGATTGTGATACTCCTGCTACTGCAAGCTAAGCCATGATTTGACTTACGTTGTCCAAACCCACGGTCATGCTTTGTTTTCTTCAAACCAACCACAAGCTGTAAACAAAGAACAAAGCTTGGCTACCGCTTGTGGAGTGAAATAAATCGCAAGCCCAAATTCTGATAACACTCGATTAAGTCCAACCATAGTTTACCTTATAGCAGCACAGCAGCAACAGGACTGAAGAAGGAACAAAGCGGCTGCAGTCTCATCTCCATGACTCCACATGCCTGCACATTTGGGCTAACCTATAGTTTGGCTTAGTGTTACATTTGAACTGGGTCATTGTGAAGTTGGAAAATGACTCAGAATCTGCTAGTTTTCAGAATGGCAGTTTCCAGTGGAAAACAAGGTAAGGCTGGACCACTGAAAACTAGTTTTCCTCCCAGGAATTCCTGGAAAAATGAGAACTTCAAAATCACTTAAAAACCCCACTTTGCAACCGTAGTTTTTGCTGTGATATGGGCCTAATTTTTTAAAGAAAGCAAGACTAAAATAACCTGGATGTGTCTTTAGCCCATGTATATTGTTTTGAGTGCAACTTAACTAAGCAAAAAAGGGAATTTACAGATGCAGAAATTAGATTTCCATTTAATTGGAACAGATGTCCTCTGTTGTGCAAACTGTTCTCAGATATGTTGGCTTAATTCTCTGTGTGTTTACTCTGAAGTAAGGATCACAGTGTTTAGTGGGGGTTACTTTTAGGTAAGTATGCATGGTATTTGTAGCCTGAGTGAGTACTGAAAGGATCTTCAGCACTTGCACCAATTTTTGAAGAGTTAATGTATGTGTTGAAGTGAGCCTGCTGCTTCTAAATGACATTTTATACTCCCACATAAGTATATGCATGCACTGCTTTTTCATTTGCAACATATGCAAGTAGAAACATGGTCTTTTCTGCTCTACTCATGCATATTTTTAAAGGAAAAGGGGGTGATTTATACACGTGTGCACCCTTCATATCCGAAGTGCAATGCATGTATTTTTACAGAATATTATAAAGAAGCAGCCTAACACAGATAGGTGAAGTGGGATGTGAAGGCAGCTTGTATGAGCCAGCGATTTGCAAAATGCAGATATAAGAAGAGGCTGTAACTACAGAGGATTCTTGCTAAGCATATATGGGGTACTAGAATTCTGAAAATGACATTGTGGATAGTACTACACTGAAAAGTAGCAAATCGAACAATGTTTCTCACTTAATATTTTATGATTTCTTGAAGAAATATGTATACACATGCAGGTGTTGAGTGTTCAGTATTGAAGTTAGTGTATCAGAATTTATCCCAGAACCTTACTTTGTAAATGGTTACAGTTCAGAATCTGCTTTTTTATACAGTCATAGGCCATACAGTCATACCTCGGGTTACAGACGCCTTAGGTTGCGTGTTTTCAGGTTGTGCACCGTGCCGAACCCGGAAGTACTGGAACAGGTTACTTCTGGGTTTTGGCGCTTGTGCATGTGCAGAAGTGCCAAATCGCGACCCGCACGTGCGCAGACGCTGCGCTGTGGGTTGTGAACGTGCCTCCCGCACGTATCACGTTCGCAACCCGAGCATCCACTGTATTTGGACGTTATTCTAAGTCATAGTTTAGCACAAGTGTTGCTGTCTTTCTTGCGTTTGTTTGCAATTTTGAAAGACTTCTGGGGACACCACGCTTTTGGTTGCTTCTTTCCCCCATGTATCAGTCAGTTTGCATGTGCAAACTCTTTCTCTGTTTTCCATAGAGTTTGGGTAAAAGTCAGATGCAGTAGAATTAAAAATTCTCTTGAATTCTTATTTTCAGCATGGAAGCCAATGGAAACAAATGTGATCTGTACTGGGCGGGGGACCTGTGGGGGGGGGGGAACCAATTTCAAGAGGATCTGCTCTATTGGTTCTAGTGGCTTTCAATATCAATAAGTCTACTGACTGAGTAAAACTTAGTTGAATGCATTTGCATGTTTCCCTTTTCACTGTACAATCAATCACTCATGACTATCCCTGGATTTTCAGGGAAAAACATTGTGAAGGGCTGTGTATACTCATTCAGCCAACAATATTTATGTATGGCTTAACTTAAACCTACTCATGTTTCCTCATGAGAGCTCAAACACAGCTGTTTGTAGGGGTTGGGGAAAAGTAGGTTTCATGAAGCAGGGAGTGTGTGTGTGTGTGTGTGTGTGTATGTGTGTATTTCCTCTGAGGTAGGTGAATCCTAGGCAGTGGGAGGGTCGAGGATGCTAGTGGGCATGATGTACAGGGCCATTAATGTACATTCATACATACAGTTGTACCTTGGAAGTCAAATGGAATCTGTTCCAGAAATCCATTCAACTTCCAAAATGTTCGGAAACCAAACCTTCTGATTGGCTGCAGGAAGCCGCGGAAGCTGCACCAGATGTTCGGCTTCCGAAAATCTTTTGAAAACTGTAACACTCACTTCTGGGTTTCGATCGTTCGGGAGCCGATTTGTTTGGGAGCCAAGGCGTTTGAGTTCCAAGGTACTACTGTACTTATTGTCTCTCTCCCTCACACATTTATTTGAAGGGGATAAATGCATTTGTGGACATCCTCTGCAACATAAGATACAAGCAGCTGGCTTATTATCTTCTTACCTAAATAAAGATTTTTTTTTTTAAGCTATGCTGGGAAAGAAGCGCAACTTTTAATCTTCATGATTACCTTCATAGCTGAATGCAAAACAATGTAACTACACTTGCATGTTGGTAATCTGACAAGAGCATAGTGTTGTCCTGAAATAAACAGTGTGATTTTTGTACTCTGCCATTTGGTTATATATAAACTCTGCGTGAGGGAAGGAAAGTCTCAGCACTTTTCCCAGTGCCTTTTTTATTTGTTCTCTCTCCTGTATGATGGGTTGGAAGTTTTTACTTTGCCACACAAGTTAAAAAGGAATACAGTATGTTGGTGGGAGAACTGATTCTTGGAATGCAACAGGGCTCCACTTGGTATTTGGGAGCTACCGTAGTCCTCCTGAAATAGTGGTTTTACTAAGGAAGATCTGATAGTTTTTAATTAATAAGTACTTCTGTTTGTTCATTCCTTGAGGTCAGAGCATGCCACATTACTACTGCACAAGGAAATTGAGTAATCTTGAGAGATTCTCCCAGTTAAGGATGCTTTGGGATGAAATGTCTTCTCCTGCTGGGCAAGACTGCTTTTTTCCAGCGCTTTATTGTCTCTGGCCATCTGCAGAGATAGCTGACTCAGTATTACAGAGGGGAACAGGTCTAACCTTGCCTGTGGAATAAATTCCTTTAGGAAAGGAAAAGGATTGCAATCAAGAGCAATAGGGGGGTATATAAGTTCTAAATTTATAAAACAGAATAAATAGCTCAAAGTAGTATTGATGAGACGACTCGTGATGTAACACAGTGATGCTACAGAAACCAAGAGACAACTGTAATATTCACCATCTTTCTTGCACTGAGGCAACCAGTGCTCTTTTGCTAGATAAAGAGGTGCTGGAACTTACCATGAATGTCTCCCTCTTTCTCTTAGAATGGCAATGGCACCCTCCTGAGAGGTGCTGGAACTCTCCTGAGAGGTACCAGAACTGAGTTCCTGTGAGTTCCCCCTGAAAAAAGCACTGGAGATGACCAAAGTTATCACAGTGGTTAAGGCTGGGGATTTCTCAGGAATTTGGGCTCTCTTTACTGCTGGCAATATTTGAGTTATGATGTCCTTGTGATTTCTATACAGTGGAACCTCGTGTTACGTACAGCCCTCCTTACGAATGATTTGGGTTACGAGCTCTGCTAACCCGGAAGTAGATGCTTCCGGTTGCGAACTTTGCCCCGGGATGCGGGCGGAAGTCGCTCGCTGCCGGCGCAGCAGCAGCATGAGGCGCTATTAGCGAAAGTGAGCCTCATGTTAAGAACGGTTTCGGGTTACAAATGGACCTCTGGAATGAATTAAGTTCGTACCTGTAGGTACTACTGTACTGGAAAAGTCTAAAACAGAGATGAGGAACCTGTGTCCCTCCATATGTTGATGGACTCTAACAAAATCTGGAGGGTCACAGGTTCTTTATCCCTGGTCTAAAGTAAGGGTTAGAAGGGATGAGCAGAAAGCTTGATGCTATGCCGCCCTAGAATCTAGACAGAAACCACATCGATAGAAATTCCTTCCCTGCAGACAATTGTGTAACTTCCTCATGTACTTTGTTATATGTGACAAACACAGGTGTATTTATTTCTTCTGGGTAGAAGTTGGTGGCAAGCTGTATTTGTTAGTTGCCTACCATACCACATTTGCACCTTGTGAGATTACAAATGTGACTATCTCACACCGGATGAATAATTCACACAGTTCTATAGAAGAGGCTTCCATCTAGGAAATGTCATCTTGTGAGAAACAGCCCTGGAAAAGGGTGGGGAAACATTATCATTAAAGAGATTTAAGGATGCAGGGGGAAAAAAATCAGATTGAAATGGATTTAAGACATGTAAATACTTCAAGCATCTAATGCTTTAAGCACATACTGGACAGATTTAAAAGGCATTAGTGGTCTAATTGGGATACTTCAAAACTAATGTTCCTGCTTTTTAAAAACAAGCAAACAAACAAACAAACAAACTTGCTAATGTCAAAGATTTGTGTGCAGTAAAAATCAGTGTGCGCACCTAGACTAAACATATTCCAACTGACATATGAAATTGCTGAATGTGTGAAATACATACATAGAAAATACCCTGATGTGCAATTTTTTGAGACAGTACTTAGATTAAAATCTAAATTTAAGTACTACAGTTTATTTGTGATGTATTAAATTGATAATAGTGGACATCTAGACACTTGAATCTGTTTTTTATGAATAAACTGAATCAGGGGACTGATTTCATTTTCTTAGGGGCTAGACTACATTGGCATTGTCTAAAAAGGCACAAGGGATATGCAGTCTATGACCCAAGGCTGCTTGACTTGTCATGATGCCCTTTTCACTGAAGCACACACACACAGACAGGCTTGGTTTAGAATAGTACAAATGAAATGTGATTAGCTTTATATAGATGGTAACATTGTGGAGGAGACAGTACATATTTCCTCATTGTTTCTGGCATGAGGAAAGACCAGCACTAGCTGGGAAGCTCAGGAAAGTATCATTACCCTCTGCAGAACTTCCCATGTGCTGTTGTCTGCCTCTTTTGGAGGAGCGAGTTTGGAGCCACCTATGAACCACCTAGTGTGGTGGGAAGACCCAGCTTTCTCTGAACTGTGTTTAAGCCAGGCTGCTGAGCCCCTTGGAATACAGCAAGATGAGCATGGCTCACATTTTAATTTAATTTAGTTTAGCTTTTGTTGCTTAACTTTGGTTTTGCTTTATGTATTATTTCATTCTGCTAATGAACTTATCATACGTTTGTTGAGTTACTTTTGTTTTATTTGACATTACTGAAAGGTTTTGCAACTTTTTTCCCCAAATATTTTGATAATTAGTTGATGGTTGGGAGATGCTTTGAGCATAGGAAGAGTCTGCTGGGCCTAGCATCCTGTTCTCACAGTTGCCAGCCCAATGGCAATGGGAAGGCCAAAAGCAAACCCTGAGTGCAACACCACTTTTGTGATTCCCAGCAACTGGTATACTGCCTCCAACAGTGGAGGTAGAAACAACATAGCCATCATGGGCACAATTTCCTGTGGAGAAGTGACATACAGTGGTACCTTGGAAGTTGAACGGAATCTGTTCCGGAAGTCCATTCGACTTCCAAAATGTTCAGAAACCGCAGAAGTTGCATTGGACGTTTGGGTTCCAATGAACGTTCGCAAACCGGAACACTCACTTCCGAGTTTGTGGTGTTTGGGAGCCAAAACATTCGACTTTCAAGGTGTTCATGAACCAGGGTACGACTGCATATCTGAACTTAAACTAGTAGGCTGCTTTCAAGTACTATACATGAATTGACTTTAAATACTAAGCTTATACTATTGAGGTTGCAGGATAGTTTATACTTATGGTTAGCAACCTATTCTTGAGCAAGACATGAATTTACCAATGAATTTACCAATTAAAGCACAGTTTAGAAGTCAAGAAACAATTTCTTCTACTAATTCTACTAAATTCAATGGTTTCTCAGGAAACACTCCAGTTTCTCAGCCAGTAGTCTAAATAAGACTATTGCCTGAACTGTCTCGGGCAGAATGTCCCAAATGCCAGTTTTTGGAAATCACAAATGGATAGAGTGCTGTTGCACTCATCTCTTGCTTGTGTACAGGATTCTGGACTAGATCAACCACTGGCTTGATACACTAGGCTCTTCCTATGTTCTTATGTTAGGATAGTAGCTTTGGCAAGAACAGCTAAAATAATCTCTTGCCATGCTCCTTGTGTATATGATGTAATCTCCAATTTAGTAAATTTGATTTATTGGAAGTAATAGATTCTGCATACTTGACAGAAATTTCCATCATCTGTTAGTCTTTCATCAAGGAAGATGAGTAGAATTTCTGACTTCTAAGTATAGAAGATCATAAACTTTTAAGATAAAATATGAATATATGACAGTGGGATATAAATCCATAATGCTACAAAAATAACTGCAACTTAACCTATGCTCTTGCTTTGCATCCTGATTTTTTACTATTCATTTTTAAATTAATCCATAATGCTTAGGAGGCTTCTGAATATCAAATTACAGTAAATTTGCCTTTTTGCAATTGAAAATAGAATGAACAGGGTAGGTGTCTATCTCTATTGGTGTTGATATTTATATTTCATATGACTAAATGTATTTGACTGTCTCTTTTGGCTGCTGTTGGAAATGTAACATGTTGGTTCTCAAATTATGCTACTATATAGTTGTTTTGCACGGCTGTTTAATACTGATTTATGACAATACTATTTTAAAAATAATTGTTCAGATACTAACTTTTTATTTGGAGCATCAGTACTCTGAATTCTATTCAGTTGCTTATGTTGTAGGAGTTGTGCCTGCAACACATGTTAATCTCTGTGGCTAATTTCTTTTGGTTTTTAGACAGGAAGTGGCTCACCACTGTGGTGAATATTTAGTTGCAGCCTGTGCCTAGACTTGAGTTAGGTGACAAACTCAAATGTTCTTCAAAAGTCAGTACAGTTCAGCTGAAAATGTAGAGTCTAGCTTCCTTATTGAATATACGTATAAAATAACAGAAAAGTACAGTTAAAATAACAGTACAATACTTAATAAATAATAATACTGTAGATGAAAATTAATTGAGCCTAATTGGCCAAAGATCTAAAACGCTTAAAAAGTAGGTAGTAAGTAGATGAATGGACTTAATTGTCAACACAGCCTGTAAATTAGGTATTAGTGGAAGTTTTGAAGGAGCCAGTATTTGTCTGTTCAGGGGCTAGTTCTCCATGGCAATCTCTTAGTGTTGACTAATTATTTGGGCCTTTGATACTGCAACAAAAGCATATTGCTATAAATATAAACCATTAGAGCATGGATAGGCAAACTAAGGCCCCGGGGGCCGGATCCTGCCCAATCGCCTTCTAAACCCGGCCCTCGGACGGTCCGGGAATTAGCGTGTTTTGACATGAGTAGAAATGTTGAGTAGAAAATGCATCTCTGGGTTATTTGTGGGGCCTGCCTGGTGTTTTTACATGAGTAGAATGTGTGCTTTTATTTAAAATGCATCTCTGGGTTATTTGTGGGGCATAGGAATTCGTTCATTTATTTATTTTTCCAAAATATAGTCCAGCCCCCCACAGGGTCTGAGGGACAGTGGACTAGCCCCCTGTTGAAAAAGTTTGCTGACCCCTGATGTAGAGCTTCACGTTTGGGTTGTCGTAGTCATTGATAGGACATTGAGCGGGAATTGAGCTTCCATTTGTCCAGCGCTGCCTTAACATAAGCACTCCAAAACAGGAGTGTAATAAAAATGGTTTCTGTTGTGGTTTGCACAGAAACTTGAAATAAGTGCTGGTGGTTTGCTGATTGCATACTTGGACTTCATTACTATGAGGGATCTTTTAAAACAATGTTAAAGCATATGTGTTTGATGTTTCCTAGTTGAATTCTGTCATGGTTAAAGACTTCTCTTTCCCCTAATGTGCCGTAATTAAAACTTGTGGTTACATAAAAGTTTTGTCAGACAAGAGTGTTTCCATTACCTCTGCAAATCTAGCAGTGGGAGAGGAATATTCCAGCAACATTGTAGAATATGTGTGATAGAATTTGTAGACAAGTTGATTTGCTCCTATTAAAATATAGGTGCTGAGTATGGTTTCCCCCTCTCTTTAGGGCGGGGGTTATTGGGTTGTTTTTATTTTGATTATATATTTTTATTTTGTTCTGTGAACTGCCCTGAGACCTCCGGGTATAGGGCGGTATATAAAATCAATCAATTAATAATAATAATAATAATAATTTTAAGACACAACACCCTCATGTTTTTCAGTGCCTCTTAACATCTAATATCCCTAGACTATTAAACTGAAAATTACTTTCTTAATTCACACATGTGTTACTTTAGATGATGTAAGTTAGTTGTGTTATTAGAATTTTGAAAAGGAAAGAGTATTAATCTGGAGAGAGTCTTAATTTCCTAGAGCAGACTTGTAAATAGCTAAGTGCTTGGATGCCTGTGGCAAGTGAAATTTGTCTGCATGACGTATGATGAGTTTGAATTTCTTCTAGTCATAAAAAGGCACTAGCTGTCTCTTCTTCTCTCTCTTTCTGGAAGACCATCAGCTCTGAAGAATATCAGACCCTGTTCACCATTGGGGGAGTGGGGGCTTGGACTGTGTATATATGCAGCCTCTGTAGAAGAATTCAAATCCCTGTTGAGTTTACATTGTACATCTCTCTCCCACTCTCTGTGATGTGCAACTAAGTTGTGGTCGCTGCCTGATTTGTCCCACTTAGGATTGCGTGTTTGTGTCCCATCGTTCAGCCTGGACACTGAGGTCCAGCTCTGAGGGCCTTCTGGCGGTTCCCTCACTGTGAGAGGTGAGGTTACAGGGAACCTGTAAAGAGGGCCTTCTCAGTAGCAGTGCCTGCCCTGCAGAACACCCTCCCATCAGATGTCAAGGAAGTAAACAACTATCTGACTTTTAGAAGACATCTGAAGGCAACCCTGTATTGGGAAATTTTTAATGTCTAATGTTTGGCAATTTCTATGTGCTGTAAGCCACCCAGAGTGGCTGGAGAAACCCAACCAGATGGGCGGGGAATAATAATAATAATAATAAGAAGAAGAAGAAGTTTTCCCCACCCAGAGTTTCTCCATTATAACCTTTGCATTCAGACTTGGACTCTTCTGTAACAGTTCCAACTATTGCTTAATAATATTTTTTCAGCAGTCCTGTCCCCATCCCCCTAGACCAGATGGCTGCTTGGGATAAACCATCTACTTGGCTGAGATTACACCTGTCTGCTATCATTGGTTGTATTGTGAACACTGCTCACTTCAAAGAGATTGTGCAGTCATTTTTCCCAGGTCAAGCAAACTGGGTAGCACCCTAGATAGCTCCACGTGGCACCTAGGCAGGAAGCCAAACAAGGCAAACTTAAATGTTTTAACACCAGCAACTGAGCCTTAAATGGGAATGCACATTCCTCTAAGTAGCTAGCTCCACTCATGATGAGTGGAGCCTCTGTTCTTAAAGGAATGTAGAGGAGGCCAGGGTTCTTTTGTGGCCTCTGAGCTGAAGTTACTGGAATCTGAGGACGGCTATGTGCCTTTTCCAGGCACTAAAGGCCGTGGCATAATGTAACCCTCCTGCAAAGGCATGTATGTCAAAGACTGGTTCTATAGGTGAATCCTTTTCCCGGTCCATCATGTCCTCTGTATCCATGGTCTTTCCCCCCTGAGAATGTGGCCATTAGAGCTGTCAGCAATGCCGACTGCATTAAGAATTTTTGTTTGGAATAAAACAGCATTGCATACTGACTCTCACAGTCCATTGATGGTCTTAAAGTCATTTACCTTATTTATGATTTTTGTTCTTTAGTTGTTGGGGGCACTTCAGTCCCACACTTTCAGGTTTTGTTGGATACCCAGGTGTGTTGGCATCAGGGGCAATGAACTAGTTGACCAGGCTGCCAAGATGGCGAGCTGCCTTGCTTTAAATCATAAAAATGTACCACCAAGAGACTTTACTTGTACAGTATTCATCCATTCACGGCATTTGTATCTTTTTTCACCACCTCCCATTTTTAAGTCCAACATGAAAGACTGGTGGCAAGAGCTGTGGGAAGGCCAGACAAACTGTAAGTTTTGAAAGCTGAAACCTGTACTTCAGTTGTGGTTAGCCACCTTACTTAAGAGCTGAAGGAAGAAAGTTGTCTTGACAGCACCAGGTTTGAGGGCTGCCAGACTGCTCCTCCAAATGCCACCTGGATGGTCCTTAGGCAGCATGGTGGAGGCAAACAGCAGTGGGGGAAGTGGAAGAGAGAGGCATTAGACACCCAGAAGCACAAGGGGGGGGTGGAGACAGCTCAAAATAGTACTGTAAATTGATTTTTTCAAAATAGCCAAATACACTTTTAGCATAGTTAAATGCCAGGCTTTTTTGGTAAGACGTTCAGGTCTCTTTCTGGATCTCTCTTGAGCGTTCTAGCCTTTACCTGGAAAACAGAGAGAGCCAGGCAGGGCAACTGTTGCATGTAGCTTTCCATGCCTTCTCAGGCCTAAAAGGGTAAGGGCTTAGGCACTATGAAGTGCCTTGACGGTTCAGCTGCACTCACTTCATTCTTGTGAAAGATGCAAAGGGAAGAAGAGAAGGAGGAGGGGTTGCAACTTAGGCAAGTGGGATGGGTGATGGGTGAGCATTGCCTCAAATCTTATTTGCAACGCTGCAGATACACTCTGATGCTAACATACCATGGCATTTCATGGGTTTTCAGCTGGGGCACTTTTGTCTAGTGTCACAAATAGAGTGGTGGTGCTATTAGTAAAACAAATCCCTGTCTAAAGAAAAGGCTTCATTGTGCAGCTATTTCATTGAACTGGAGCTGTCTTTGTTCACACAGAGAAAAACTTGTAAACACCGATTTAAAATACCTCAGTGGACAATTTAAGAACAAATTGTTTCCAAGCATGGAAGAATGTATTCCCATGTAAAATCGTACTTGTCAGAATTTGACCTGCTTTTATTCTTAAATTCTACGCTAGACAGTTTCTGTTTGTAGTCCTATTAGTAAGAACAGAAAATTCACTTGCTAAAGGTTTCTGTTGGATTGATCCTTGCCCATCTTAAAGTTTAGGACAACTTTTGTACACTCTTGGGTGAGTTGGTGTTTGGCAAATAGTGCAGTTTCTTTAAGGGAAATGAAGGTCAGTTTGCCTGGGGAAAAGTCAAATAGGTTTTTAGGAGCTTTTCAGAAAAAGTGACAGAAGCATGGTAGTGAATAGTTGACTTGAATGAGAATGTAGAAAGTGGAGAAACCCAGAGATCAGGAATGGGGTGGGCAGATGAGTCATGATAATAGGTAGTGATTGAAGGGTCCCAAGAGAATGGCGAGTGTTGAGACAGAAGGGGTTGCAGTATGTGGGGGTTATGTGGAAAAAGCATTGAGGAGCTGGGAAAATTAAGGAGATGTTGCATGCACTAAAAGGTGGCCTAACAGTGATTCTTATAAATAAATTAGAAGTGTTGAAGAAGCCTACATGTAAAGTATATAATAAAATCAAATCCGGCATGACTATCAACTGCTTTTAACCTTTCCTGATGTGTGAACAGTTATTGCCTGTTACTGGTTTCTGCATAAAAGGCAGAACCATTTATAACCTTTAACTTATTTATTTTAAAAATACTGTGTAAGCTTCAGTCAATCTTGCACGCAGTGAAACTGGGTATTCTATTGCGTGACATTCACATTGCCCACACTTTTCTCTAATTCATTCAGGTTTTTTTAATGAGTGCTCTGAAATGCTGACTTGTTACAATTGTTCTTAATGGCTAATAGCCTACTTCTCTGCTCCTTTAGGACACCCATTCGTGAATGCTTTCTTCGTCCAATCCAGCCCTCTCTCTCTGTAGAACTCTGTTGTGCTATAGTGGAGGTGAAGCTCTGTTTTGAAGTGGGATGAATTGATGTTACTTTGCCACAAAACTAGAGCTATAGGGCAGTTTTCCTATAGGGTTGTAGTCTCTGATCTTCAGTGGTAGTGTAGCAGATTGAGCCCCTTATAATCACCGCTACAGGCCTAAAGTGAAAATGACATATAAATGTGAGGTGTGGAATCTCCGTTACACATTAAATTTATTGCAGATGAGTGAATTGTGGGTGAACTACTACCTTAGCCCCAACCTCTGCTAAACGTTCCAGACCTGAGCTGCATTGTGTGGCTGTTGTAGCTCGGGTGCTAGTGAGTGAGATTTTCCTGCCTTTCCTCTGAGATCCTCGAAGGGGAGAAATTTGTTCAAACTGTCAACATGGCTCAGAGAGCTTACAAGGCCACAGACATGGCACTTCATTTATGAGGGCATGGCATTTATTTTTGCTCCCTCTGGTGAGCCCATGTTTAAATGTTATATACAGTATCTTGGTACGGAGAAACTTTCATTTTGAGAGTGGTCCCATTTTGCTTCCAAACCAGTTGGCATGGGGCACACATTCTGGTGTTGGAAGAAACAAAATGTAGCAGTGTATCACCACCACTCCTAAGCCAGGGGTCACCAGTGTTGTGCTTGCAGGCACATATGTGCATGTAAGTCTCTGGTACCCACAGGGTTTCCCAGTGCCCCCACCCCCGAATTGTGCTGGAACATGAATCCATTATTGCAGCAGGCAAAACTGGAACAATGCTGCTGAATGGTTATCTGAGAACGCCCTGGAGTTGGCAAAATGAACACTCTTTTTTTTTGTGGATACAATTTTTACTAAATTTTCTGTTTTACAATTTCAGATAAACATTTTACATCCTTAAGATATCAGTGACTTCCCTTCTTCTCTTTCCATGGTTCATTTTGCATATCTTTTATCCCTGAATATTTTACAAAAAAACTATACCAATCGGTTTTCCATTATTACATCCATCAAAACTTATTTACACTGTTGAATTTATCTTAATGCTGCCAGCGTTTTCAGCTGCACACAATTATTTTCCATATACTGTATTCAATAAACATTTTCCAGTCTTCTTTAAACATATGTTCTTGTTCTCTTATTCTATATGTTAAGTCTGCAAGTTGTGCATATTCTGTCAACTTAAGTTGCCAAGCTTTTTTGGTTGGGACCTTGCTCATTTTCCATTTGGGGGCTAACAAAACACGGGCCACAGTTGTTGCATACATAAATCACCTTTTCTGACACCTGGGAATTTCAGTCTGAGTTATTCCCAACAGAAAGGACTCTGTTTTTTTTTGCGGGGGGGGGGGGAGTAATTTCAAACATTTTTTTCAATTCTTTATGAATCATTTCCCCATGTTCTTCTACCCTTTTACATGTCCAAGCAAAGTGAAAAGTATTAACGTGGGTGGCGCTGTGGGTAAAACCTCAGCGCCTAGGACTTGCTGATCGCATGGTCAGCGGTTCGAATCCCCGCGGCGGGGTGCGCTCCCGTTGCTCGGTCCCAGCGCCTGCCAACCTAGCAGTTCGAAAGCACCCCCGGGTGCAAGTAGATAAATAGGGACCGCTTACTAGCGGGAAGGTAAACGGCGTTTCCGTGCGCTGCGCTGGCTCGCCGGAGCAGCTTCGTCACGCTGGCCATGTGACCCGGAAGGGTCTGCGGACAGCGCTGGCTCCCGGCCTCTAGAGTGAGATGAGCGCACAACCCTAGAGTCTGTCAAGACTGGCCCGTACGGGCAGGGGTACCTTTACCTTTACCTAACCTTGTTATAGGCATGACAATGTGTTTGTAAGTGCTTGGTCATCTTTGCAATAAAACTTGTTCCATGGTGCTTTATAGCTTCCGGCTCCTCTGGGAACAAGTTGCTTTGCAGCACTGGAGAGGACACGTAGCAGGAGTGATTGCATCAATAGCCCCACACATTTCACTGTTCCAAAATGAGGCTAGGGCCATGACACAATCCTAAGCCTTGTCAACCATAAAATATCCTAGCGCATTAAAGGATCTGTTGATAAGCAATAGCAAAATTGTAAAGAGATGGGATTGCAATTATTTGCCTCACTTTGACAAAGTTAACGGGTTAAAGCAGGGGCATTAAGGAAAATGGGCTGTAGCCCCTCAAAACAAATGCCTGTTATTAAGATGGCTGCAGAATACAGTTTCAGTTGCATCTGATGAACTTGGTGCTTTAGAAACAGATAACCAGATGGTCAGCTTTTCTGTTTTCATCCAAATGGACTCTGACTGTTTTCACGCTGAATCATATTTCTGCTGTTGCCAAAACTGATTTCACTGGTTACTTTAAAAAGCGAATTACTAGCTTTGAGTTGAAAGATGACTACACGTTTGGCTTGCCGTTGACTCTAGAAATGCTGCTCTTGCTAAAAATGTTGGAGTGCTGATTTATTGACTGCATCCACTTGGCACTGGTTGGAATAATAGATACGGGAAGGGAGGATGTAACCTTTGCAAGTTTTGAAGATTATGTCTTTCTTAGCTGGTGTTCCCTTAAGTTGTAAGTTTTGAATAGCTCACAGCTTCTTTCCCCTCATATTTTCTTTTCTGTTACTTGAAGCAGAAAAAACCATGTCATGAGGCACATGGCTAGTCATGAGATACATAGTACAAAGAGGAGGATGTTCTCCTGCCAGCTATATAGGGGAATATGTGACACTTCAGATGCTCTTGGACTTCAGCTCTTAGCAGCCTTAGCCCCGTGAACTATAAACTTTGTATGTTTTATTTAGTCTTTGAATTGTTGCTTGATTTGAATACAGGACATTGGGGAGATTTAGTTAGATGCAGCAAACTGGCTATCGGGCATCCGTTAAATATTTCACTTGGTACAGGGTGACCTGGCATAATGCTAAGCATAATGCTACATAATACGCTACATGGTACATAACGCTAAGCCGTGGCTTAGACTACAAACAAGCAAACATTGGCATTTCCAGGCGGAAGATCACGGCCACTGTACTCATCTCATTCCCTGGTTGCTGTGCTACGTGGCATTAAGACATGGTTTGACTTCACATCTGATCCTGGACTCCTGCTTTTAGCTTGTCTGGGGGAAAAACCAATTACTAATCAGGGTTTGCATGTAACAAAAAGCCAAACCACGCAGCAGCATAGCTAAGGAAAGGCACTCAAGCAGCCACAATCTTCCCTCCAGGAACCTGGTTATTTGCTTGTTTGCACGAAGCCTGGTTTGGCTTCCCATATGTACAAGTGAAGCCAGTATCTTGTGAATATTGTATAGAAAATGCTGATTAGGTATTCAGGAAGAAACCGCTTTGGAGTTCACTTGAGTTAGGAAGGGTAAGAGTGGTAAATTGATGGGTTTCCCTGCCCCTTTTCCTGTATTTATATTTGCAGTGGTCATGGTAATCTATGTTAGACTAAAACCAGGGTGCAGTATTTCATTCATATTGGTCAATTTTGGTATAAATGAATGTGTCCAAAAAGGGCACAAGAAATATCTCCAGACACTTGGGCACCTAAAAATCTGTTGTGGGCAGGATATCTGCTATAGTGCACCACAACAATTTCCAAAATATACTTCAAAGGTTGAATTGTGGTATTTGGAGAGAGTGATAGGTGGGTGCACAGATTACAGTTGCATGTGCACCTGTCCTCATTGGCTGAGAAGTTTGTGTTTATTATCTCACCAAACTAGGCAACTTTTTTCTCAGTTGTTGTTGTTGTTGTTAGAATCTATATATTGCCCTATACCCAGAGATCTCAGGGCGGTTCACAGAACAAGATCAACATAAAACACCACAATCTATATAATCAGTGCTTTTTTCTAAAAAAAATGTTTAGGGGTACTCTCGTTTTCCTACTCATATTGAAATACTGCCCCTCAATGAGGCCAAATTTAGATTCACAAAATGTGCACAGTAGTGGTATGTGTACCCCTGCACCCCTCCAGAAAAAAGCACTGTATATAATCAAAATAAAAACAACAACCCAATAACACCCACCCACCCCCCAGTTTACATTTATATGTAAATACTGCTCTCTCCGAGGTCTCTGGGTGCCATTAATCTGTACAATGAGTGGGAAGGGGTGGTGGAAGAGGAGCTGCCAGACATGAATGTACTCTGCGCATTGGCCCAAGGTGTGGGAAGGTTCAAAGAGAGAGTGTCACCTGTTACCTCAAAGTAGTTCATATGAAAATGTTGCATTTCTGATTATTTTGCTTTTCTCTTTTAGTCAACAGATAAGCAACGGGCCCTAGAAGAAACCAAAGCATATACAACACAGTCTTTAGCTAGTGTAGCCTATTTGATCAACACCTTGGCCAACAATGTTCTACAGATGCTGGATATCCAGGCATCCCAGCTTAGGCGTATGGAATCTTCAATCAACCACATTTCGCAAGTAAGAAAACTTGTTCTTTATGTTTGTATCAAGCACCTAGTGTGGTACGGTGGATAGGATGGGACCCAGATCATAGGGGGGGGGGCGGATCTGAATTCAGTCCACTAAATGCATTTGATGACCTTGGACAAATCAGCATCTTCACAAGGTGGTTGTGAGGATAAAATTGTACAACCTTCATGCGGTGGAAGGTTAGGAATCTCATAGAGATGTTGCCACAGATACAACTTGAAAATAATTTGACTTATCAGTATGATCCGGAAAAACTACCTTATTGCAGTTTGCAGTAGCAGGTCAAACTTTCTTAAAAAGTAAGATGACTTGTTTTCTTTTTGCCTTCAAATGGTGTTTATAATGAAGACATTTTGGGGAATAATTCTAGTAGATTGGGAAAAAATCCAGGTGGCGTGCATTTCTCCCCTTTTCTCCTGTTACCTTGACTTTTGTTAGTTTAAAATCTTGATCGTCTTTCTAAAATTTGTAATTTTGATATGCATTATTAATGCAGGCAAGGGTAGTATGGAGAATGAAATGTCTTTCTGCTAGGAAATCGATTACTCCTTTTTAAATATGATAAATGTTTGTCCTGGAGTGTTAAAAAAATAATAACAACAACTTCATTGTGAAGTCTCAATTCCACTTGCTTAACGCTGAATAGGAAAATTTCTTCATAGCCTGCGTGTAAAGAGCTTTGATTGGAGCAGACCTTGCCGTTCTCTATTCTACAGTCTCTGTTATAAAACAGTATATGCATAATGGGACATGACTCATGAAGGTTCCTAGCTGGGCTACATGAAAATTTCCAGTGTAACATTAATATACACTGATTATTATGAGTTAGTGAAGGTTAAAAGATTTAAATGTAATTTGTGATTGTGCACTGTAGGTCCCAGTTTTCAGAATGTTTTCAGAGTGTTTTGTTTTTGTTTTCTGGATACCCCTACTCTCTGGGAAAAAAATAATTAAAACAATAATTCTGGCCAGCTAAAAACTATTAACTCATTCATGCAAAATGTTGTAAAATATTGAAGTGGTATGATTTTAGTAGAGGAGAGTTATGTTTATAAAATTTGTTAGAATGTGCAATGTATTAATAGTTTAAAGCAAGCTAATAGAGCTTTAGTGATATTTGAAAAGCAGATTTTGAAAATTGAAACATTAAAAAATATTTTTGATAGCACGTGTGTAGAGAATAATTTCTTTGCCTTGGTGGTTTTTTAACGAGCTTTTAAAAGACTCTTATTATAACTTCATCAAAATAGAAGTCTGTACATGACTGGATAAAGGCAGTATTGTTTTTCTTTTTTTGCTCAGTAAAAGATGTATAGCAATTGCATAGTAGCACTTTATTTTTCTTCACTTTCTAATCTGACTTGCCAGTTTCCTAAATGACCAATTGTGCCAGTGGCTTTCCCATGCAGTATTGTTCTCCACATTCAAGTATAATTTGACCTCTAGTGAAAGTTGATCTGTTGGATCCTGCAAGGAAGCAAAGGCAGCAAAAACTTTTCAAGGGAGATCCTGGTGGTTAAGCCCCATTCATGTTTTTTGCATGATGCCATGTTGCAGAATGAGTTCAGGGAATGTCACCAGGTGAGACCCTCGTCTCCATCTCCCACAATGCAACCTGTTGCAAAGCAAAGTTGTAATTGTTTGCTTGCTTAGCAGAGTCTTTCCTAGTAATGTTTGGAATGGCCTTTGTTGGTAGCAGCATAACTGTAACCATTTGTATAACATAAGGGGAGATAGCTTTACGGAAGGAATCTTCTGGGATCCTAGGGCCTGGTGCTGATAATAATAATAATAATAATAATAATAATAATAATAATAATTTATTACTTATACCCCACCCATCTGGCTGAGTTTCCCCAGCCACTCTGGGCGGCTTCCAATCAAGTGTTAAAAACAATACAGCATTAAATATTAAAAACTTCCCTAAACAGGATGATCTACCACTTCTTCCTGTACAAACATTGAGGCATGAGCAGTATGTGTGGTTCATGTTTCAGGAAATGACATCTCTGCCAGGACATCTGCTCAAGTTACTTTTTCCAACAAGAAAATGAAAGCTGACATTTGGGGGAAATGTTTATAATGAGCCTGGTAATGACCACAACAATATATGCCATCTATCAGTCGTCAGAAGCATCAGAGGCTAGCTTTTAAGTCTTGCTATATTTACTTGCTTACCGTATTTTCCTGTGTATAAGATGCCCCCATGTATAAGACACCCCCTGTTTTTGGGGAGTCCAAATTAAGAAAAACACCCCTTAGCACTACCCATGAATAAGACGAGCCCCAATTTTAAACCTAATTTTTTGTTTAAAAAACCTAGTCTTTTCCTGTACATGGAAAAATATGGTATATAGCATTAATAGGATGCTTTTATGGTAACATTCCTACTTAATTCAGACATTTTAGATTCCCCCATCCCATTTAGGCAAATATGAAAATACTGTACAGTATATCTGTATAAACCAAAAATTCTGATATTAAATGAGAATAAATATAAATTCTATTGGAACTTAGAGGAAAATTAGAGGTATTGTAATGACACCGACTAGCTTGCTTAATGTGTCTTAGATAAATTCATTTTACCAGTCATTAATCTCTAATATTTTAATTCTTTTATGCTCGCAGACAGTTGACATACATAAAGAAAAAGTGGCCAGAAGAGAAATTGGCATCTTGACCACAAATAAAAACACTTCAAGAACTCACAAAATCATTGCACCAGCCAACCTGGAGAGACCAGTTCGCTATATTAGAAAACCTATTGATTATACAATCCTAGATGACATTGGACATGGGGTGAAGGTAAGTGGTAATGTGGAATAATTCTGATTTATGAGTCTCCCTGTATGTTTTCAGAATGCAAAGATTTGTATGCAGGACTCCTTCCCTCTCCCAAATGGCAGCATGGTCATTTTTACTGAACTATTATTCCTTCTGTATCTCAGTCTTTAAAAAACAAAACCCCCAGCCTCCCTGCTTTTCTGGCTACTTGTGATATCTGTATTTTGAGAAATGGGTAGAAGGCTTTCACCATGGGAAAGAAAGCATTGGGTGCCATTCCCTTCCTTTGGATTTGGTTGTCAAACAGTACCTTTGTGACAACCGGCTATGCCCCTCTCCCTTTTCTGTTTGCATGTCCCAGATGTTGTCATGACCCAGATATAATGCCACCATGTGTGTGGCATTGGCCTCCAAGATCAAATACAATTTCCAGATTTGCATGAGATGCAAAATCTAGGGACTAGCTTCCCGTGTGTCTGTTCTGGGAATTTTTAAATCTCGAGAATAAATAAAAATAATAGGGTTCAGTCTGCATGTAGTTCTAACAGCCCTTGTAGCTGAGTCTAACATATGCTAAATTGTGAATCGAGTTACATGTGCAGTTTGTCTGCTTGTTTTGTGCAGATACACATCTGATTGCATGTTCAAATTTTGTTCAGATTCTTGCATGTCTTTTCCTAAAGTACCCTTTCCCTGTGGTATTATTGCAATTCGTTAGGCAAATCTCAAGAGTAATGTGAATAAGAATGATTTGCAAGGCTTACAGCCATTCAGTCAGAACTTTGCAGCAAGATAATGGCATAGTGGCATGCCATTTTATTTATTTCCTTGGGAATTATTTGAGCTTGCAGAGAAATAAATTTGTAGTGCAACCCTAACCATACCTACTCAGAAGTAAGCCCTATAGAATTCCATGGGGCTTACCCCCAGGTAAGTGGGGTTAGGAGTGCAGCCTTAGTTACTCATTTGATGACTCCTGAACTACAGGCATTACATGCCTGTTTACATTTCAAAAAAGTGGAGATAAATCTCATCAGTGAAGCCATAATGAACGTTTAAGTACACAAATATATTCCAACATTCTTCACTTGGAGGCAAGTGCCACTTTAATTAGTTAACTTCACTGAAAATGCACAATTTTTGAACAAGTACTAGTTTTAAATATTGATGATTTTGAAACCTATTCTATAGTGCCTTTTAAAATGCATGTCTATAAGCTTTTCAGATTCTTATAAAGCTGAAATTGCTGTACCAGTTACATTAATGTTTACCCTTGGAGTGCAGAAAATGTAGTGTCTCTTTGATTTATGGAGTTACATTCTCTTTTCAGCAGTGTAAATATCAAGGAGACAAGTAGTGCATGCACACTGTATTATCTGAAAGGGAAATTCTGAATAAAAAAACTTTTGAAGAAGAAAGAAAAATGCATAAACAGTATTTACAGTGTTATACTATCTTTAATCATTAAAGCTTTAAAAATGTGGTAATCAGTTGAAGAGCTCTTTAAGTAGTCAAATAAAACCTAATACTGATATTTAGAGATTTTAGTTCAATTCCACTCTGAATTAGCTGCTCTGCATATTTTTTTGTAAAAACATAACATTAAAAAACCCTTGGTTTTTACAGTTATGATACAAATAGATTATTTGTAATCGCTTCATGAACAATCTGGTTTTAAAGGTTATTTTGAAAAAAAAAGTTCTGCAGAGCAATGATATAAACCATGTCTATGAAAACCTTTTACAGAAGTTACTTTTTGTTAGCTACATCTCACAAGTAGAGTGAATAAGCTGGACCCATGACTGGGTTATCAAGCAAAATTGATGGGTTTTAATTTAATAAATCAAAAATTGTAATGTGTATATTTAATCAAGTAGTGTATGCAGTTCCATGAAACCTCCTTTAATGATGTTAGGTTAAACAGCAGAAGGCTTGTGAGAACATCTATATTGGGTAAAGTTTGGTCACACTCATTGTCTCTGGTATTGAATGGGAGTTGTGAAATATGCCACACATATAATTAAAAAACCTGAAAATTGTTATTTCTCAATTGGTTGAAATTCGTACATGCAGTAGTAAGATTTGCTTCATATTACTCTAAATAATTTTTTTAACTTAGTCCATGTAGAAATAAGATGTTGATTGCCAGAGGTTCTTTCATGGGTGGGTTAATAGTGGCTCTCTAGCTGTCTCTCATGAAATAGTGTTTGAAACATTGAGTGCTGACCTTGGAGTTAATAGTGTCTTAAGATGGTTCTAATAGTGGCTTTATAAATTTCATCTCGAAAACCATTACATATTCTGCTTTAATCACTCTTTCTATGATCTACTGATACATTATTTTGTTGATGCTAAATGCTTAACTTCTTTCTTTTTTCCCCCTTCTCTCTTCATATCCTGAAATTTCAACTAACCTTTCAATGCTTTTCTTCCTTACCTCTTTTATTTGCTTCATTTATGCATTAAGTGGTTGCTTAGATTTAAGGTAAGAAACGACAGGGCTGAATTTCATTCTTATTCTTCAGACTATTACATTCGGGGAGAGTGATAATTTCTGGTGGGTGGGATGGGAGGGAATACCGCCTTGAACACTATTCTTTGGTCTTAAAACATTTTTTAAAGCATAACAAAATGATGATCGTAAGGATCTGGATAATGGATGATTTTCATGATAAAAAAAAATATACCGTATTTTTTGCTCTATAAGACTCACTTTTTCCCTCCTAAAAAGTAAGGGGAAATGTGTGTGCGTCTTATGGAGCGAATGCAGGCTGCACAGCTATCCCAGAAGCCAGAACAGCAAGAGCGATTGCTGCTTTCACTGCACAGTGATCCCTCTTGCTGTTCTGGCTTCTGAGATTCAGAATATTTTTTTCCTTGTTTTCTTCCTCCAAAAACTAGGTGCGTCTTGTGGTCTGGTGCGTCCTATAGAGCGAAAAATACGGTATATTTGTGACCTCTGATCTCCCCCTGTGTAATGATCTTTTTATCCTATATATGATGTGATTTGATTACTTTTATGAATAGTGCTTGAATTTGCAAGCTTGCCTGTCTTGAAAAATCAAAAGTAATGTGGGGCATGATTCTTTTATGAAAAAGTGATGTTTACCAGCTAGCCATTCACAGCCCACTTCTGGGACTGCCAAACCTGCTAGGAAATACGTATAGTACTTACGTTACACTGTTATTGCAAGTCAGTACACTGGCACAAATAGCTGTGCTCAAATAAAAAACTTAAACTATATTGTGAGACTGCCCTTATTCACATGGATTCCCCCACACTTTGTAGCTTTGAACAGTATTAGGAAGAGCTTAACATTTTTCTCAGTGTTATCATGCTTGAATACATTCATTCATGTCATGGTGTTTGCAGTCCAAAGTTACAATATAGAAAAAGATGGGCATGCCTAAATTCCATTGGAAATCAGTCTGATTGAAATCCTTGATGGTATTTAATCTGTGATCCGACTCCTTTAGAATTGCATCCAAAGACATTTTAAAAATTCAGTTACTTTTAAGTGTGCTCAAGGGTTTCCTGCATGCAGTGGGTTTCTGGTTTTTTATTGGAACAACATATTCTTTCCAGTCCTTGACATGTCAGGAATTAGTTGTTGTGCAACCTATCTGGCTTGCCAGCTTGGAAAAGCACATTGCAGATCCCCCTGAGCACATGGAGCTAATTGTGTAGCTCCCATTGGAAAAGCAGTGGAAGATTTTGAAATCCGGTTGAAACTAATTAGAAATGTAAAGATCAGGTAATTGATTGTTCACGATGTTTAATTATACTAATAATTAAAATGTACCGTATTTTTCGCTCTATAAGACGCACCAGACCACAAGACGCACCTTTTTGGAGGAGGAAAACAAGAAGAAAAAAAATTCTGAATCTCAGAAGCCAGAACAGCAAGAGGGATCGCTGCGCAGTGAAAGCAGCAATCACTCTTGCTGTTCTGGCTTCTGGGATAGCTGCACAGCCTGCATTGGCTCCATAAGACGCACACCCATTTCCCCTTATTTTTTAGGAGGGAAAAAGTGAGTCTTATAGAGCAAAAAATACGGTAATTTAACAAAAGGCAAGCTTCTTCAAGTTTGGAAATGTGGAACATGCTTTCCGGTGTCATGAGAAACAACTGTGATGGGGAAGAATTAAGCCAAACTCGGGTTTAGGAAATGAAATTATGCCTAACTTGCTCTGCATACACAAATTATTTCCAGCAGCTTCATATCTTAGCTTAGATGAGAGATTCTTTAAGGATAGGGAAAAAATAGCTTCTCATAAAAATGGATCAACATTGCACAATTCCTCCATCTTAAATATTTCTGCATATGTGTTTACTGCTTTCCAACATCAGTTTAGGAGTTTGAGCGTAGGTGCTCAGTTGGAACTGAAGTAGCAAGCAAGCAGCATTTCTTATCCCTTTTTCTGAGGATAGCATTTCATCACTGGCATTCATAGACATTCTAAGAATGCTATGAAGAATAATTCTCCTTTTTGTTTTGTTAAGAGCTGAATTACCATAGAATCATACAGTTGGAAGGGACCAGTAGGGTAATATAATCCAGCCTCCAACAGTGCAGGAATCGTTTGCCCAACATGGGGCTCAAACCCATTGAGACTAAGAGTCTGAGCTAGACTGAGTGGAATTATCCATATGAAATTGCTGTTAAAGTCCAGCTTGGAACATGTGTCTTCAACACCCATGCTTATTAATTAACCAACCCATAATCTAGCCAGTGTATCTATACTTGCTGCCATCTTCTGTCAGTGATTGACAGATATCTGCAGCTAGTTTAAAAAGCAGCCAACACTAGAATCATTAATGGATCCCTTATCCCTGGCTCCTAGATGCCTACTTAATATGTTGTCTTGCATTACTTTAAGAATATAATCAGATTTCAGGAAGAGCAACCTATCAGTCTTCAGAAGGTAGTTAAGAAGCCATTTAATGGTCTATGGAGGATACTTTTAAGAATGTGTTATAGCTAACTGTTGTCATTTAGGAAAGATGCCAGTCTTACTTAGGAGTAAGTACTATTGAAGTCAGTGGGACTTGCCGCTAAGTAACATATAGTGCTACCAATGCATATTGACATAGTTGCATCTAGGATTCTAGTTGACTGAACACAGCATGGTATAGAGTTTTGAACTTGGATCATAGACATCCATGTTCAAATCTTCACTCAGACACAAAGCTAATTCCGTCTCCTTGGGGCTGTCAAACTCTTTCACCTTCATCCGCTTCGCACAGGGTTCTTGTGAGTATAATATGGGGTAATTTCTGTGGATGCTTCCCTGAGGTCCTTGAATGGGTAGCATGCAAATGTGAGGCAATGATTGAAGGTGATAAAAATATATATCTGATGTAACTGACCATGGTAAGGAGCTCTCAGCCCCCAAAGCAGATATGCCACTCTCACCTTAGTTTTCCAAGTATCTTTTAGCTGAAAATGGCAAATCCGTTTGTGTGCCCATGCCCTTAACTGGTATAAATTTTGACAAAAGGGGGTGCTAATGCGGAAAGGGACTTCCCCTTGATATATTTATTTAATTCCATTTATGGACCAATAAAAACATTCCACTACTAGGCTGACTGCAGAGGCGTACACATTCTGCATTTCCAAGTGTTGGGCCTCCTCAAATCCTCAAAATCCAAGTGGCCAATATGATGCCCTGCAGATGTTGTGAACTACAACTCCCATCACCCTGTCCATGCCAGCTGGGGGTTGGGATCTAACAACCCCTGGGGAGTAGCTTCTCAGATGTAGCCGCTTTTTGTGTGCACTGGAGCACATATGTATTGTTTGTCAGGTGTTGCAATTGAACCAACCCCGTGCGCAGATCCTTTGTTCCCTTTGCCAGGTTCATGGTTTTGGGTGAAGTAGGAAAGCCTCAGCAGTTGTACAGACCTTTTCCCCTACTCCTCATGCTTGGCCACTTCCTTGACTTGGGTGAGAGAAGAGGGGCTTCTGTGGGGAAAGGAACCCTTTCCCTCTGTCCCGGACCCTGGAAGCAGAAGGGTCCATTGGAAATGTTCCTCCCGCACCCCCACTGTTTACACTAATGCAAAACACCAACCTAAAATCTGCAGGGTATGCTTGAAGGCCACTTTGATACCTATTGCGGAAGAATTTGTATTTGCTGCTGCCTACACCACACACACATTTAGTGAGGAAATGCTGTTTCCATTGTTTCAGCAGTGCTTTCCTCCTTAATAATTCTGCATGACATGCGAGCAATATTAGATTATTGCGAGCGAGCTCCTAAAGCAGTTGGGTGAAGGAGAGATGATGTTTTGAATTTTAATCAAGAGAAATATTAAAAAAAAGTGTAATTGACAAAGACTGTTCTCTGTTTGTTGAAGCTTCACAGTTCATTCTGAAGATAAATTAAGAACCTCTTCTTTCTCTCCCCTGCTTTCCAGTTATTGAGTTCGGGAAAATACATATATATTTGGGATACTTAAACAATTTTGCAGCTTATTTTTCCTTTCATTGCTTGTTACACCTCTGTCGGCTCTTAATTTTCTGAACTAAGTAGTAGAGCTGAGTACAAGAAAATGTGGCTATGTATGTTTTGTAAAAGATTCCATCTTTTTGCATCCTCCTTGAGGGTGTTGATTCTTTAATCTTTTCATTTGCACAGACTTTCCCCCCCTTTTACCCCTAGCTTCTTGCCAATCTGGATACTGTTAAATCAAAGCCGTGTAATGAAAATGGCAAACATCTTAGTCATATCTGGCTTCTAAAATAGCCATGTAAAATCAAAGTTGCTTCTCTTTTAATGTCAGGCATATGTGCCACAATCCTGAAACCTTTTCAGCGATGCTAAGGGTTTAATCGTCCCCACAGAAACTTTTGCTTTCTTTTCTTAGAAGTCTAAAATATCTTGTCATTTAACAAGCTGCTTCTGAAAATCCTCGTGTCAAAATCAGTTTGTGTGTTGTGGAGCTGTTATGCTTTAAAACCCAAGCTCCAAACACAACAGGGTTTATTGTTCCCTAGATTGTGATCACGGAAATAAAATTGAATATGGTGGGTTTCCTTCCTTTGCACTTGCATCCTAAAATGACACACATGTGATACTGCTTACATTTTGTAATCTATATTAGCTTTTTTAAGGCTTCTTAACTTGTTGCAGTGTTCACATTCATGCTAAAAGTGGCCACATGAGTTTTTCCTCTTTATGTGTACATGCTGATGATCTGTGGCCAATCATGGCTCCTGTTGTAGCAGAGTGATTATATCTGCTTCAAAGACAATGGCATACTTTGATTGTGTGAACTAGCTCTCAACCTATTTTAAGATAAATTCTTGTTCTGAATGCTGTGATTTTTGTGTGGAAACCCCACAAGGTCACAGAAATTTTCATTGCACCTCTGGCGGAGGACAAAAGCCCAGTGATTGTGAGAGGTTGAGTCACACGCAATCCTAAAAGAAAAATCATGGAGTTTACCATATTTTTCCGTGAATAAGACTAGGTCCCCCCCCCCCGCCCAAATAATGTCAAAAATCAGTGGGTGTCTTATACATGGATAGTGCATAGGGTGGACTGGCGATTGGTTGTTGCACCCCAAATAGGGGTTGTCTTATACATGGGGGCGTCTTAAAGACAGATTTTTTTTAAAAAAATTTTTTTTTACTAGCTTGCCTTTTAGTGTGTATCGAACCTGGATAAATATTTCCATGCCTAGTAGTGAATCTTGGATAGTGTATGTAGAAAATGCAGTGTAGTGAACTCAAAAATTTATCCAGAAGAAAAAGTGTAGGCATGTTATTTAGCTGCATTTATACAACCATCCTGTAACAATCATATGGGTCAGTTATTGGGGACAGACAGACAACTTTTGGATCCAACTTTGAAATTTGAAAACTTAGTTTTCCCAGATTCAAAGATGCTCTACCTCATGCTCCACGATGTGGTGGGCGATCCTGTCTTGTAAAAGTGTTGCTTTTTAAAATATGAAATTTTAGATTCATAGTCCAGGGATGAGGTAGTTTTCCTAGCAGCGCGCAGACATACACACACGCACACACAAGCTCTTTCCATACACAAACACAAGTATTAGTTTTCCCATGTTTGTGATTTACGTGGAAACAAGCAGTGAATTTTTTTCTTTTTTAAAAAAATCAACCCACTGTGATGCTGATGAACACAAAACATTAAATTATTCATGGCTTGCATTTGCAGCATCGTAAATGTAATTTGTCATCAGCATCTCATGAAACAGATCAATAAAATGGCTACCAATCCTAAAAAAACGAGGTGATCTATGACAGAAATAACTCTTGGTGATATAGTCTTTTTTGCACAAAATGTCACTTTTTCTTTTTCTTTTTAAAAAGGCCATATTTTATTAGGGTGGTGTTGCAAGTGAAGCTTCATTTCATATATGAAGCTGATTTATGAAAGTGCTTAGTGCAGATAGAAAGTGTCCAAATAGATATTTTGGGGGAAAAAATCTTTTGGGAAAGGCTGCAGTGCTTAAACTATAAAGCTGAAAGACCAGGCTTCCTCAACCTCGGCCCTCCAGATGTTTTTAGCCTACAACTCCCATGATCCTTAGCTAGCAGGGCCAGTGGTCAGGGATGATGGGAATTGTAGTCTCAAAACATCTGGAAGGCCGAGGTTGAGGAAGCCTGTGAAAGACTGTATGGGACCAGCACAAGTGCCCTTGAATGACAAGGACGAAGGGTTCAGAAACAGCAATATTCCTACTGCTACACTGGCTTCTGTTACTTCAGAGTAGACTCTTTTCAGCAGAATGAGATATTCACCAATACTTGGCCAGGTCTTTGCATCCCTCTTGGGAAGTGAGGATACCAGATTATTTCTTAAATTGAGCTTTTAGGATTCCCCCTTGTGCTTTTGTAATACGTGGTGTAAGGGTTTCACGTTACGTATAACTCATTCCCTGTCCTAGGCACATCTGATAGCTTCATAGACACTGCAGGTTGGTGGCGGGCCACCTCTTGCCTACCCCCACAACCACCCCGAAGTTGCTGGGCCCAAACTCCCATCAACCCTAGCTAGCACTCTCTAGTTGGTCAGGTGAGAGGAGAGTTGGAATCGAATGACACCTGCAGAGCTGCAGGTTCCCCACCACTCAGTCAACAAGAAACAAGTGGTTTCCTGAAGTATAAAGTGCTTTTGAGAGACACTTCATGTGTTGTGCTGTGGCAGAGTTGCATTTGCTACCGCTAGAATGTGTAGCCGGGGTGCCGTAGCCAAACCCCTAGGCACGTCCTGGACACATGCAATACAAATGTATTTTTAAACTTTATGTATTATATAGTTCAGGGATATATTGTGGCCCTCCAGTTGTGGTTGGACTACAACTCCCATCAGTCCTAGCCAGCATAGCCCAGTGGTCTGGAGTCGTAGGCAAATAATATCTAGAGGGCCACAAGTGAACCACCCCTGATTTGTATTATAATACATAAAGTTTGGAAACCCATTTGTCTTTCATTTATTTCAGTAAAATATCTCATTTGTATTTCTAGGCTGCAGTTCTAAACCTACTTTCTTGGGAACAAACCACATCAAACCCCGTGAGCAGACATGGGCAGGATTTGCATAGCTAGAAATGCAGTGAGGGAAAGGATGTTGCCTTGAACCTAGTAAGCAAAGTTTGCCTTGGAATAGGCACACTTTCCTTGTTGCTGGTGATTGGAAGTTAAATGTGATGGTCTAAAGGCACATGCAGTCAGAACAACTCTTAAACACGCCATAGAACCACAAGTCCTTTGAGCACATCTTAACTATTGTATGTAGAAATTGCACATAGGTGCATGGCCACTGGGGCTTCTACATCATTATTATTATTATTATTATTATTATTATTATTATTATTGCACATTCCCCTGCTTTTTTAATGTTGCAGATCAGTTCCCAAAGGATTCTTAATTTATTCTCAGTCGTTGACCTGAAGAGTTTAGTGAGGTTTGCTTTTCTTCCCATTGCCTCTCATGCAGGTTAGTACACAGAATATGAAAATGGGTGGCCTGCCTCGTACCACACCACCCACCCAGAAGCCACCCAGTCCGCCAATGTCAGGGAAAGGAACGATTGGGTAAGTACAACTTCATGTGCATTGGAAAGGGGGCAGGGTGCAAAAAGGGAAGGTAAAAATCCTTTCTTGCTTTTACTATTGCTTCATGGCTCATTAGTGCCTCAAAATGACATTGTGGGCTTTGGAGGTGTCTTGTCTCTCTCCCCTGTAGGCAGATAGCACATTCATAGCATCCCCAGGAGGTGGAAATAATGGTTGAATATAGTTTCTTTTGGCAGGAGCCTTTTGGGCTTTTGTTTGTAGAGTAGCTCTACACTGCTGTACCTAGAAAAAGTAATGGCCCTGATTATCCTGTATGACATGAACAGAGAAATTTCATGGGCCCAGTTAGGTCCGCTGAGAAGCACGGCACCAGCATGTGGAGTGTTCTTATAGGCTCAGTAGAGTCCCATTTTCTCTCTTCCTCTTCTGACCAACTAAGTGTGCAGGCACATCGCAGGCACCATGATAGACCAGCGATTGGACCAGGAACTCTCTGCATGCTTCCCCAGTCTGCCCTCTCTTCTTAATGCAAGTCACTGATGCACCAGAGCAGAAGTCACTTACTTTGAGAGGAGAGGGAGAGCTGGCTGGGGACATGGGCGGCATGCAAAGACCTCTCTTGTTTGGCACCGCCTTCTTGTGCACCGTGAAGGGGGAGTAGGAAAATTGGGCTCTGTTGTGCCCAAGGGAATCCTTCACAGGCGCTGCCCCGGCGGTGGACTGGATCCTGCCCTGTGCATTTTCAATATGAACAGTAAGCAGGAGTTCTACACTGCCTTGCCCAAAGCTGTTTGGTGTATTTCATTGTCTGAAATTGCTTCCATACATATGTTTTTCTTGTGTAGGCGTCACTCTCCCTATCGCACACTGGAGCCAGTGCGTCCTCCAGTGGTACCAAATGACTATGTACCTAGCCCTACCCGTAATATGGCTCCCTCGCAACAGAGCCCTGTTAGGACAGCTTCTGTGAATCAGAGGAATCGCACTTACAGGTATTCAGTCTGCTCCTGCACAAAATATTAACAATAATTAAGACACATAACACAGCTTTATAGTGATCTGCTTTTAACCCCCCCCTCCTCCCTCCAACCCTTCACTTAGAACTTCATAAATTCATGTGATTTCTTGGGAAATCCATTGGGAGTTAGAGGGAAACCATGCTCTTTATGCTACATGTTGTATAATGCGAAGTTGTTTGTCTAGGAAGAGTTTTTTTAAAAGATACACAATTTGCTTGCCGAATTGTGTATTGTAGCATATGAAGTCTTGAATAGAACTGTATCCTGTTTGTTTGTTTGTTTGTTTGTTATAACTTCTATTTATTTGCCTCTCCACCATAAGACGGTCATGGTCGTGCACTATTTCTAAAATGTGGTGTCTACAAATGAGGGTGATGCTGTCATGAGCCTTTATTGTTACTTCCCACTAAGTTCTGAAACTTGAGATTCCATGCTGAATAGACATTTATTATTATTATTACTATTATTATTATTCCTAAACCTGTAGATGAGACTTTGGTGCCTGTGAAAATGTTGGTAACATAAAATAGATAAGAAACATGACTGATTTAATTCCTTTATGTGGATTTGCAGAAGTAATGTAAAAGCTGGGAAAAGGCCTTGGCCTAAGATAGGTCTGCACTAAGGAAATTGATCTGCAGAACAGATTAGCCCTGGCCAGCATAAAATGTAATGGTATGTTGGTGAGATTTCATGGTGTCATGCCAAAAACTATTTTAGGCCTAAGCGTTTTTACTTGTGGAGTATTAAGCAATGCAGATAAAACCAACCTCCTTCTAATATTGGCCCTTTGCCCATTAAGAGTTGATATTTCTAGGGTCCTGAAAGCCATCTCCTATAATCTAGCAGGCAGCTGTTACTCGTCAGTGATGTACCCTGATTTTAGCTTGGACATAGGGGGAAAAACGGCAGCACGCCTTTCTTTGTCCCCAAAATTGCGAAGTTTAGCAATCTGCGTGTGCCTGGCATGGAATGGAATATGGATGCCTTTGTGGTTTGTTTGTTTTTATATTATTTCTTTAGCAGCAGCGGGAGCAGTGGAGGGAGCCATCCTAGCAGTAGGAGCAGCAGTCGAGAGAACAGCGGAAGTGGAAGTGTGGGAGTCCCTATTGCTGTCCCTACTCCGTCCCCTCCCAGTGTGTATCCAGGTAAATCCTCTTGGGTTTGGGCGATTCCTTGGTAATGGCAATTATCTGTAAGCTGCTTTGAGTCCTGTTGGGGGAAAGGCGATGTTTTACATTGGATAAGTTGAAATCCTCCTCCCATTCCCCACTCCGTTTTTGCTGCGTACCTAAGGGGTAACCCTTTCCCTACATAAACATTTTTCTACCTATCCTTCCCCCCCCCCCCCCGCTGCTGCCATTTTTGGGGCTAGAGTTTTAAGCGTTTGTGGAACGTTCCGCACAAAATACTCGAAAGCTTTTCTAATCCTTGCTAACCGTAACTCCTTATTAACTCCTCCTCTTCCTCCTCTTTTCACGTAGCCCCTGCCAGTTCTGCTGGCACTTCTCCCCTTCCTGCTACTTCTGCCCCTGCTCCCACTCCTCTCACTCCTGCAACTGCCCCATCCTCTGCCGCCCCAGATGCTGCTGCCGCTGCTGCAGGGGCTCAGCCCCTTGCCGATGGCTTCACATCTCCAACTCCCCCTGCTGCTTCTTCCACTCCTTCCGCAGGTGAGTTTCAGCTCTTCCTCTTGAGGCAGGTCAGCCAAGATGCAATAGCAGCCTAAGACTGGTTTTGTTGAGTACTACAGATTCACAGAGTTTCCTATGCTTGTGTGGTTTTCATTGGGAAAGCGTGGCATTTCGTTTTCCATCGTTTCATCATCTTTCTCAGCTGCTGAAAGCACCTTGTTATACTGAATTGCTTGGCTTGCTGTGTTTCTTTGTGCGTTGTTTTCAAAATGCCCCTTTGTCTACCCTACCGTCTATCTCGGTTATTTCGATCCAAGCATTATTCTGACAACCGCACATTATTGACTTACCATACTTTTCCGTGTATAAGACTATGTTTTTTTTCTTTTCAAATCATGGTAAAAAGTGGGGGTTGTCTTACACATGGGTAGTGCATAGGGTGGGCGTTTGATTGGTTGCTGCTGCGGCTGTCATCTGCTATTGTGCGTATGATTGGTTGCTCCATCAATGGGTGGTGTTGATTGGCTGACGCTTTGGCAGTTGGGCGGGTGAATTGCAGCTGCTGCCGGCGATGGGAGGCAGATTTTGCGATGCATATGGGTGAGCTATTTTCGGCAATTCCCCCCTAAAAAAAGCTCAACAATGCTGAGCAATCCTCTGCAAAAAGCTCAATGACTCTGTGCCATCTCACCTCATTTTCTTAAATTTGAGTCCCCCAAAATAGGGGAAGTCTTATACACGGGGGCGTCTTATAGACGGAAAAGTATGGTATTTGCGGCTTGTTTCAAAAAACCAAGTTCAACATTTTGTAGGTAACATTGTATCAGAAACTCATTGCTTGGAATCATGGTTGTAAATCTTAAGTGATGGCAGTGTGCAAGGCAGTTTAATATTTAGAGGGAGCAACTGATTTACAAGTAACAAAATAGATTTTTCAGGTTTAATTGATTAACCTTTTAGGGGAAAATATTGCTGTACTCTAGACTTTACCAAGGCACTGCTTTCGGATTTGAAAGTTGAGGCGGGGGGCAAGAGACCACCTGAAACAAGCAGCATAGTTCTGAGACTGGTGAAACCCATTCAGACTTGGAGCAGCTCACGGCCAACTCTTACATGGATATTTGCTATTTGATTTTGCTATTTGATTATTTTGCAGTTTTTTTGGCTTTGCTAAACATGTGTTCCCTTTCCATTCAAAAGTATTATGGATGTAAAAGTTTCTGCTGCGGTGGTTCGTTCCAACATGTTGGTCATCAAGTGGTGAACGTGCATATAGGAACTAAACCTTAGTTGAGTTACTCTGGAAAATCTGGCAGAGCACACTGTGGTCGTGTACTTGTTTCATGTTTCTGTCAGCTTCTTTGAGAGCTAATGGAGAATCAGCTCAGAGACCTCCTTTTCTAAAATGCTGGGTAGAATGCTACCATTCTGCTCTGCCCCATATTCATCTTAACAGGTTTCCTTTGAAGTGTAATTTAAGGTATCCCGTCGTATGTGCCTGCTATGTCAGCTGAATTGCTTCGTTTTCAAAAACATAACATTGTAGGGTTTGTGTTAATGCCGAACCTCTGAATCATCTGAGCAGCTTTTAAAGCATGTGAAAAAAACACACCAGTGGGTTGTTTCCAAAGCTGTCTTCCCACAAGCAGAGTAGACTTGCAGTTATGCAGTGGAATTTCACCTTCCTCTCTTTACCACTGCAGCCTCTCTTTCACACCTCAAATTTGCTCTGGAGGTTTGGGGGACCCGTTGGACTTGGGTTTTTTTTTTTGCGGGGGTGGGGTGGCAAGAAGCGGCAAGGAGGAGGTAGGAAAGATGAAGACCCGGTGTGTGAGCCAAAGGTCTACTTAAGCAACATTGGGTTCCACCCTTTGTGTGCAAACGTCGATTTAGATAAAGCTGAAATCTATCTATCTATATAGATAGATAGATAGATAGATTTCTTTATTGAAAGTTAAATACTACAGTCATACCTCAGGTTACAGACGCTTCAGGTTGCGTTTTTTTGGGTTGCGGACCGCTGAAACCCGGAAGTACTGGAAAGGGTTACTTCCGGGTTTTGGCGGTCGCACATGCACAGAAGCACTAAATCACGCTTTGCGCATGCGCAGAAGCGCCGAATCACAACCCGTGCGTGCACAGAGCTCCACTGCAGTTTGCGAACGCTGTGGGCGCGAACGTGCATCCTGCACGGATCACGTTCGCAACCCGAGCGTCCACTGTACATAACCATATACAGTGGTACCTCAGGTTACATACGCCTCAGGTTCCAGACTCTGCTAACCCAGAAATAATACCTCGGGTTAAGAACTTTGCTTCAGGATGAGAACAGAAATCGTGCTCTGGTGGCACAGCGGCAGCTGGAGGCCCCATTAGCTAAAGTGGTGCTTCAGGTTAAGAACAGTTTCAGGTTAAGAACAGACCTCCGGAACGAATTAAGTACTTAACCCGAGGTACCACTGTATGTCCACCAAGCATGGCAAGACGAAATAAAAGAGAGAAAAAGTAAAAGAGAAACAGCACCTGTGTAGAAGGGAAAGTAAAGGGGGGGGACCCAAAATTGTAGACTTTACAAAGTTGTTATTGTACCTCACCAAATCTTGACCTATTACAGTACTTGTAAGAATGGATTCCAAATATCATTGAATTTGTCCATGGCAAGTCTGCGTTTATATGCAAGTTGTTCATATGCCGCGAGTTTGTATAAGTCTTCAATCCAATCATAGAAGGGAGCCACGTTTTTATTTTTCCAATTCATCAGTTTCAGTCTTTTCAATTCATCAGTTTCAGTCTCATATGAAGCGGAAATCTTTATGTGAAAAGGCAGGATTCAGCTTTAACATTTTTGTCCTTATCCTGACACTTTTCTCCCTTCCGAAACAGGTCATCCTGTTCAGTTCTACAGCATGAACAGACCTGCTACTCGACACACCCCTCCGACAATAGGGGGCTCTTTGCCGTACAGGCGTCCTCCTTCCATCACTTCGCAGAACAGCCTTCAAAACCAGGTGAACGGAGGACCCTTTTATAGCCAGAACCCAGGTAAGATGCACTGCAGTGAAAATCAGTACTCTAACCCACCAACAAAAATGCCAGTGTTGTGGTGCCTTTAAAGATCTAACCACATGTTGTCGTGATGATGAATAATTCGACCTTTACCTTAAAATCCTAAATATTAATCTCTGATTGCAGGGAAGGGGGGTTGCCTTTCTTTGATAAAGTATTATATTTGAAATGTGACTGTTTTGGTAATTTATCAGTTTGTCTGCACTTTCTGCATTTTATTTTCCTCTGGCCTCACTGTTTACAAGCGCCCCCCCCCCATTCCCCGCCCAAGCCATATACTTGTAACTTGAGATAACACTTTATTCATCTGAAGTGGAAACTTATGCCATGAAAAGGTTAGTCTTTAAGATGCCCAAAGTCTCGGTGTTTTCTGCAACAGACTAACATGGTTATCCCTGAGACAACATTTTGTTTCCCCTCACAGTTCTTAGTTCAGTAGATGGCCAGATTGCTAAAGAGATGGCTTGTATTTGGAAGGAAACCTGGCTTGAATCAGTTGTACATCATAGAAACAAGCATGAGGAAGGCAGAACCCCGTGATCTTGTCAGTTTGCTAATGTTTCATAGGAGATCAGTTGATGAAATCCTGAAAAGCACAACTGCAAATAGGCGTGTGAATTGATTAGTCTGAGAGCCTGTAACTTGACAGAAGCCACACTGGTTGAGCTTCATGACTTACCGTATTTTTCGCTCTATAAGACGCACCAGACCACAAGACGCACCTAGTTTTTGGAGGTGGAAAACAAGAAAAAAAATATTCTGAATCTCAGCAGCCAGAACAGCAAGACGGATTGCTGCACAGCGAAAGCAGCGATTCCTCTTCCTGTTCTGGCTTCTGGGATAGCCGCGCAGCCTCCATAAGATGCACACCCATTTCCCCTTACTTTTTAGGAGGGAAAAAGTGAGCCTTATAGAGCAAAAAATACGGTATGTTGTGGCATAAGTCTGGCTCTTCCACCCCTAAACCAACACCTCTCTACTGAACCTAAGTGCCTAGAATATATATGCATGTTAATAATGGATCTTCACTCAGTGCACATAACCTGCACGATGTCTGAAGTTTGCACACACCTGTTGAACTTGAATATTTGTGTATGGAATATTTTGTGTGTACATGTTCAAAACATACCGAGAAGTGTCCCTAAATATGACAACGCATAACACTCACAAATGTGAAAAGGTGTTAATAATAAGCATGACTCTTTGCATGCTGAAGGAGAGAACCTATGATTATTCACTCTTTTATGGGGAGACGAACTTCTGAAGGTTTGTTTTTATGCAAAGGTGTTTTCTGGATGCTCAGCGTGTTTTGTGGAATCCTTTGTGGTAAGAGTTGTTAAATGGGTGGCCCTTCATTAGTCGGTCATTTTGTTGTCGAGGCACCACAGAAGATGCCAAATAGCCAATAAATATTAGGTAACTCTCATTCAATCTGTTTAGCCAAGCAGAATGTTAATGATTTAAAAGGGTAGCTTGCTTGGATTGTAAATTTACAAAAAGAGTGGCTTTCCCGTGGCGCAAATAATCAGAGGTTTGTAAGTGTAGAATTTTAGCAGATGAAGATGGGATATGTCAGTGGACTTGGACTTCGTCCAGCGTAGAGGCAAAAGGACCTCCAACAAAGACTCACTGTCGGGAGAGGACTGCTGAGGACAACCAGATTACTGTGGTGCCATAAAGAGGGAGGGAAATGGCCGGATAGGGGAGCAAGGAATGCCATTTGAAAATTGGCCTGTTACCTTTTCATTGAGGGAGCATCAGAAGAAGAATGCATTTGAGAACATGGGCTTCAGCAAGGGAGAAGGGGCGTGGTGCTTGCTGGGGGAGATCTTGAGACTGGTTCTCATTCTTTTCATTGTACATGAAGTGCACTCCTGCATAGACTTCCCCATGTTACAGGCACACTCTGTACAAGAGAAAGCAAAGCAAAAATAGGTTCTGCACACAACAGCTTGATTTTAAAAATGACGTGATTGGCAGCAACCATGATCTGAGGGGGCAAGTATATAGGTAGCTCAATTTTCAAAAAGTTGTGAGTGCTGAAATATTCTCATTTAGAAATGAGTAGCACCCACTGAACGACTCAGCAGAGAGTCCAAGAATGGGAGTCTCTGACATCATTGAGTTGTGGGGAAAACCTAAATTCTGCCCTGACTCTCAAGTTGCCAAGACTTGGGGGCTGGGATTTGGTTTTGCTTCCAGCTAAACTGTGACCCCAAGTGCAGCTACTTTATCTACCCGTAGAAGTGAAAGATTCCCATGGACTTCTGTGGAAGGAAGTAAATTGTTTCAGCTGCTGTCTCAAAGCCATGCAGAATGGTGCTTAATCGCATAAGCACACTTCTAAAATCCTGTTTTAAACAGTCAGGTCACACTGTTCATGAAAGTGTTCTGTGTGCTCAGAAACACTTCATGTAAAGTTATTCTAAGTCTCAATCCTGAACATTTTCTCAGACCGGGTTAAGAGATTGCTTTCTAATTTGCTTGTAGATGTTGAATTTTTATGAAGAAATATGAAGCTGTAAATGTTGGTCTTTGGTAATGCAAATGCAGGCTATGTAAAAATGAAGCGCTGGAAAGTCCTTGTGAGTTGGGGAATATTTTCCCTGACTGCACCAGACTGTCTTCCTAATAGCCAAGGATTTCTGTGCTTCTGCCAGACTTGTTTCAGGACTGGTTCTGTGGAGACTGCAGGAGACGAATCCCTTAAGCATGAATTATTTCTGTTTTTTAATAAAAATAAAAATAATATTTTTTAAAAATTTATTTATATCCCTCCCTTCCCAGCCGAAGCTGGGCTCAGAGCGGCTAACAACAATAAAAATAACACAGTTTACATAAAATCACAATCAATTAATTGAAATACATTCTAAAATCAATTCAGAATCAAATTAATGGCAACCATTGGGCTTGAGTTCTATGAGGATTACCAAAGGAGGGGGTCAGACTGTGCCTTGGCCAAAGGTCTGGTGGAACAGCTCTGTCTTGCAGGCCCTGCAGAAAGATGTCAAGTTAAGAAACAAGCCTGATGATTAATACTGCTTCAAGCAAATTTCAGTGCTGTCCTTGGCAGCTAGGTTCAAGTTGACCTGTTACTATTTTTCCTCCCTTTTTCTTGCATTGAGTAGGAAACCACAGTGCCCATGCAATCTCTCATGTTTTGGGTTCAACCTTTCTAACCGGAGGCCTGCTTTTTTATTGTTGTCGTTCCTTTTCTGCAGTGTCTCTTGCGCCGCCGCCTCCCTCTATCCTACAGGTAACTCCTCAGTTACCACTCATGGGATTTGTGGCCAGAGTTCAGGAGAATAGTAAGTATGCGTTTTTATTGTCCTTTGATTCAGGTAGAAATATTTTAGTAAGCTTATGCTCAGCTGCAAGCATAAGGTTTGGATGATGACAATGTCTCTTGATCACAGACAACCTTGTAATGCCCACTTGCTTCTAATCTAGCAGACGTTCCACATTTAGATTGGTTGTTCATAGACTGTTTCATAAATTTTGTGCATCTACCAGTCAGCAGCCAAGACAGTGCATTTTGCAAAGTGTGACGCTGTGGTCTTCTGCCAGGCAGAAGCGGAACACTTTTCATGTGGGATTGGGTCGATTACCTTCTGGCCCCCACTGCAGCAGTGTCCACATAGTGATTAAACTCAGAGCTTCAAAGTTCCTGCTTTACAATCTGAAGCACATGCAGTCCGCCCCAAAGCAAAAAAAAGTGACTTAACCAGGAACTGCCATTCAGCATAACCATATGGGATTGAGAACATAAGGACAGCCCTACTGAATTCAACCAAAGACCCACCAAGTCCAACATTTTGAGGCCAGCCAGATATCTATAAAAAACCACTAGAAGAGTGCAAGAGCTATAGCACTTTCCCCCCCTTTTGAGTTCCCTAGCAAATGATGTTCAGAGACATACTGCCTCTGAGACTGGATTTGGAAGAGCTAGCAGCAGGTAATGTGGAACATGAATCTCTCTAGAAAAGGGCTGGTCCTCCAGCACTGCTTAATTGTCAGAGATGATGAGAACAATGGCCCAAAGACACCTGGAGGGCCACAGATGAGCTACCTCTTCCCTAAAGTGGAAAAGCTGCTGTTTTCCCCGATGTCCAGTGTTTGAGTGTCAGACTCGATGGAAGGTGAACTTTGAACCTTGATCAGTGATTACAAGCACTGCCTTGGATCTTTTCTGTAAAAGGAGGACAACCCATCGAAGCAGACACTGGGCGGGGGATGGGAATAAGACTTGTAAAGCTCTTAATATATTGGATGTGCTGTATAGCCTTTAAACTCTAGGAACTGCAGTGTGGATTTTTGCTCCTCTAGTTTCAGACACACCTCCACCCCCACCCCCGGTAGATGAGCCAGTCTTTGATGAATCCCCACCACCACCACCTCCTCCAGAAGATTATGAGGAGGAAGAAGCCGCTGTGGTAGAATACAGTGACCCATACGCTGAAGAGGATCCACCGTGGGCACCAAGGACCTACTTGGAGAAAGGTAAATTTGCTGGAAGTTCTAATCGTAGAGTTAACAGCTGAGGCAAGAGTCTTTTCCAGCCATTTGACATGGGTTCAGCTCACTGCACCTTCCTGGCGATACCCCATCCTTGAGAGCCTTCAGATGTTACATCCAAAATGTTGCCCGGTGGTGGCACAATGTGAAATTAATATTTTACCAGTTGATGGTGTGTCTCAGAGACCGATCCACTTCCTTCAGCATGAGGGAAGAGAAAACCAATGTTGGCCAGTCCCTGTGAAGCAACTGCTGCTCTATTGGCCGGTGCTGGATCCTGGTAGCCGGTACTTTGCCAGTTTCCCCAGGATTCCAATACAAGCAGGGAACGGCTTGGATCTGTGTTTACTCTTTTTTTATTTAATAAGCAAGCCAGCACTTTCCAATCTCGCGGTTTGGTAAGAAAAACCTGTTTTCCGTGTCCTCCCCATTAACAATTGTCATTCTTGCAAGCTTGCACCACAGGGCTGGGAAGTAGGATCTGGCTGGTGGGCTGGATCCTGAACTCCCCCACTCACTGGGAACTCCACTTGCTCCTCAGTGCCAAATGCATGCCTGCTGGGATCAGCTTTACTTGTCTGATTGGAGCTCCCAGATGCAACGATTCCTGCCTTCAAGCAGGGCTGGTAAGCCAGAGGGATCAACTCCACATAGGTGTTCTGGTGGGGAACTCTGCAGTGGGCTGATCCCAGCTGGCTTGCATTCAGCGCTGACTGCAACGATCTGGTTTGCACTCTAGATCCATTATTTCCTTGCAGCCTTGCCTGCTCCACCCCTGACTTCAAGGCATGGCTGTTGGAAAAATGGCCTCACAGGCCAAATTAGGACCCTTGGCAGGCTTAATCTGACTCTCAGGCTGGAGGTTTCCCATGCCTGTTGAGTGACTGTCCTCTGGTATCCTTTGCTCTGTCGCATAACAGATCACAGCGTGAAAAAGCATATTGAATAGTAAGTTAATTCATATTTCTTATTACATCTGTAATCTAACATTAATTCAAATTCCCCCTTTTTTCCCCTTGGAGAGGAAAGAAACGAAAGAAGTTTTTGTGCGTGAGAAAGAATGCAGAAAGAAAGGGAATCTTAGCCGATTAAAAAGTAATTCCATAAGGTCTTCAGCCACCTGAATTTGTGGGCCGTAGTAAAACAGAACTATGCAGAACTACCAAAAGATATTGGAAGTTCTGCATCTGATATACTACAAAAACAACAATAGGTGGACAGTCCTTTTGAACTGAATTGGTTTTTCTTTCTCTCTTGCAAATCTTTCCTGGCCTGTTTGTTTTTTTGCTCGTATGCAGAAACTAAATTCATCTCCATTTCATCACTGCACAAGCTTGAGAAAGGAAACAAGCAGTTAGAATTCCTCGATAGACCTGCCTTTTGCTACTTTTAGGAAAGCAAGCAGCATTTTTTAAGGATGCGTAACCCATCAATTTACTATGTGGGGACTGTTCTCACCAAGATCCCCCTTTTATTATATGAAACCAGAGGGGGAGCATCATGTTGTGTTGACTTTTTCCAAAATAGTTTTATACATTGGTCATTTGGGAAACCCTAAATAGGCTTCCTCTTTTTCAGTAGTAGCAATTACTTGGTTCAGTCTTTTGTATACTGGAATGAGAGGCGTGGAGTAGCCCAAAATTTCTCCCATTTTTATTTCTAGAACTGCAGCATTTGAGCACAAAATATTCTGAAACATCTAAAGTCACGTTTTGGCCTTTTGGGCGAGGAACTGACTTCTTGCGCAAATAGGGAGAAAGACAACATTCAAATCGGCTACTGCTAAAGAGAAATTTCTGCTGTTTGGGAAATGAGGGATTGCCCAAATGAAAGCTATAATATGATTTTGACATTGCCTTCAGTTCAGGCAACTGCTTTCTTGGGATCTTCCTATTCTCTCCTTTTTCTGTTTGCTCCTAGTTGTGGCGATCTACGACTACACTAAAGACAAGGAAGATGAACTCTCCTTTCAGGAAGGTGCCATCATCTACGTCATTAAGAAAAACGACGATGGTTGGTATGAAGGGGTGATGAATGGAGTAACGGGACTCTTCCCAGGGAACTACGTGGAGTCCATCATGCATTACTCAGAGTGAAGACGGCCACAACAAGAGGCAGATTTGCACCTTGCTTGCCATGAGGTTGTTGGGCTCCCCAGGTCTTCTACAGTGGCTGGGGGGGCCCTGTCAAATGAACTGAAGGAAGGAAGGATCATTGTAAACAAAACCACTCTTATTTTTTTTTGTTTTGCTCCCCCCCTCCCCAACCATTTTATAAAATAGTGATTTGAGTTGTTTTGGAGAAATGGCTCTTCCATTTGCCAGCGGCGGCTGGGCTGAGCGGAACGACGTATTTTAATAAGCTGACCGATTCGGGTGTAGATATAGGAGATGTAATGAACTTGCCAATTAACCGATCCGTTGCTCAAATTGTGACCCATTCAATCAAGACATGGGATTTTTCTCAGGAATAATGTAAGCCCTGGTATTGGGACATCCCAGATGCCAGTGCTGAAGGGTTGGCTTCGATAGGCCATCCACCCCCCTCCTTCTTTGCCTTTCCCCAAGTCCCCATTCTTCACTCTCTTACTGTTGGAAGAGCGTTATTGTACTGGCAAACATTTTTTGGGTTCACACACCAACTGGATCTCAGGTTGGTTCCTTGCATCTCTGACCCAAAACACTTCTGCAGCTGTTCAGCGCATGTAGCCTGATCCAGGTGCACACAGAGCTGGTTTCGAATCACATTCCTCTTGCTTTGATAACGCAGGAAGTTGTAGCTTTCTGCTTGGCCTCCTGTTATATAGATCCTTGAAAGCTGCGAGCGAGGCCTCTCTCATTTGGTGAAATGGTTGTAAAAAAGTTGGAAGGAAGATGAAGCTTGAAATTAAGATTTGGGCTGCCTCCCTATTTGGAAAAATATCCAGGAAATAGTTTGCACCCTCCTCTCTTGATAAGTGACATATTGTCCAGATTCTGCTTTCAGAATACGTATAAGCCACACCTTGTGGTTTCACATATCAGGCTTCAGCCCTGGTTCTTCTCCCGAAGGCTGGCTGCAATCTTCTGAAATTACCTCATGTTTTATAGTTTGGGGAATTAGAATAGAGAAGAATTCAATCTCTCTAGAGGTGGGGGAAATTTGAATTCATTCACAAGTTTCAGCTAAAAGTTGGAGCTGTTTGGCTCAAATATCATCATGCATACCAATCGGATGGTACAAATTGACTTCAGTGCATATCATGAAAGACTTGTGGAGGCAGGCAGACAAATGTGGCCGAGGCCTGTTAGCTGATCTTGCTAGGAATCCGGAGGGCTGCCTTCTGTTTTGGTTTCCTTTGAAGGCAAATTAGAAACGGAAGAGAACTTGAGCTACCTTTTCTCCAGTCTTTCAGATGGGTGATTTTCTTAAATGTGAGGAGAAGCCTGCTGTAATGGCTTCTTAGGTTTTAAGGCCAAACTTGATGACACGTGAAATGTCTTTGCTTTTGGTTAAATTGCAGCTGTCCTATTCAGGATCAGGCATGGGGTAGTAGGGGGCTAACCATTTCCCTCCTACATCACGGTTCCCTCAAAAATAGCCTTTTCCAAGCTAGTTGCAGAAGGAAGTTGCTGCCGCCACCAATGGCAGATTCCCTCTCATACAGAGAGCAGCTTTGAAAGGAATCCCTGTAATTTTTGATGGAACCGTGGTGTGGAAGAAAATGTGTCTCCCCTCCCCCCAATATGCCACAGCCCCAATCCTGACCCCCATAACAGCAACCCAAATGAACCATGGATATGCAAAATTCAACCACACCTCTCCCTGACCCGTTGAGTCTTCACTTGAATAGTGACCGAAAAGTGATGAACCTGTTATGCTAGCCTGCCTTTCTTAACACCAACTAGCCAAAATTCCATGAGACCAGCAAAAATGTCTCCAAAAAAGACCAGCAGGCATCTAGTTCCTCTATCTGCGCAGGCTCTCTTGGCTTACCCTCTGCAACTGGTGTGCTCGGAAATCTTCAACATGCTTTGCTCGAGCCAGGAGCAGAATTCAAGCGGTACCAAGAATCTAGCGTAGATTTTATGTATCTCCCATCTGCACAGTTTGCTTATGTGGGGAGCACCTTCAAAGATCACAAAATCAGTGCTCTGAGCAGCTCTAGCCTCACTAAAATGGGATGGCTTTTAGGACTGGCTTGTTTGACGGAGTGAAAGCTTTATGGGGCTGTAGTCCTATAGGCACTGGAGCATTAGGGCAAATTTCTGGCATGATCAGTCTTTACTTCCCTTCAGAATGCACATGATAAGACTCCTACATATCTACATTGGTGCATGCTCTGTCTACCATGAGAGGACGTTGTCTTCTATTATGGCCGCGATGCAACCATGCACATATGTAGGTATCGGCGTGTGTAATGTTCTGTGTGTGTTGGGATGCACACGGGCCCGAGACCACAGCTCGCCACACAAAGAATCTGCACGGAGATGCAGACTTCTGCATATGTGCTCCTCAAGGCCCTTGCTCAGCTCGACACGATAAACCCTTGGCGCTCTCATCTGATTCTGTGCAGGAGGAGGCAAGTCTCGGATATTGTTCTGGGCTTTGATGCAGAATGCCTGCAACAGAACTAGGTGCTGGAAAGAAAAACGGGGAAAGAAATGTTGTTTTCCCTTCTGCGCAAAGCACACTGTGTACCTGCAAGGTAGCTGCTGTGTTGCAAAGAGCTTTTATAGCCGTGAAAAATCCGAAGGAAACGAGGCAGGATAATGAGGATGCTTGAATTAGAGTTTCCTTCTTCTCCAACTGCTCCTGCGGGGAGGGGAGCATCCCCCACCACCCTGTTTGGGGACCCATCTTAATTTCCCCCATTGTTGATGCACTTTAAGTCTGGTACTGGGCCCTTGACTTCTCGAGAATACTTACCCCCCAATTAAACCTCACCCCATTGCTCCACCCTCCCCCCACAAAAAAAAAAACAGGTTGCCTTAGTGCCGGATTCGTCACATCTTAAGAGAGTTGCTGTCTTCTCAGCCCTTCTGGAAAATGCCACAATATCGTTCATCTTAGATTATACAGCTGACCAAACAGCAGACCTGCAGTTCCGATGCCGAAATATCATAATCTGTCGCTTTTGAGGTTGCAGCTTGGTTTTATTTCTAAGAGCAAGGGAAGCTGGCCTGGAGTGTAGGTCCAATCCGGACAGATTCCTCACGCGCACAAGTTGTTTGGAGAAGCTTCTGAGATTGTATCTGTAGTGGGTTCCCCCCTTTTAAAAGTGCTTTCACTATAGAATTGGTTTATAAGGAGCTTCTCTGCACTGGGTTTTTTTTTTAATGGTTGCATTTCCTTGGTTGTGTGGAGAGGGACTCTGATGATTGTTCCCGGCTCCTGTGGGGGGCAGTGCCCTAGAAGACTTGATTTTGTGGCCGTTCCCTACAAACCTCCCGGGCCAAGATCACTTTCCATGAAGCTGCTGCAGACGGTCTTTCCAGATTGCTCGCCTCTTGCTGGTCTTACACTTTCTATTCTGCAGTACTAACGTAAAGAAATTCCTTGGATTTTACGCTTTTTTTATTTTGTACAGTTTTGAATTCTGTAGAATGTTTAGGGATGATATGTACACGGCCCAAAGTAATCAGACTTTGTATGTATGTAATGTTGCATAGACTGCATGCTATTTCAAGTCAGTGAGGGTGGTACTCCATCTATCAGTTGTAATTTCCTCTAAACGTTCCCTTTTTTAATTTAATGTTTACTTCTTTTTTAAAGAAAAGAAAAGGGGGTGGGTTGGGAACGGAAAAAAGAGGGTGGGGGGGACAGGCCTGGGAAATTGGAAATAAAATCATTTTCTCCCCATAGAGTCCTGCTTTCAAAAATCAAATTGAGGTGTTAAAAGTTATGATGATTTGATCATTTACTTTCAGCCTCTTAAGTGCAAACAGTGTAAGAGTTCTATGTATGATCCGGTATCAAGCTCCTGATCATTTATTCCTTCATAAAATGGCTTTTATTCCCTTGGCCTGCCTTCTCCCACTCATGCAAGTAATGGATCCAAGATGTGTGTGTTTTTCCTGCCGCTCGCATTGGCTTCCTGCTTAAAGACAAAATCTCGGTTTCCACAACACCGGGAACAAATCCTTCCAAGCCAGAAGAGTTGCCAATCTAGAGTAGGAATGATATATCGCTGGAGTCTTTGCTTCCGGTTGGTTGTTCTTTCCAGGGGCTGCCTCTACTCTGCTTTGTGTAAACTTACCACTGTCCCCCTAGTTTTGCTCCTGAAGCCTTGCGCACATATGCTATGTAAAGGGGAAGAGGGACAAAGACCGTACTCCACGGCTCTGCACGGCACACAAGCGTGGCACAGAAGGTGCTCTGAAGACCTGCAAGTGAGTTTCGTCTTGCTACCTTGGACTTTAGTAGCAATGTTTAGAAGGTGGGTGGGAGAAGAGAATTTAGTAAGAGGCTCACAAAATGTTGGCTGCCAGTTTGCAGATGCTATGTGCTGCTAAAGCTCAGGTTCGGTGCCGTGACTCGAACATGCGGATGGCCTGCTTTTCTATCTTTGCCCCCCCCCCCCCATTTTGGATCATGTCATGACGATATTAAAAAGTCCCTTTGTTCCCAACTCTCTTCTGTAATCTTGCATGCAAATATTGGGAAAACCCAGGGCTGTCCGTTAGCGGGACATTGCCTGATGGCAGATCCCCATCATTGGAGCATCGCTGAGGACCTTGAGTAAATGGGTCCCTTTCCACAAGGTTTCGGGGTGGAATGAACCTTGGGAGCTGTTGAGTTTTCGCATCAACATCTAGCTGTGTGGGGTGATTCTCCCTGCCCCCTGTCCCAAGGAGGATAACGGTTGCCAACTTACTCTCTGTAAAGTTACAATTTCTTACCTGGGCTGCCGTCATTCAATTTTTGAAGTGGCATCTTCAGTAAGTAGAACTGACTTCTAGTGTTTTCCAATCTCTGCTGGGCGAAAGCCTTAAATGTTCAGTTTTTCTCAGTGTTATCCCATTGATCTCGGCTTTGAGCCAAACACAAAGCAGGAAACACTTTCCCCTGTAGGAAAGGGGGGCTAATTCTAAATTTCCCCAAGCAAATTCTGCTGGGGAAAACCAACCAAGGGCATGGCTAGGTTTGGTGCTAAAATGGAATGGAGCATGATGTATGAATGGAAATAGGGTGTCTTCCAATTTGTAGTTTCTGGGGCAGCCTTTGAACACAGAACAGTATTTGAAAGTGTCATAAGCTTAATGAGGGGAATGATGACTTTTAAACTTGATAACCGGGGGGTGTTTTCTCAGTGATGCTGGTTAACCTCTCGGTGTTAACTTTGTGTGTGGGAGACGTAAGAGGCAGACATAGATGTTAAAAAACGGTGCACAGCTCATATCCTAAATGAAGATGGGGATAGTCCTTGTTCACGAGAAATGATTCCTTGCAAATGAGAGAGAATGGGGTGGTAGCCAACTCGTAGGTTTTAGTCATAAATGGATCCGTTGGAATTAAGGAAATGTGACCAATTTCAGTGGGCCTACTGTGAGTAAAACTTAGTTGGATAACACCCATGACTCTTAAACCTGCAGTATTAAGACACTCACTTTTTCCAAATGAGGAGTGTTGCGGTATTTAAATGCAAAATGAAGCTAACTGATGTTGCCTAAATCTAGGTCGCCTTGATATTTTTATTTCAAAGGCCAGATTTTCCTAGGCAAATGAAATTTGGAGGGACTGTCATTTTTACCCGAGTATTAGATTTACCATCTTCTGCAGCTGCTATTATGTGTATGCAGCATTTGACCATACCTTTGTTTGTAGTTAACGTGCTTTCTTGAGAAGAATGGCATATGCCTGTCTTTTTTCTTAGCGCCGTTTCTAAAGGCAGCAAACCGGCATGCCCTGAGACGAGCATAAAATTTTGAGACCAGAGTTGTGCTTGGACCGGAGAATGAAATTGTATGCAGTTCAGTGATTCTTTTCTTATTGATGATGCTATCTATCGTGTGTACCAAATTCTAAGAGACTGGGTAAAAAGCACAGGCTGGTGTCCGTTAGGGTCTTGCTGAATCTCGATGATCAGGTGCTTATTTTTCTCACGTAACTATCATTGCTTATGTCTGGATAGGTTTCTGAAACCTTTCGCAATGGAAACAAACTCCAATTTGGTTTACACTGAGCAACTTCTGCTACTAGTGGCAAGTGTTTATTTCCTGAGCTCTTGTGGTGACCTCACAGATGGTGAGAATTGTGCAGGATTCTAAAGAAAGCCCTGTTAATTATGTTTTACTGTGTGTGCCATTAAACCACCTTCCAATGAGTGAGGGAGCATAAATTTTTAAGAGTTTTTAAACTGTATTTGGAATTAACTGTTGCTGTGTACTAAACCCTCTTGTTACAAGTCCTAAATAAAAAAAGAAAGCACACTCCAATCCCCTCCAAGCGTCTTGAGGTTGTCCCCTCCTTGCCGGATATGGCATTAATTGAACTGCTGTGTGGACCGAGATTAAATTCCTGTTGGTTCCGGGAATAACTGTGTCTCTCTTTGTAATAGTTCCAGATAATACCAAGATGTCATAAACTGCAATGGACGCAAAAATAGTGTTAAGGACACTCCTAATTTTGAGTGGCTCCAAGAACTTTAGAGGGAGCTTGGAAGGTGGAAGATCTGGTCTAGGATACCGTAAAGTTACAGTCCCCGAAAGTGTGTATAAAACTTGCATTGAAATCCTTTAACTAACAGGTGCTGCATATCTCCCAATCTGAGTATTTTCAGATAAGCTAAGTGGGTATTTTTAATGCTTCACTATGTTTGGACACCACCTTAGGGAGCTAGGTCAATCTATGCTCCGCATGCAGCAGGTTTGTGGTCTTGTGATGCAGTATTTTCCTTTATCCACCTGCGCAGGGCATGGTGATGGACTGAAGCAACGAGCCCTTGAATGCAGGGGTTTCCAGGCACTTGTTGCATTTCATGCTTTTGCCTCAAACTCTTGTCTACACATACTGACATTTGTGCTTTAGACATTCCCAGATTTCACAAGTGTGGGATTGTCAGTATTTTCTTCCTCTGGCCTGATGTGAAGCAGCAAGCTGGTATCCTCTTGTTTTGAGAGACACTATTAACGAAGATGGCATTAAACTTCCAATTCCTGCTAATGATATCTGTGTACATGATGACCTAATTAAAAGCAAAAGTGGGTGTGTATAGAGGAATAGTAACATTGCTGAATAAGTAATGTCTTCTTCAAAAGGTGAATGTTCTGTTTCAGTAGAGACTTACGAAGGGATGCAAGGCACACTTGCAGAAAAAGTATTGATATACTCCAAGGGCAGAGGCGTAGGAAGGTCAGGTGGTACCCGGTGCGAAAAATTTCTTGTCACCCCACCCCCAATGATTTTTTGTTTTGCCTGCAAAAATGGTTTTACGTTGTTTCATATTTTCTTACACAGGAATAAGAATAAGTAATAATAATAATAATAATAATAATAAACCAAAACCCTTTTATTTCTATCCCACCTTCCCTGGCCGAAGTCAGGCTCAGGGTGGCTAACATCAGATACATAACATTGGTATAAAATCAAACAATTACATTAAAGTCTAATTAGATGGCTTTCCACAGGGTTAGGGTTGGGAACAGTAAGTGCTCCACTGAATTGAAATTTCAGCTGTCACGACACAGGAAAACGGCCAAGTAAACAGCTATTTTCGTGGAGTAGGGTCAAGATATTAACTGATATGTATGAAATCTCATATATAGCTATATAATCCCTAGTGTAGTAAGATAAGACCTTTGAAGCAGGCATTTTCAAAAAAATGGTTTTTTATGAACAGCCCTAGTAGGGCAGTAATTGTTCCTTGATAATTTGTCACCCCCCCTCCATGATGGAACCTGGGGTGACCCTCCCCCCCCACACCCCTGTCCAAGGTTAATCTATGTATTTGCAAAGGCAAGTTAGTTTTGTGTGCAGGCAGTTCTGCATTCAAGCCTTAGTTTTAAAAAGTGCTGGGAAAAGCCTTGAGGCTGCTGCCAGACAATACTGGGCTAAATGGGCAAAGTAGTCTCACTTCATACTATGCACTTGACCGTGCATGTTTTCAAGCACAAGGTGGAGCAAGAAGTATATTTTATTACCTAGATGTGAGGTCACTTTTTTCACTCAAACACAAAGGAGCCACGTAAGAGAAAGGCACTAGGATTTCTTTGCAATAAAGACCCAAGGATTCAAGACTGCAGCTAGAGGTTTCTTTTGCAGTTAGTTTACTTTTAAATAAAACTTAAACAGAAAATGTCACATGAGAACAGCGGACAAATTTAACTATATCTTTATTGACTTGTGCATATTCCATTGTAATGATTTCCGAGTACTTTGTCATTGAATGCATTTTTTTTATTTTTTTCTCCCATGCTTAAAAAAAGTATATTTATACATATTTATAGAATATTTATATAGAACAAAGCTCTTCTCGACTGTAAATTACCACTTTCAATGAGATTTGCTTTCTTAAAGGGAAAGGAGATGGGGAGGCAGTCCCACTCTAAAGATAAAATGTGCAATTTTTTATGTAAAGCAGTAAACATATGAATGTATTTAAGCACTTAGCACAAATCTGCACAGACAACATAATTGCTGCAATGTTGGTGTTTAACAGGTGCATAATCAGGACTCCTTACCACTATCGAATGCTTACCAATGCCTGCAAAACAAAGCTCAATTTCCCACAATTTACAATCGCACAGTAGGTGAAGCAGGAAAAAGCAGACAAATGACCCAATCCCATTTTCAAACACATACTTTGTGAGAAATCTAAGATGCCGCAGCACAGATCTTTATCCGCCCGCCCCCGGCCGTCTAAAAAGCGAAGCACATTCTGGTCCAGAGAGTTCAATGTTTCCCAACATTTTTGTATTGGCCCCTGTAATAAAGATGTAAATAGGCAGCAGAACCTGCTAGACGTAGATAGGCGTTTTGAGAAAACTACCACAGACTGTCCTGTTATCTCTTTGGTAGAAAGAAAACCCCAAATATTGGTTGCTGAGGGCATGCGTACAAAGATGCCCTGCCAAGCCCAAGGCGGTGAACCATATCATCACAGCAACTGGTACCAGCTTCTTGCTGGTTCAGTATTGCAGTTTGCATATATTTAAAGCCATCATGTAGAGCAGCCCACAGCTGGGCAAGGACGTGATCTACTAGAAGGGCGTTCACAATTGATAGTGTCGGGCTCATAAATTCTACACCCGTGTCGGGCTCATAAATTCTACACCCCCCCATAGGTCCTAAATATACAGGTTTGTAATGTGTAGCTGAATTTTGAATTTGCTTTAGTGGTGGGAAGGGGGGGCGGAGTAAAGCAGCATACAGATGTGTACATTACACACATTGAACAAGATTGCCACTGATCGCAGTGTTTTAAATATTCACTTTATGATTATTGGGTTTTTTTGGGGGGGGGAGTGGGCATAATGGTACCCTCAAGCCTAAATCGGTTCCAGCACATCTAAAAGCCAAACTACACATGAAGCATGTAATCAGCAGAAGAAAAAGTACAAAATTGCTAGGTTGCCAGTGTGGGAACAAGGACCTCTCCGTCTCCTCCCTTCTCTAACCTCCGCCCCCCCCCCCAAATGCTGCCTTGGGGCAGATGTGAGCTTAATGTTGGTTTTCCTGCACTCAACTATTTAGCAAAGAGAAACAAGCACAGTTGCCAATTCTCCAGTTAAGGTGTGATTTGGCCCTACAAAGCTTTTCAGCTTTCGAGATTAAGCAATACCGTTTCAAGTAGGTAACCATTAAAAAATAAATATAGGATACTTTTCTTATCCGGGCCAAAGGGTCTACAGAAGTACCTCACTATGTGTTAAGACGCAGCAGCAGCATGTACTTTTTACACTTGGGATTATAAAGTTAGGGCTATGTTAAAAATGTCCAAATGCATTTTGAACCAATCTATCCCTGGTACTTTTAAACTTGTAAGTGGTTTTTAAACATGAAACGGGATCGACATCTTTAAACGCTAAAGGCGTTTAAGGCCAAGCGGTTGTCGTCAAAAGCAGTGTGGCTAACCTCTTCTCAAATTTGCAGTTTGCTAATCAACAATGCAGACAAGAAAATGAAATGCAAGTAGAAATGAAAAAAACAAACACATTTGCACCACTGAAGTTTAAATAGGCGTGAATTCAGCTGATGTTGCTCAGAAAAGTCTTTCTGAGTTCCATCTACATGTCTGCCCATGCTGTGCTCACTGAATATTCCTGTCTTGTTTTTGAACCCTTCACAAACTTTCAAGAATGTTTGCATGCCACATTCGACTTCCAAAGAGGTTTGTAAAGAAAATTGCAGCCTAGACACAGAGCATTGTGGTAGACCTGCAAACTCAATTTAAGACTCCGTAGGAACGACTGAAGCAATAGTGGGGAACCTGTGGCCTTTCATGTGGGGGTGGGCTCCCATCATAGAATTGTAGTTGAACGGGACCCCCTCCCAAGGGTCATCTAGCCCAACGCTCTGCAATGCAGGAATCTCAGCTCAAGCATCCATGACAGATGGCCAGTAGCCTGGGATAAGGCAGCCTGTAGTCCTAACATCTGGAGGGTCATAGGTTCCCCACCTATCTTAAGATAGCTTTATAAATTAAGGAAGGGAGACATTCAAGAAGAAACAACAGTTGCCGCTGCAAAGATCAGGACACCATCCAGGGCAAAGATGCAACTTGCCCTTTTCTGTTCACAAACGGAAGAGATCGTGTGAGGCCTAAGCTGCGTTGCCCTGTTCTGTTTCAGTAACTTACCCCTCGCATCCACTGTAGGCAATTTAAAATCCCGGAGCACGGTTAACAGATAAGAGTTGCTGGCAAAATGGCGAAGCACCACACAATTAGCAGGCTTACCTAACCTCAGAATGAGCACGATTTTGAAAAAAGATCCATGGAGATAGTGCAGTCCTACATAATGTCAGAAGTAAGCCCTGCTGCATTCCATGGGACTTAATTCGAGGTAAGTGTGTAGAATTGCAGCATTAAATGACTGTAAGATGCACATACCATATTAGATTGTTTGTAAGCTGCACATACCATTAAGGTATAATATCCGAATGCTGCATCCATAGCAGTGACCCGAGGAGGAATGACAGCTGGGAGAAGAAATCCAACAGTGCATCTGCGGAGCACAACCAGACCTCTTCATCTGCCCCGGCTGCAACAAAACATGTCTCATCACAGGTGCTGTAACCTTCCAACAGTTCACCCCCAAAAGTGCACTCCTACATCGTCTCCAGAGACAGACGGATGCCCATAAACACATCTGGAAAATATGTTCTACATTACTGTTTTTCAGAAGACACCAATGGGTAGCTAAAATGGTACCTTCTTACCCCTGCTGTTGCTTATTTGTGGGGCGGGGCACATTCTTTAATTTACCAGGGCACAAAAATTCACGACATTCTGAAAATATCAATGTGGATCTTGGTCAGTTGTTTGCATTTAAGATGTTTCGTTAAAGCTGGGGAGAGAAATAACAGTACTTCAAAGGCATTGGTTCTAAATTAACAAAAGGGGGCAGGGAAGTGATTGAATTAACTGACTTGGCTGCCCAAAGCAATCCCACACTCTCTTCTTAGCAAGCTTATGTACCTGGCTATGAGGTTGCTACTAGACATGGAACAAATCTGGCATATTCCTCGCACCTCCCAAATGAGGTGGGGTTTTTTCCCCTTTAGGCCAGCAAGTGGTCCGAGCAGCAACAGAAAGAATAAAGTTGAGCACCAAATGCATTGTAAGTAAAAAAATAACCACCGTTTGTTGTAAGACAAGCTAAAATGCTGCAATGTAAATGGTTAAGGACACTTTATAAGCACAAAAATAGAAGAAATGAAACTCTGAACACTTTGAAAGTTACAAAAAAAAGTGCCATCCGACAGCAGTGCTTTAAAAATGCACACAATGGTATATTATTGCTCAAGTAAACTATTCTAAAATAGGAAAACTGTGTCCATGACACATTTGGGGAAGGGAAAAAAGCCGATTCAGCATCAGATGACATAGCACCATTCCTTTCTGCATCCAAGATCCTTCTAGGCCAAAAGCAAAAATGACTCTTAACTTTCTCCGGCTTTTTCTAGAGCGAAATGTTAAGCCCTCCAAATTACCCTAATTTGGATACCTTTCTACAAACAGAGCTCAGGCAGACGACAGTCTTTTTTTAAATAATAAAAAAAACACACAAAGGCAAACGCCACCACCTCAGCCCCAGAAGCAACTAACTTCTGATGCCTAAGACAAGCTTACGATGGGCTAATCTTTGAGGTTTAAAAGGTGGCAAGCCCTTTAAACACAAGTTCAGAGCAAATTATCGCTGTCCTTCTCCTTACACACACGCACTGCACTCATATGCAATTCAGTAATAGCCAATAATGAGAAAGTTTTACAATTTCTGTGTTGCATCGCACAGCAGATGCAATACTTGCTGCCTGGGCCTGCACATCACTTGAATGGTTTAAGCGGAACAAGCAATGCGCTGCTGGTACACTGGCTCAACAGTGCACAGCACTAACCTTTGTTCAGCATGCTACCAACGAAACAAGCCATAGGCTGTTTGCTGTTGCGCGCGAAACAATGCTCATGGTACGTTTCTCAACAAAAATCCAGCTGGTTAGCCAAGAAGGAGCCTACCATCACATTTTTCGCTTCTCTCCTAACCGTAAAAGCGGGCTTGCGCACAACAGCAAACCAGCGCCTGGTTTGGTTCCTCGCTGGCGTGCTAGCAAAAGGAAGCACGAAGCACGGTCTCTCCACCAGCACACTGGTCCTTCATGTTAAGCCATAATTGAGACTGATGTAAACGTAATGCATGAGCTGGGCCACTGCTTCAGAACTTCCTCGCCTGTTAAAAGTTCCGATTCCAAAATGCACTACTTGAACTTATGATAGCACAGGTTCCTAGGACGAAGAGGTTTCTCGACTCGACTAGAGCATCGCAGATGACGGGAGCCAAGACTTAGCTCTCGTGCCATCACCAAATCAGGCGAAAGGGAATTGCACTATGATCGCCCTTTTGCTTTGTCCATTAACAAGCCATTCTGCCGCCCCCTGGGGTCACCTGTGTGTGAAGAAGCATTTCAACCACTTAAGCAATGCTTGCCCGCCCAGCTGTTGTGGAAACGGGGGTCATATTTGCACGTGCCCCTCTTCAGCCATGCAGAATGTATTTGGGGGGGGGGAGGGTGCCCAACGGGTGAGCAAACCCCATTTTCTCCACACTCCCCCGTCAAGTGGCAAGGTTTAAGCGGGTTTGCAAGTGGGCTTGGCTGAACACGCTCGCAGCAGCCCTGCCCGTAACCCAGAACCTCATGCCATCCAACATCTGAGGGGTGGCCAACTCCTCTCCACAGATACATGTTTCGAACGTTGGGAGAGGGCTCGCGTTGAGCGTTAATCTTAAGAGATGCAGGTGCGCTTGGGTCGTACGCAAGATGGCATCTTGGCAACCTGCTGAGTAGCACCGGAGCAAGGAGCTCGCGAACTGAGCCGAATTGGTGGTCACACATGGCAACTGGCACACCCAGAATGATTCTGAACTGAGCTTGCAGATGCACCATTTCTGCTTAAATGCCAAACTGATCTCTAAATAAAAATGAGTAACATGGATTAGAAGAGTGTGTATTTATTCTAATTAAAAGCACGATCCCTTCAGAGAAAATCCCACTTGGTTCATTGCAAGTTGCTCCCTGGTGAACAGGATTGCAGCCGGATCCTACACCTATTTAGTCACAAATATGTCTCCGCCGTGTTCCATGGGGCTTACACCTAAGTGCACAAAGGTGTAATAAAGGGCAGTGTCTTCTTTAGCGTTTTGATTAAATAAATCCTTTCCTTTCCCCTTAACAGTTCCAGAAGGGAATGTCTGTATTTTGAAGTCCAAATATATTTAACTCCAGGCCCACAATACAACACATCCCTTTTCCTATGTATGGATTTAATCTCAGTAGTATTACAACCAGAATGTTTTGGTAGATTGTTTCGGAGTTTTCAATCAACTGACAATGTACGAACGCCGACAGAATCTGTCAGTACCCTATACCCGTCACCGACTGGGGAAAATAGGTTTTTTTTCTGATTAAAGTGCCTCCTATTATCTTCAATTTTTAAAAGGGCTTTTCTTTTAAGATGTGCCATCCAATTTCCGGTAATATACATATCGGTTGACTGAAACAAATAAATACAGATGTACAAAAACATTCTGGTTAGCCTCTATCATTGCAACAAAATACTTCACAATATATTATATACCTACATTTATAATACATGCACCAACATGTCTCACGTGACAGACAACAGATGTTTTCCTGAATTGCAGGAAAAAAGAAGTGTTTCAAAGATTTTGGTCCAATCCGTAACGAGGATCTCAAAAGAGTTAGCCCGCCCCTTGCCCCAATAAACCAACTGCAAACAGAGAAATCTTTTGGGCTGATTGTGAACCGAAACAGGCGCCCATAGCTTCTGTTCACGTGTGTGTTGTGTGAGTGTGTGTGCGTGTGGGTACACACACACACACACACACACACACACACACACACACACAGCTATTAAGACAAGGAGCTTCACAAGTGTATCAGACATGTCATTTGTAGAGTTCACTGGCGGCCACTTACTATCACCAGTCTCGAGAGAGTTTGGTGTTTTGATCCCTCTTGGGAGGTGCTGGCGGTGGACCTCTCCGTAACGTTGCATAGCCCGATATGTGGCTGCCTCCAAAGTTGCTGCTCTTCTGCTTCTCCGTGAGAAGTTCCGGCGGGGGCGGGGGCAAAGCCATGTCATCCATGGTGGCCGTCGGCTCCGCCCTGGATATCCGGGCCGAGGAGAGGGAGCCGTGCCGCGTGATGGACTTGCGCTGCAGAGTCCTGTTCAGGTCGGCCAGGAACCCGGGCTGAACGCTAAGGCCAGACTTGGGCGAGGTGGGCACTTGCGGAGCCACGGCCGCTTGCGGAGCCGCGGCGGCCTGCGCTTCGGCCATTTCTGCCTGCGTGAGCCGGGTGCTGTCGTTGCGCTTGGGGCGGGTGGGGGGAGGAGCTTTCTTCCCCGACTGTTTGGACCATGGGGGCTGGGGCTGAGGGTTGACGACGGCCACTTTGGGAGAGGTGTTGCCCGAAAACACGGCGGGAATCTCAATGGGCGGCAGAGGGAGATCGATTTCAGGCGGCGGAGGGGGGAAGTCCGAATCCGACGGAGGGGAAGGAAACTCTTCCACGGTACCCTTCCCGGGCGCTCCTGTGGCAGGTGCCTTTGCGGAAATTCCTGCTTGCTGAAGTACGATAGGTAGATTGAGCTTTCCTGGCTTTGGGGGAGCTGCAGGGGGGAGCGGAGTCTCCTTCACAGGAGACCCCAAAGGCTCTGGCGGAGGTGCAAATTTGCTGACCAGGCTATCCACCGACGGTCTCTTTGATTCGTGGTACTCCGCTGAGCTGTTGGATTTTATGCTGGAGTTCCGCTGGGGAGTCGGTGGGGGCTTCTTTCCTCCCGGGCTGGACGTCTTGGTAGACTTCTTGACCGGGGAACCCCCTGCCTTGTCCGGCGTGGGAGACACCACCGTCGGAGCAGGGGAGGGCGGTGGAGGAAAGGCTAGGCTACTTTCAGGTGGCGGAGGAGGAAAGTCGGGAGATGGGACGGCGGTGGGCTGCCATTTTGGCTTGGCTTTGACTGCCGGAGGAGACTGCGGTGGCACATTCAGAGGAGTGGGCTTTAAAGGCTGAGGCTCTGAAGCCGGCATGGGAGGCGGAGGGAAGTGGCTGGCGATTTGCTTCACCACCGATGGCACAGGGGACTGCGGCGAGGACGGAAGTTTGCCGGAGTAGCTCTGCTGCTTGGGCAAAGTGGGCGGGGGGAGAGGGCCTAGCGGGACAGGAGACAGGGGAACCTGCGGAGTTGCGAAACTGGGCTGCTTCTTCATCGCTGAAGGAACCAGGGCAGGGGCAGGCGGCGTGGGTTGCGCCGCGACAGGCGAGGCGGCTTTTGAGCTGCTCTGTGTAGGCAGAGTCATGGCAGGCTTAGGAGGGGCTTGGGGAGGCGGCGGCGCAGGCATAGGCGGGGGAGGCGGCGGCGTGGCAGGGGCCGCAGCTGGCGCCGGAGCAATATTCTGATGAATCTGGTGGATTTTGAGAGGAGGGGGAGGAGGGGGTGGCGGCGTGAACTGCGGCACTGACGGGATGGAGGGCACGGGCTTCATGAGCTGCGCCATAGCTGAGCCGGGGGTAGGGGGAGGCGGCGGGGGTGGCGGTGGAGGGACCACACCATTAGGGGGCACTGGGTTCTGGGGCTTTGCCGGTGGCAGGATTGGTGGTGGTTGCTGCATCATATGGGGGGGCTTGAAGAGAAGCCCCCCGTGCTGAGAGGCGTTCTGCAGCCTTGTTATCGTGCTGTACTTCACAAACACGGTGGCTGAGCCGCCTCCCGATGACATGGACTGGCTGGGGAGGGGCGGCGGCGGAGGGGGTGGCGGTGGAGGAGGGGGTGGCGGAGGAGGGGGCGGGGGCGGAAGGGGAGGCGATGGCTGTGAAGCTGAATATAGGGGGGTCGCTTTGGCCTGCGGAGACAAAGCTGGTGGGACTGAAGTAAAGGGTCGGCTTATTGAGTCCATTCTAGCCTAAAAGGGAAGGGAATACAAAAAAACAAAATAAAATTCAAACATATATAGAAAGAGAAATGATTGTGAAAGTGCCTGCTATAAACTTTACTATGAATTACAAAAAGTTGAATAAAGTGCCGTATAACTGAGAGAGAAGATTGGGTTGGTACTATGTGCAGAGGGACCCGCACAAAGTTCGCAATTGCATTAGGGAAGACAAGATCTCCCATTGCTTTTAGAGCAGAATCCCTCACAACTGCCTAAGGTGGAAATATATATAGCCAAATTTGACAGGAGGGGAATGCAAGTGACCAAGCACTGATAATCAATACACAGAGTGAAAACCATCACGACTAACTATATCACAGAATAGGAAGGGAAGTCAAGGCATGCAGGGATTATTGACCTGGGGGGAGGGGGGGAAGGAAGAGGTCAAACAGAAGGCACCAAGAGTTCTGGTCAAGTTATTAAGGTGATTTACTTTGTGACATCTGTTAATAGATAATGGACCACCAAATGAACAATCCTATATTTTATGACCGTTTCTCCGTATTATGTGATTATTTGAGGGAAGCATTGTGAAACGATGGTTTCCTGCAATTTAGAGCTATGCATACCATTGCAAAGAGTACTTATCTGAAATTCAGCAAGCTATAGAACTCTTTTAAGATTCTTCATTCTGGGAAGAATTTTCCAGCAATATATGCTAAACCAGAACCATGACAGATTATTAATAAATTGGGGTGGGGGGTGCACGACATTGTCAAATTAGGGGAATTGAGTCTCAGGCACTTGTGGACTAATCAGTGTGCTTAAATATTAGATATCTCTTGAAAAAAGTTAGTCTGCATGATTTTGGTTGCATCATTCACCCAGGTTAATAGTTCAAACAAGGCCCCTGACCTTAACTCTACCCCTGCTTAAGTCATCACTGCAGTGGAGCTCTGAGCTGTTCCGGGTTTTGCATTTGCCACATGAGACTGCGAGGCAACAGGAAAACAAAACAAAACATAGCATAAAACATAGGGGAGCAAGCTGCGACATGAAGCAACTGTTACCACAATGGAATATTCCCAGAATGTATGAGGCTTGGCTGTTTCTCTAAATTTAATGGAGAATTCTTGGCTGCTTCCTTACATAGGAATCATGGCTTACAAGCAAGGCCAATGTTACGCAATGGCAAAATTCATATCCTATCATGGTAATATAGTATTGTCTGTTGTATGATACTTACGCTAATTTTGCCAGACTCTTCCAGTTGGGTACCACGCTTCCAGGCCTCTGAGAAGATGGAGCTAACGATACTTTGAGAACGGACATGTCCTGTCTGGGTATCTGAAACTCCACTATCTGATTGATTAGAATGATTGGATTGAGATTCTGTGGAAAGAAATGCAGAACAAACATTGGGCATCAATGCAAAACCCATAAAAGCAAGTTTATTTGAGTGAATCACTCTCACATGTATAATTGACTCCATGTCATAGCTGTCAACTTACAGATTTGAAAATAAGGGACCAGCAGCCTCGAAAATAAGGGATCAGCAGCCAAAATAAGGGATTTTCCGGGCACAGGTATGTTCAACTTCTGAGCCCCTCTGAGCCAAAGGCAGAAAGCCCAGCCAGCAGCCAAATGAAGCCTCATCAATAAGGGACAGCAGCGGGACATGGCGCTGGGATAAGGGACTGTCCCGCCAAATAAGGGACACTTGACAGCTATGCTCCATGTGTGAGCTGGAAGATACTCAATGGAATCGAACGCTTTCTCTGTTCATTTAACAACTGAAAACAGGACACAGGACTGAACAGAAGCCTATTTCATCTTGATGCTCTGGCAACAAGTCCCACAAACACTATCTCAATGTAATTATTCTTTAGTTCACGTTCTTCACATTTTAAAAGGTGTATGTTTCTGAATTAAATGGTAGGTCTCATTTTCATGTCACCCAAGGGGTGTTTTTACAGTGAATCAAAACTTCTTAAAACATTTTATAGAAACAGAATGGTACTGAGGCTTACCTGGCAAACTAGATGAACTGGATCCAGACTTGATACTAGAACTGGAGAGGGATGTCCAGTCATATGCCGATTCTGTCCTTTTCAGGGCTTCTTGATAGTTTACGTACAATTGTTTCCCATACTGAACAAAACAGAACAGGGAATGTGAACACTGCATGATTCAAATCCCAAGCTTATCAACCCCATCCCTTTCATTTCAGACTAGTGGGCTTGCTCCTGACAAAACCTACACTGTAAGATTAGCTGAAATTTTGTTTGGTGCCTGCTGGAGTCCTGGTTTCTTATTACCAATCTGCACTGAAAGCTAGAAACAGCTGCTCGCCTGATGGAATAACAACTATCTGGAAAGTGCCATGGGGTGAAATTGGTAGTTCCAGCCAATAACTCTTCTAACACACCGAGTTACAATTCTCCAGACAACTACAGAGCTTTGCATATGAGGGTATAGGGAAAAATCAAGAAGGCGCAGATGCCATCCCAAGCACAAAGTTCCATATGACATGGAATCCTAGGAAGAGGGTTACTTGTCAAAGGAGGAATAAAAATGTTAAAGAGGCTGGAAACGCTTCAGCGTGAAAATAAATGGTCACAGAATGCAGACTGAGTGATACCCAACTAGGTCATACTCAAGAGTAGACCCAGATTTCAAATCTAAGGGAGACTAAAGTTGGGCATCACCTATTAATTTGGACATACTTTTGGTTTAATGTGTTATACCAGACTGGAAATGCATATTCTGATGACCAGCAGAGTAAATAAAAACAGATAACTTTAAATTATTACAACAATCCATTTTTATATAATCATATACTTTGTTATATGCTAGTAACAATTTTTAAAAGAATATATTTAAATCCGATTTTTAGAATCCCTGCCCTTAAAAACAGTGTCTATGTTTGGACATTAGCAACGCCATTCTGTGTTTATACTTTCCAACTCTTATGGTATGACAGCTATTGGGAGAGGAGCAGAGAACTGGAACATACCTTAGCGATACGGATGCCATTTACCCACTGATGTAGGGTTCTGATATCATCACAACACAAATATTTAATATATTGCGACTTCTTCTGAATCTGAGGATGCTGCAAGAGAAACATTTGGCGCAGTCAGGGTGAACCGAATTTAAAAATAACAACCTTAACCTTACAGCATTAAGACTACTCCTAGGGAAGCAAAACAGTCATGTTCAAAGATTTTGCAGTTGCGATAGCAAAAAGTGAGGAATGCATCCTTTGAATGCTAGGGTTCATATTTCTGCACTGAAGCTGTTGACAGAAATAATAATAATAATAATAATATATTAATATTATATTATATTATATTATATTATATTAATTATATTTTAATAATAATAACAATATATTATTAATATAATTAGTATAATTATATTAATAATAATAATAATAAATTTTATTTATATCCTGCCCTCCCCAGCCGAAGCCGGGCTCAGGGCGGCTAACAACAATAAAACAGTACAAAAGTACAGCACAAACAACACTCTAAAATCATTCATTATAAAATTAATTAAATTAATTAATTACTGCTTAATTAATTAATTACTTAATTAAGAAACTGCTGCAAAATATGATTAAGAACTTGCTGCCTTCTCTCAAAGGCAAATGAAAACAGGATCTGATGGAGAGTGTGTCAAATCAATACTGGCTGATACAAAATATGCCCTTTTTTTTGCGTTTCATGCAGAAATGGGCAACACAAGGTACAAGAAGCTTTCCAACAACTAGTCTGTGGCCTTTTCCCCTTCCCCTTTTCATTTCTCATATTGACAGCTACTACTCAACACTTACTTTAAGTACTAAACAATAGTCTGTAGGGGCTTTATACTTATTCCGATAGTCTTGGCCGTAGTAAACATTTACATGGTCCAGCTGAAGGAAGCATACAAGATCCCGAGAGACCTATAAAAAGAAACACATACGGTCATGGACGTAGAAACCCTCAAATCATTTTACCGTAACTTTTTCAAAGTTACCTCCTGTGTAACTTTCAGGTTAATGTAAACACAAGGAACTAATCTCAGTAGGCAACTAGAATAAAACAAATTAACCCAAGATAGGAATAAAAACATTAGTACTATATAATCAGCAGAATGGAAAATGTTACAAGATCAAAGTGGAACAATTTTCTAGGCTCTCTCAACTATGGAAAGAACTTCAAATTAGATTAAAATGTTCCCAAAATAAAAAAAACAATGCCTTCGTGATGTACACTAAGTCACTATTGACAATTTTAAGCACATAAAAATATATATATTTCAACTGTGATATGCTAATGGAACCCAAAAGGACGTCAAGAAAAGCATGGGTGTTAAAATATTACCAGAAAGGGGACATAAAGATTTCTTTATCAGGTGGTGATTAATATTAAATAGATATTTTCATCATTATTGGGAGCGTTTTCATTCAAAAACTGAGTCCACCATGGGGATGGGTAAAAGATGGGGCTTGGTTAACCAAATATCTTCTGACAGAGACTGAAATAGATTCAGTTATCAGAGCTAGCTACTTATTATTCCTTTGGGAAGAGGAAGAGTTGGGAATTATGGGTAGGACTCATCTAACTGCCCCCATCAGTGGAAGCCCCCTATGCAAGGACTTCCGCTTGTGCAATGGGGCTTTCCCCCTTTCCTCCTCAGGAAATCGGCTTGGGAGAGTGGGGAGGAACCCTTAGAACAGTGTGGGAGAGGAAGAGAAGGGGGATCATTTTATCTGGCAGGCTCCAAACTTGAGCCGATGGGAGTGACAAACTGGGATGTCAGGGTTTTGAAAATACGAGAGTGGCACAAGTCTTAAAAACAGTTTTAGAAGCAGAAGATTCACCTTCGCCTTTCCTTTGGGAACATAGTAGATTCCAGAAGCACGCAGAAGAAAATAACGCTTCTTCCAAGATTTTTTGCCATCATCCTTCAGCCACAAGACACCCTCAATTTCTGGCACCGTTACCGAGCTTCCGCAAAAACACTCCTGGAATAGAAAGTTAACATAGATTTGAAGAGAACGTTCTGCAGTCACAGGGATATTTCTTCCAACACACATTAGCTAACCTTGAATCTTCAGCCTTTTTGTCCTCTTATTTAGCCCACTTATTTCAACTCTATCCTGGCCCTCATTACTGACTTGACCAATGGATTTAGATTATGAGCTCTGTAAGGTAAAGGTAAAGGGACCCCTGACCATTAGGTCCAGTCGTGGCCGACTCTGGGGTTGCGGTGCTCATCTCGCTTTACTGGCCGAGGGAGCCGGCGTACAGCTTCCGGGTCATGTGGCCAGCACGACTAAGCCGCTTTTGGCGAACCAGAGCAGCACACGGAAATGCCGTTTAGCTTCCTGCTGGAGTGGTACCTATTTATCTACTTGCACTTTGACGTGCTTTTGAACTGCTAGGTTGGCAGGAGCAGGGACCGAGCAACGGGAGCTCACCCCGTCATGCGGATTCGAACCGCCGGCCTTCTGATTGGCAAGTCCTAGGCTCTATGGTTTAACCCACAGCGCCACCCGCATCCCTATGAGCTTTGTAGGCAGGACTTAAGATTCCTTCACCCTTCTTGCATAGCAATAAATGAATAGCAGCAGTAGCAAATCAGCCACCACATCAATAATGTGGAAAGTCTCACCTCCAGTAGTACTTCCTTGTTCCTGTCTGCCATTTCAGAGGTTTCTCTTTTCCCTAGAAGATAATTCTGTAAGAGAGGGATTGAGACTTCAGCTGAAGCACTTAGAATTCAGAAATGTAATCATCATGATATCCCTAGAAGGGTGCCGTTTCTGAGAATAACTTCTCCAGGTTTCTACAAAAAAAAACCTATAAACCAGAGGGTGTGTGTGTGTGTGTGTGTGTGTGTGTGTGTGTGCGCATATATAAATATATATATATATATATTTAAAGTACTTACACTCTCTTCTGGATTCGATCCAGATAACTGAATCTACATGTGCTTGCCAAATACCTGACCCAATCAGGACTCGGCTAAATATACAATTCTGTAAAACCAAACGTTTACTCCCTTGGAGTCTTGTGCAAGGTATCTATGAAGCCTTTGATTGAAGTAATTAGGATGGGACTGGGCATCAAAGTTGTTGGAATATTGGGGTGGGTGGGGAATCTATGGAATATTTATGACAATCAAGATAAGCAATTTGGATTCAAAACCAATCTGTAGCATGGGACAAAGCAGAGATATCTCTTGTTTATCTTGCCACAGAACCAATCGGAAGAAGGCTGAAGCAGAACCGGTCCATGAAATCAACATTATGAAGGAACAAATTCTTTTTGTGGGAGGATGCAGATGATGTCCAGACCTATTAAAACACCTCTCAAACTCAGAAAGGAGTCAGTTTATTTTATTTGCTGGGCTTCGAATCAACTTTACTAAATCTGAAGTCATGTTTTTTAACATTCCACTCCATTTAAGCTCCAAAGAGATTTATCTGATATGCTGTTAATCCCTACACGTTACCATAATTTTCACCATTTGCATTCAAATATCTATAAATGTAAACAAAGTTACTTTTATGGCAAACCATGGAAAAGGATGGGAAAACTTGGAAGCATTTGAGAAAAACCGCCCTTCCTTAAACAACTCTGTTTATTTCAAATGCTCCTTACAACAGATAAAGAAATTGCAAAAAAAAAGTACACCAGTATGCGTTTGGCTCAAGAATACCCCAAATTTTGAAGGCTCTTATATACAAGCCAGCAAGTGAAGGGGACTGGGGAATGTCCAATAGCTCTCTATTGTAAGACTAAACATATGTCACATGGTTCCCATTGTGGCTGAGGACAGACAATGGGTAAAATTGGAGTCTGGGGAGGCTGCCAGGGCTCTGCTTTTTGTTCACTCATTTTACAAACATAAATTTCAATCCTCAGAGTGGTTAAATAAGAGATTTACAAAAGTAATGCTTAAAGTTCCGTCAAAGAGAACTGTCATTTTAGTCCCAGAGATCATCCCCTCTTTTTCAACAGACATAGACTCTGGTGCTCCAAGAATTTATAAATGGTCTGTGTCTTTTACAAGAAAGGTGCTGCAGAAGACATCAAAGAGGCAAGAAGTCACAGCATTTTCATGGCTTCCTTGGGGACAGATTTGAACCTTCTTGGTGAAACCAAATGTTAGACAATGTGCAATAATAAACTTGTCCAGATTTGAAAGACTGTTTTTTTAAAAGTATTTTTCCCGAATTTTTATTTTAAGTAATACAAAAGAATACAAAGAAGAAAAAAGGAAACAAAAAAGAAATATAAATACACCAATATATAACATTACATACATAACACCCACCACCCACCCTTGACTCCCCTCCACCACATCCTGATTTCTATTATATATTATATTAAATATTAACATTGCATTCTTTATCTAAATTATCTTTCATGTCTCCTTCCAAACTTCATTCTTCTTTTAAACTCTACAATCTTAATCTATGCATATCAACATATTCTTTTGTGAACAGTGTTTTTCTATATATTCTTCAAAGCATTTCCATTCTGATCTTAGCTTTTGGTTTGACTGTGACCTTATGGCTGCTGTTAATTTTGCCAATTTTATATAATCACTCATTGTACATATCCAATCCTCTTTGGAGGGAACTGTTTTGCTTTTCCATTTACTCGCGCGCTCGGCAGGACCTCCTGCCGGGCGCGCAAGGCTTGCAGACACTCGCCCGAAGCACGGGGAGCCCTCCGGAGGGTGCTCCGTGCTTCGGGCGACAGGCTGCCACCCCAAGCCTCGCACGCTCGGCGGGACCTCCTGCCAGGCGCGCAAGGCTTGCGGACACTCGCCGGGGCTGCAGGCTGCTGCCCGCAAGCCTTGTGAGCCCGCGGGAACTCCCGCCGGGCTTGCGGATAGCTTCCTGAAGCCTGGAGAGCGAGAGGGGTCGGTGCGCACCGATGCCTCTCGCTCTCCAGGCTTCAGCGAAAGCCTGCATTTGCCCCATAGGACTCACACACATTTCCCCTTCATTTTTGGAGGGGAAAAAGTGCGTCCTATGGGGCGAAAAATACGGTACTTTCTTTTCTTGTGGGATATATTTTCCCAATAGTCCCAATAGGTAAGCTTAGAGCTCCTAAGCATCGTTTTTCTTCATGTATAGTATCCCAAAAACGTTTTACTTTTTACAGTGGTACCTCTAGATACGAACGGGATCCGTTCTGGAGCCCCGTTCGCATCTAGAGTTAAACGTAACTAGCGACGGCGCGTTTACGCGCGCACACGCGTGTCGCTTTTCGCTGCTTCTGCGCATGTGCGTGACATAATTTTGAGCGTCTGCACATGCGCAAGCGGCGAAACCCGGAAGTAACACGCTCCGTTACTTCCGGGTTGCCGCGGAGCACAACTCGAACGTGCACAACTCGAAGCGTATTCAACCCAAGGTATGACTGTACTTGAAAGATTGTTAACTGATTATACCTCAAGCTCAAAGAGTCATGTTTCAAATATTTACTGATCGCTATTAAATTCTGAAAGTTCAGGGGGGCTAGACAAATCTGGGAACATGACTTGAGTATCCAAACAGATGAAGCATATTGGACTCTGGTCTTTTGTTAGAATATTGTGGGACTTTATTGACTATATACCAATACAGTGGTACCTTGGGTTACGGACGCTTCAGGTTACAGACTCTGGTAACCCAGAAATAGTACCTCGGGTTAAGAACTTTGCTTCAGGATGAGAACAGAAATTGTGTGGCGGCGGCGTGGCAGCAGCGGGAGACCCCATTAGCTAAAGTGGTGCTTCAGGTTAAGAACAGTTTCAGGTTAAGAACAGACCTCCAGAACGAATTACCGTATTTTTTGCACCATAACACTCACTTTTTTCCTCCTAGAAAGTAAGGGGAAATGTCTGTGCGTGTTATGGAGGGAATGCCTACGGGTGGCATGCCTACGGATTTTCCTCCTCTAAAAACTACGTGCGTGTTATGGTTGGGTGCGTGTTATAGAGCGAAAAATACGGTAAGTTCTTAACCTGAGGTACCACTGTAGAACACAGGAAGGGAATCTTCCCCAGAATATGGTCATTTATGGACTATTTAGCGAAGTAGATCCATCCCCCCTGCTTTTCATAGTTAAAAATGAATGTAACAGCCACATGACTGAGAAATGTATATGCAGAGGTTTATTCTGTGTATGTATTTCAGTTAAACTTTATTAAAGAGAGATATTTCCACTACTGTGTGTATAATTTGTGTTTCATATATTAAAATATAGTAAGTGTCAGAAAGGTGCTCAGATGCAGGGTGGGGGGGGGGAAGCAATAGACTCACCTGGGGATTTTTGAAAAGTGCATATTTTTCTATACGTTCTACAAACATAAGTTTATTTTGACTGTCTCTTGTCCAGTTGAGGAGGTTTTCTACCAAGTTTTCATGGTCTTCAAAGATTCTCTCTGCATAATAAACAAATCACATAATAAATATTCTAAGCTACAAACACAGGAGTGGGGTTTTTTTTTTGGGGGGGGGTCAATGGTTTGCTGACTCATGACAAAAAGCAGTAATGACATGTTTAAATATAACTGATATATATGTGTCACCATTAGCCAGGAATCCTGCTTATCAGGACATGCAAACATGGGCAATATAAACAAACGATGATTGTAATCCTATTTAATTTAAGCCAGCAAGACTCCTGAAGAGGATTACCGAAATCAGTAGTAAGACAGTCCCTGCCCTCGGGCTTATAATCTAAAAATGGGGTTTACAGACTTAGGAAGAGCAATGGAACTGGGTTTGTTTACTTGACTTTTTTGCCATAGTATTTTCCACGTGCAATTATGAGGAATAGCCACATTAAGCGCATCCAGTAATTCCATAGGTTTTTACTAAGAGATCACAAAAAGTACAACGTCAGGCCCTTCACTAAAAGTCTTAGATCCCTGAGACGTTGTAACACATAGTTTGGAAACTGAAAACTCAAATACTTGAGATTGTGAATACAGAGCAAGTCAGCAAAGAGTTCTAAAACAGGACCACGTATCGGTAAAATTCTGCATCCGCTCGGAGCAAGAGACAGGAAGAAGCTGTATTTCAAGCTTTACTAACCCATTTGTAATTCTGAGATGGTTTCTACCAAAGACCAGTCTAAGCTAAAACCACAGTGGGACTTGTCCATCAAGTTGTCCAGCACTTGTCTTACTGTCTGTCGTTCATCTACCATCATTGTTTTGGAGCTGTCATCTGACATGTGGACTCTAATGACAAGCTGTATGTAGACAGAAGGAGACAGAGTTAAATCAGCCAGACAGAAGTTGAAAACATAAAAGTAAATGCTAACATGTTCATGTTGACGTTTTTCTAATTAGTCCTATGTTGTTATCAATTAGCTTTAAAAGGCTATAAAATGGTAATCTGAATTAACCTTGCAACTAGCCAACATTTTTGGCTTAATAAATTGCTATTCTGTGAATAACTCCAATTCTCCTGTCGATTTCAGTGGAATTCAAGAGCAAGTTAAGTAACTGCAAACTAAGAAAGGCGCCAAGTCAAAAATTCATGAAATTACATGCATTTCATTACTGTTATCTCTCAGTAAAACAAGATAATAAGCTAGCTTGCTCCTATTTAGTTTTCATATTGTAGACATACTACCATGGTACTTGGCTGCAAAATGTGTTAAAGTTTAAGACATCTTTAGGGACTCCCCTTTACACTACTCTATTCAGAATTTGAGAACTAATAAACTAGGATGTGATACAAATGCAAACTGCACCACCAGATGAGAATATCACGCTAGAAAAATACACGATGTTGTGAATACAACCACAGGGGAAAATATTTATGCCATATGTATGCAGTCCTCAACAGGGAACAAATATTTCAAAACAGACCTCCACAATATATCAAGACTGACTTTGGATAATGCAAGACCTATAGTTTACCTTTTTAACTTGTGCTTCTTTAATCTTCTCTAAAGCAACCCTGATCTTTTCAGCCTTTAGCTTAGCAGCCTGTTCCTCCTGTGGGAGAAGAAAAGTTTGTTTAACCAACACTAAGCAAAGCTTAAACCACTGAAAAACCTTTGAATACTGATTACCCAGAGGCAACAATCACTCAACTAAAACAGTACGATAACGTCTAGTACAGGCATAGGCAAACTCAGCCCTCCAGATGTTTTGAGACTACAATTCCCATCATCCCTGAGCACTGGTCCTGTTAGCTAGGGATGATGGGAGTTGTAGTCCCAAAACATCTGGAGGGCTGAGTTTGCCTATGCCTGCTATAGTGGAACCACTTAAAGCAAACTACTATTCGTCATTTCCTTAACTCACCATTTTTCTCACCTGGTATTTTCATTATTTTTTATGCTTATTATCCTATTCTTACTATTGCAACACCCTCCAACAATACCCAGCTACAAGTTCTTTAATGGTTCTTCCATCTATATATAAAGAACATGGAATCCTACTAAGAGTTTTCCTGCTTCAAAATTACTTTTCTCTACTGTGAATGATAAGGGACGCGGGTGGCGCTGTGGGTAAAACCTCAGCGCCTAGGACTTGCTGATCGCATGGTCGGCGGTTCGAATCCCTGCGGCGGGGTGCGCTCCCGTCGTTCGGTCCCAGCGCCTGCCAACCTAGCAGTTCGAAAGCATGTCAAAGTGCAAGTAGATAAATAGGTACCACTCCGGCAGGAAGGTAAACAGCGTTCCGTGTGCTGCGCTGGCTCGCCAGATGCAGCTTGTCACGCTGGCCACGTGACCCGGAAGTGTCTGCGGACAGCGCTGGCTCCCGGCCTATAGAGTGAGATGAGCGCACAACCCTAGAGTCTGGCAAGACTGGCCCGTACGGGCAGGGGTACCTTTACCTTTACTGTGAATGATACCACCAACACAAATTCATCATTCCCTTCTTGATAAAAAGACATGTGCCATTCAAGTTAGTTTCACCTGACCTAAGCAGCTGCACATTTTTCTACGCAGTGGCATCTGTGCTGCACATTTCACCCTCCCGAGAAAGCTCTTCTGTATATGGATTTTCTCCTAGTCACATGTAGCTACTTTCAGCACCATCATTTTCAGTCTGTTCGACAAAGAGTGGTGAAAAAGGCAACAACTGCTGACAGCAACGGCCTTGGTTCACCAGCATTACAACCATCTTCAATGAAAGTAACAAGTAAGATGATAACAGCAATAATAAATGAGGCCTGAAACGTTATCTGAATAGCCACTTAAGCAAGACACAAAGAAGGTTATTAAGCTGGTTTAAGGACCTTCCTTAGATGGTTTCCTGCAGCTTGAAAAGTAAAACCGGAGTGAAACTTTTGAAGTATAACTCTTGCAAGCATCTAAATGTTGTTGCCTTTTGGGGGGTGATGGGGTGATTTAAACACCCAGGAACAACTGTAGGTAAAGGTAAAGGGACCCCTGACCATTAGGTCCAGTTGTGGCTGACTCTGGGGTTGCGGCACTCATCTCGCTTTATTGGCCGAGGGAGCCAGCGTACAGTTTCCGGGTCATGTGGCCAGCATGACTAAACCGCTTCTGACGAACCAGAGCAGCGCACGGAAACACCGTTTACCTTCCCACCGGAGTGGTACCTATTTATCTACTTGCACTCTGATGTGCTTTTGAACTGCTAAGTGGGCAGGAGCAGGGACCGAGCAACGGGAGTTCACCCCGTCGCACGGATTTGAACCGCCGACCGTCTGATCTGCAAGTCCTAGGCTCTGCGGCTTAACCCACAGCGCCACCCGCGTCCCTAGGGAACAACTGTAGTCCTCCCTTAACTCACTTAAATACCCACGGTTTCACATTGGTTGTAGGGTCATATTTCATTTGGTCTCAAACTATATAGCTATTGGCCGTCCTATCTAGGAAGTCAAACCCAGTTAGATCGGCTCTTGCACGTGACAAGTTATAGCTTATAACCAGTAACTATTTCAAGAGACTGTTATGGTTAGATTAGACTGGCCTACTTTTGCATGTCTCCTTTTCTTCTGTCTACTAATAACACAAGCAAAAAGCCATTAGAAGGACCAGCGTCTTTACACAGAAAAAGACAAGGCTATAAATGGAAGCAAATATTGAAGGTTAGCAACTTAATTATGAAAGGTTGGCAGCGCTGGCAAGACAGAGAGAACTTATAAAAAGCTTATGCTTATTTTCCGATTTCCATTAAAAAGAGCCCCATAAGCCGCCTCTCAAAATATGTACTAAAACACACGTGCTGCAAATGCAAAGCTTGCTGAGACAAGGGACTTATTGGAAAGTTCAGTCCTGGAGCCTTAAATTGAAACAGAGGGAGGCTCAAATTCTATGCTGAGTGCCAGGAGGCACGCAAAACTTGAAATGAGGTGGACCAGGCAGCAACGTTTTCTTAGCAAATAAGAATTATAGCCCACTGTACGATTTGCAGCATATGTAGAAATGTACGCACACCTGACTTGCACAAGCAGACCAAAGTGTGCTTTCGAAAAGGCAGCTACACGTCTGCTAAATGATTTGAGGAGCCCAGCTGACAGCTGGGAAAAGTGTCAAATAAGGAGCGCTCCAGCTGAAGGGTCAAGTCTTTATCTCCCAGTTCATTCAATGAGCAATATTTTTTAAGAACGGTGGCAATTAAAGAAAACCAAGCCTTCCATCTTGAGACAATTTACTGAATCCTATAATGAGTTGCTACAAGAAAAGTTAACACGGCATTTAGCAACCAGCAAGCCATGCCACACACAAAAACTGCCTCCCAACTGGTTTACAGCACTGAGCACAACCCACAAGTCAGAGAATGGCAAGCACCTTAAAAACGAATCGACATATAATGGCATATAACAGGACTGGTGGGCTCTGCCGTTATTTGAGAAAGAGAAGATACAAAAATTGGTGCGACCACTCCTCTTTTGGGACCCACATGCTGGCATGACTTCTGGCTTTTTGCCTAAAATAAATCTCCACGTCAATTAACATGGTGGGTAGGGTGAAAGCAGGTCACATGCTGAACCGCCTCTTAAATCTGGATAAAGTCCAATTCTTCATTCTGCACCTCAGATGATCTTGGGGGGAATTATACTGTCAATTTTTTGAAGACCTAAATTTCTTTAAAATTGTTGTAGGGCTTTTAAACAAATTCTATTTTATTGTTTTTAACTGTTTCAAATTATGCTTTATTTTATTTTAAACTGTATTCAATTAATACAATTAATTTATGCCCTGGGCTCCTTGTGGAGGAAGGTTAGGATACAGTTTTAATATAAACCAATAAACTTGCTTTGTGCTTACTAGGACCAGTGAAATGTATTTCACGGTTTAGAAAGATGTAAAGTGTGTTGAAAGAAGGTACTGTAGAAGTAAAACCAAAGTGTAAGCATTATCACTAACAAGTGTGCAGGCCAAATAGCACACCCACCCCAGTCAGATCAGGGCCTCCACAATGCCTCAAGTTGCTTGCATATTCTTCTGTCCCTTTTAGCTCTATGTTTTTCTATATATGAGTGTTCACCTAGCTTTTCAAGAAGCGAGGCTGTCCAAGTCAGTAGAGTGCTGAAGATCTCTGATTATTATTATTTATTTAAAATGTTAAAGCACAGTAGTGGAAGAGTTTTTAAAAAGTTAAAAACTTTTTAAGGTTCAAATGTAGATTGCTCTGCCTTAACGAAAAGCAATAACCCAGAAATCTTCGCAACTCTGCTGGCAGTTTTAGATCCCCCTTCATAGTGTACAGAAAACGGGAGAGCTTCATTTCATCATTTCAGAGTGGCTTCAAACTTGCATGACAGTTTGAAGTCCAGAGACCACAGAGCAATTCAAACACATTGGATTTTTTTTTTAAAAAATGCAGATACGGTGGTACCTCTGGTTGCGAACGGGATCCGTTCCGGAGCCCCGTTCGCAACCTGAGCAGAATGCAACCTGTGTCTGCGGGTTGCGATTTGCTGCATCTGCACATGCACGAGTGGCGAAACCCAGAAGTAACCCGTTCCGTTACTTCCGGGTCGCCACGGGACGCAACCTGAAAACGCTCAACCTGAAGCATCTTTAACCCGAGGTATGACTGTATACATGAAAGTCAAAGAATGGGATCCATGAACACCCCTACTAAAAAGCACCCTGTTTTGCAGTATTCTCCCCTAACTAAGCTAAGAAAAAACTTCCAACTCCAGAAGTGTGCTTGCAGTTTAGTAAGCCAAAACTTACTAAAGATGCCAAAATATGTCCAAAGGTCTCTTTTATCCTTTGGCCAAGTTATTTCTTAGGCACTGAGATGCAAGAATGAACAATGTAAATATATGTCTAATTACTACTTATGCAAGGATGCTTTCCAAGTTCTTTTATTAGCACGGCTTGTGCTAAACAGTGCCAAAATCAAAGCAACTATGAAATCTGTTCCATGAATTGAGCCTCATTTCTCATCTACCAAAACTGCTTGTGAAGCTTAGGGGAGGTTCACAACCAGTCTGTGATTGTAGGCAAGGGTAGGCCGCAGAGAGCCCCTCATGTGTTGCTGGATCCCAACTCTCATCAATCCAAGCCGGCGTGGACAATACTCAGGGAGGATGGGAGATGCATTCCAACATCTAGAGGGAACTTGGCTGACTAATCTGGTCCAGGGAACCAGCACTTCAAAATAAAATAAAAAATAAAAACTTCTACTGGCCTAGCAGAAGCTCCTAGCAGAGCTTTCCAAACTTTGCATGTCGGGGACACACTTTTAAAAGACATGCATCATTTCATGACACAGTAATTCAGTTTTACTAGCAAACCGGAAGTTAAACAAACCCCTTTCCACCCCTGGGAGGAGCACAGGGAGCATCCGCGTGACATACTTACACAGCGCAACTGACACATTAACATGTCGTGACACACAGTCTGGAAAGCTCTGCTTTACGCCGTTCTTTGGATACTGCCCATTAACTATAAATGGCTGATAATTCAAAAGATCTGATATTCAATACAAAGCTATTAATTCTACAGTGGACTGTTAACGTCTATTCTGCTGCTCCAAACTTTCCTCTTAGATGATACTACACAGTATTTTCTCTTGAAACAGATCCAACTCTTTAGGGGTGCATGGTTACAGGTAGCCAGTTACAACTTTATTATTTTACCAACTCAGAAAACACAGGACATAAAACTCCATCACTAGAAGGTAATGTTTTTAAAAAATAATAGTTCAATTTACAACATTGTTAAAATAGATGCCATAAATAATTGCTTCTAGGCATATATTCAAAAGAGAAAATGCTTCTTAAACATAGGAGGCTTCTACAGCAAACTAGCAGCTTAGTGAATCAACATTTTTATTGAGCTTTCTTTCTTTTTTTTTTACTTCACAGGCATGCAAGAACAAGCACTGAAATGTTTTGTTAAAACACAGTTTTAAACTGTGCCACTACTTAAGTTGCATGGGCTAAAAAAAGAAAGATATCTAAACCAGAGATTGTGAAGTAGCAGAAAATGACTTTTGTTCTGGACTGCTAGTTCAATTTGCTACAAAGCGACAGTGCGCTAATGATCTTTGCTAATTGTGGTAATGATATTTAATTCCTCATTGCTGACAAGAGTATTATCTTACTGATCCACTAACTATGCAGCCAATTCTGGACATCTAAGCTAGCCTAGGATGTTGTACTAAATCTGTTGATATACCAGGGCAGGCACTATTTCCTGAGGGCAGTTTTCATTATTCCAGGAAAAACTATTCGTTCCACTATAAAGCATTAACACATCAGATTTTAAGACTATTTCGTCAATACTTATCATTCATCACCCTACGGTTAATATATTCCAAACAAATTTGGCTTTAGTTACACATTGAAATTGCGATTGCAAACAGCAGAAAAAACAGAGACTGAATTTGGAAGGGTGGTGCGAATAAGCAGTAATACATTGTCAAGAATGCTAATGTTATCTATAGCTTGTTTGCAAGCAAAAGCTAAATTTTAAGAAGGTGGATAATGTTGATGGGGAAGCCAGGCGCTTTGGTGAAGTGGATCAGCTTCTGAGCAGTCTAAAGAGTCTCCTTAAAACAGGCAGCGGCCATGAGCAGGAGTATCTAATGGATTGAGGTTGAATCCTGACAAGACAGAAGTACTGTTTTTGGGGAACAGGGGGTGGGCTGGTGTGGAGGACTCCCTGGTCCTGAAAGGGGTAACTGTGTCCCTGAAGGACCAGGTACGCAGCCTGGGAGTCATTCTGGACTCTCAGGTGTCCACGGAGGTGCAGGTCAATTCTGTGTCCAGGGCAGCTGTCTACCAGCTCCATCTGGTACGCAGGCTGAGACCCTACCTGCCTGCGGACTGTCTCGCCAGAGTGGTGCGTGCTCTAGTTATCTCCCGCTTGGACTACTGCAATGCGCTCTACGTGGGGCTACCTTTGAAGGTGACCCGGAAACTACAACTAATCCAGAATGCGGCAGCTAGACTGGTGACTGGGGGCGGCCGCCGAGACCACATAACACCGGTCTTGAAAGACCTACATTGGCTCCCAGTACGTTTCCAAGCACAATTCAAAGTGTTGGTGTTGACCTTTAAAGCCCTAAATGGCCTCGGCCCAGTATACCTGAAGGAGCGTCTCCACCCCCATTGTTCTGCCCGGACGCTGAGGTCCAGCGCCGAGGGCCTTCTGGCGGTTCCCTCATTGCGAGAAGCAAAGCTACAGGGAACCAAGCAGAGGGCCTTCTTGGTAGTGGCGCCCGCCCTGCGGAACGCCCTCCCATCAGATGTCAAAGAGATAAACAACTACCTGACATTCAGAAGACATCTTAAGGCAGCCCTGTTAGGGAAGTTTTTAATGTATGACATATTAGTGTATTTTTGCTCTTTGTGGAAGCCGCCCGGAGTGGCTGGGCAGGGTACAAATAATAAATTATATTATTACTATTACTATTATTAATATCATTATTATTATCTTTTAGCAACTCTACATTAGTTGAGTCTCCTGTTAGGAATGGATCATTCATGCTTTTGTCTTATGTGGTGCTATACCTCTAAGGCTATTTGGGAGCTGCAGGTCTTGTAGAATGTCGCAGCCAACCTCTTGCCTATTGTGGTAAGATGATAGCATATCTAACCAGAACTGATTAAACCACCCTGCTGGAACTGCCATCTAGCCAGCAAGATCAAATGGCAGGGACTTGTCTCCATCACAGAGAGTATATCAAACATAAGCAAAATTTATAGATTTGTGGTTTCCACTTCTTGGTTTTCTGTGCTAATTTGCAATGCTAATTTGCAACGAGTTGCAAGCTCACTTTGGCCTGTTTCCAGAAGCAGTGAGAAATTATGGTTTTCTCATTTGTAAATAAAGATACAGCAAGCCTTGGGTACTTGTCCTCTTCCTTTTGAGTGCCAGGAGAACACTGAAAACTTTCACTTCCTGTTTTTAATCCAACTATAGTTTCCTGTCCAAATGCAGGGAACTGCAATTTGTTTAAACTACGGATAATGAGAATGGAGAAGAGATCTGAAAATGGGGAAGTTTCATCCCAACTGGTTCTTGCGAACCACAGTTGGGATGTCACAGAGAACTGTCTTTATTTTTAAAATGGGAACAGAAGCTGCCAACTTCCTGCTCCTGTGAAAGACAAGAGAAGAGTGTGTTAGGCTATGGCTTGTTCACGTGGCAGGAAATTATGGTTTCCCATGACATCTGAACTAGGTCTTTCAATTTGAAAGCATCAAAGAAGCAGCACAGATGTTGAGTTTCTCTTTTTTCCCAGTTGCTTCAAATTATTTTGAGTATGTCGCTTTGCAAATTCATTACTAAATCTCTCTACAATTTTAGTTTTTCTATCTTTCTAGCAAGTATCGACAAAACTTTATGTAATCACCAACAGTAATTACTCACATCCTATTAAAAACTTTCCCTCACTGAGGGAAGTGGTGCCCTTTTCTCTCTAGAACAGCTTTCCCAAGTCGTAGGTTCCTATATGCTGTTGGATTACAAACCCCACCATACTCAGCTAGCATGGCCAATGGTCAAGGATGAGTTGGGTTGTAGCCAGACAACATCTGTAGACTCAAGGTTGGCAAAGGCTGCTCTAGAAGAATTAAAATTAAATGTTTTTCATCTAATCAATCATGATTTTATTTATAGCTTTGCTGCTTAATTGATTTTAATCATGCTTCCGTAAGCAGCCTTCACCTGTTGATAAACAGGAATCAGGAGCAACTGAGGAATTATGGTTTTCTACTGTAATAATAATTTACAAAAGAAATGAAGAATGGGGAGATGGGTTAGAAGCATGGCAGTGCCTTATTTGCATTTTCTTAAACCAATTGTTAGGAACCTACAGTAGTTGAAGGTTATGTGCTATACAAGTTTAAACATACAAGTTTTGTATGGAATCTGGATAACATCTGATTTTATTATTATTTATTAAATTGATATACCACCCTTCATCCAAGGATCACAGAATCACAGAACTGTAGAGTTGGAAGGCACAACCATGGTCATCTAGTTCAACCAGTCTTTTGCCCAACATGGGGCTTGAACCCACAACCCAGAGATTTAGAGTTTCATGCTCTACTGATTGAGTTATCCACAGGGAGGTTTACAGTATATTTATGGCTTTAATTAAGAAACAATTTTCTGCTGCAATTGTGAATTTGGTTTTCAGAAGAAGAATGAAGAGCCCATGATAGAAAACAAATTTAGGGGGTGAAACCTGGGTTCACTTCCTGCCTTTTAAACTTTAATTCGCCACACCACCAAAAATAAAAAAAATGGAAAGATTCAAAAACTGGGTTTAGAAAGAAGCACATAACTGGAGCAAACTTAAACGTACTAATTTCAGTATTTTTATTCTGAGGATGGAAATAGTGCAGGTTGCAAATTTCGGGAGTGGAGGGAACCCATCGACTATGATGAGGTCAGCTACTAGAAATGCTCTTTCCAAGGTTATTATGGAGAGAGAGAAATCAAAAGTAAACAGGTAAAAATGAATTTGATATTTTTGATGTTTTCTTAAATTTTCAATTTCAATTGATTTTTGGCAACATGGACAATGAGCATCTTAACATGCCCTACTGCTCTGAGGGCATCCTTTGAAATATCTTAGTTTGTAATAGACTGATTTTAGGAAAGGACATCTGAATAATTCCAGCCGTCTTCATCCAAAGGTATTTTAAAACGAAGTGCCTCTGCTCCAACCAGAGGAAAAGTCATTCTCCCAACCACCACAAGCTACTGGAAGCAAAGTCCAAATTCACACACACAAACATCAACCAGGAATGCCATTCTATGAATGCCATTCTATCTACCAGGAAATGGTCACATGCAGGTGGGAAATAGTAGTATCACCTTGGTCAGCAAATGAGAAGGCTTTCCTGCAATGTTTCTCAGAAGAAGGGAGGTTTCCCTGTCCAAATAGGAATGCTTGTGCAGAAAAGAAAAGAAAGAAAGAAATTAAGTCAAAAAGAAAGTCAGTACAGTAATTTTATAGTGTATGATTAGCAGCAGACAGGTGCAACTTTTCCTCTTTACATCAGAAGCACTTCAATAATAGTTCCAGGTGTATTTTAAGTGGCAAATAGGCAAGTGAGTGATCAGGATATATACTTTTTGCATGTTTGCAAAACTCTTTTTTTATCCATGGCCAATTCTCATTTTGCGTGCCCTACTTGTTAGCAATTCTACAAAAGTATTACAGAATTAACTATTATGCAAGTAGACTACTTCTTGATATCAGTTATCCTGTTCGACCAATTAAGAATATTAATACAGGCTGAAAACTTCCTCTCGCATTCAAAGCTGCTTAATAATAATATAAAAGCGACACATTTTCACACATTTGCCAGGTGCTTCTCAACATACCAAACTTCTCAACTGACTGGCACATTACAACAAAGCAAGCCATGAAAACACTTTGGTCGTTCGAAGGTTTATTAAAGAAAGAACAGGTCAGTAGCAATGACTTTTGTGGTAATGGACTACAGGCGCCACCCATTTTTGACTGTTTTCACCTTTATTATGCCACACTATTATGGAAACCTCTTCCAAGTCCTTGGGTTGTCCCTGCTGTATGGTAGGATTCACCTAGAACCGATTGTGAGATGTTCCTCTTCTGTAAAAGGTGACTGAATGCAATAGATACACAGGGTTCATCCTCACAATCCTTTGATCCCATCATAGCTGCAGTTTTTTGTCAGTGCAGTTAAATCACAGATTTAGGTGGTTGTTATGTAAACCTTATCTGTAGCTGCTGGGCACACACTGAGCTAAGCCTAGATGAGGTTTGAGCACACAAAATAAATCTGTTTCATAAACCTAGTCAAACTATTTTGATTCATAGAACAGAGCAAAGGCTAAAGTCTATTTTATTTAAAATTCTAACTCACTCTTCTAGTGACCATGCACCATTCAAGGTGTCTTACAACTGTTTAAAATCATAATATTCACTGCAGGACTCTGAGGATGATTTTTCAATCATGTGCAGTCTCTGATTTTGCTACTGTTAATCATATCACCACCTCTGGCTTCATTTGGTTTCTTAACTATGCTAAGATGTTTTGGATAGAGTGAGTTCTGGTGTTCTGTGCTCTTCTAGAAACCTGAGACTCAGCTACATTAGGAAAGAAAGAACGATCTGAATGTGCTATAAACATGCAGCACCAGATGGTGCCAGAGGGAAGGAAATTTTTATATGTGCTTTTCCGTAGGTTTTTTGTTTATTTGTCGATCACACGCAGTCTGTAGTTCACTGGCAGTAGGAGTACAATATGGGCATGTTAACATCTTACATTAAAAACGTGACAGTACCAAACTATCGAAGGCTTTTCACCAAAGCCATACTTAACGTCTTTCCTTCTGCAGTGTTGGATGGCAAGTTGAGAGGAGTTCCCTACCAGGACAGACTTTGCTTGTGTGCTGAAGACATCGATTCCATAAAACATATTTTGTTGCACTGTGCAAAATATGAGCAAGCCAGGACAGAACTGATACTACCCTTGCTGGTACCTTTCCCAGGAAAATCAGAGGCTCACTATGTCAGGTTCCTACTGGAAGACTGGACAAATGCTAGAACATTAGCAGTGGCAAAGTTTTTATCAGTGGTTGCAAGAACCAATGATCCCTATATTCTGAACAAAATGCTTGTTTAACCTGGAGGTAGGCTGTATGAATTGTGTATTGCTTTGTAATGATTTGTTGGGTCTCTGGACCGTAATAAAGATTGTTGTTGTAGTTTATTTGTTATAACGATCTAATTTCTGACTTATTTATAGCGTGCCCCACCCCCCCCGGTGCAGATCCACCCCTGGAATGGCTAGAACAAGACAGTCCCTTCCTCACCAAGAAAAGGGTGGGAGTATCTGGAGAACTGGCAGGCACCTGCACAGACCACTGCAATTAGCACTAAGTTTCTGGGTCCCATTCAGCTACAGCATTGCAAGAGGGGAGGAAGGACAGAGAAATGAGGAGAAAAACAATGTAAGAGTGGCAATAGTTGTTTTTACAAGCCACACTAAACCATAGCTTAGTGCAATGTGTATCACAAATGAGTTTTGGATGTTTAGCCTGCATACATAGATGGGAGGCGTTTAGAAGGATTCACTTCTACTTAAAATCACAGCTTGCAGTATTATTTCTACCAGTAACTGTGGTCAAATATGTTAGCTTAAGCAAGCCAGAAATCATTGAAGCCAGCTTGTTTTGCGCTACGTATAGCTCATATTAAACTGGGTTGTGGCTTGGTGTCAAGTGCTGAAATTAAATATTCTCATTAGAAATTGCTACCCCAAAGAGCAAATTATTTTAGACAAATGCTATAACATTGGTCGCTTGGCTGACAGTTGCTTCAGGTTACTTTGGGCAAGATAAAGCAACTAACGGATTGACTGATTGATTAAATAAATAAATAAATAAATAGTGTGGACTGCCAATGTGCTATCAGAAGCAGCATCCTGTTACAATAGATTTTATCCATTTACAAAGCACACAGAAAAGCCAGCCAACCACCATGCCGGATTTTATACTATGGACACCCCGGCCAATGAATCCCTGCTTCACATGGATTCTCCTTTTGTTGTTACCGAATGATATTCTAATACACAGAAAAATAATCACCTATGAGACAAGAGTCTTCTTGCATAATCTTTTTTGGGGGGACCTGGAACCCCATTCAAAAAGGAATTCATACATGGACACCTGGAAATCTATGAAGCAAGGTTTTATGTAAACCACTTGGAAACTATTTTGGCATGTAAGCCGCATATGTGTTATTATAATAATCCAAATTATTGTTTAATACAAGAAAACAAAATATACCTTAAAAGGTAAGGCTTCCTACTAGAACAACAGAGATGTTAAAAAGAAGTTTAAAACTCTCAAAGCCTATTGAACTTAGCAAATTCAGTCGGAAGGGTTCAAATGATATTTTAAGTATGTGTAGCTGGTGCATCATGTTGCTGGACACAGGTACAGAATTCAGATTAAAAACACAGAGCCTCTTATACTTAACAGTAAGAGGCAGCCTTTCTATAAAATTGCAAATACCTACTCACAAGACAGAACAGCTTCTTATAGCTTAAAGTAAGTTTCTAGTTTTCACAGTTACAAGTGTAATTCAGAAATTGTCAAATCCAGTTTGAAATTATTTATTACATTTTAGAATCACCCCTCAACCCAAATATTCTCATAGTGGTATACAACGTTGCTATAGCAGTTAGCAACCTGCTTTCCCATCCCAACCATAAGCGGGCATGCAAAAGATTATGCTACCATGAGATTCTCTTATCGTATCTCTGACGAAACTGTAACAGAACATGCTTTTCTTTTCTATGAAGAAGTTCCTTCTACATGCAACTGTAAAACTACCATATAACCATCAAAGTATTGTATAATAGCCGACAGCAAGAGTGATGATCCTAAAAGCGCTGGTCTAGCTGAGAATAAGGTTTTCCAAAACATATATCTCTTTCTATCTTAGTATGCAGCTAGCGTGTGTGTGTGTGTGTGTGTGTGTGTGTGTGTAGGCATTCTAGTCATTTATATAGGCAGTAAATTTAGATAATAAATTTTATGCCTATTCTAGGCAGCAGGTGGCAATATTGTGCAATTGATAATTAATGAAGACACAATTGTTTTATTTAGTCCTGCATTACAAAACATTCGCACAGAGCAGATAGGGATATAATTCAGAGCTTTAAAGTTGTTTTTTTGGTAAGTTCAAGCAATTATTAGGCTAAGATATTATTGTCCAAATTTGTCCCATGTATTTGATTCTAAGACAAAGATATTGTACTAAGTTTCTACAGATTTTTTAACCAGAACACTACAGTAGTTCTGATTCACACCATCAGTGTGGTTGATTTAACTGAGATTAGAAGTCCTAGTATTACTGTACCCTGAAACCTTATGGGGGTTTATAGATTTTCTCAAGCACTGCTTACACCAATATGAACTTTCCCATCATCTAGACCAGGCTTCTTCAACCTCGGCCCTCCAGATGTTTTGAGATTACAATTCCCATCATCCCTGACCACTGGTCCTGCTAGCTAGGGATCATGGGAGTTGTAGGCCAAAAACATCTGGAGGGCCGAGTTTGAGGAAGCCTGATCTAGACCCCTTCTCAAAGTGTCCCATCTACTGATGTCAGGCACCAGAAGACCCAAGCCTTTTTCAGGAGCAGCACCTCAGGTGTGGATGCTCTCTCTATACCTGTGTGTGCTCAAGCACCTAACTCTTTGAAGTTTTAGGGGCCGGTTTTCATTTGTCCAGGCTTTTCAGTTCAGTTCCTTGTTGCTGCCTCTGTAGTTTTAATGTTTTACCTGCTGCTGTCTAGGATTTTCATTTAGTTTTAACGTTGCCTGCTGGTTTCACGCTGTTTGTGACTTTATTTTGCTGCTTTATTTTGAATGTTTTAATGTTTCTTGTTTATCGTTTTCAAGTTTAATTTTGATGCGGCAGGGCATACATTTATCAGATTTATAAAAAGAATCAGCATGATGCAACTCTGAGAATGGATGCAGAATGCTGCATCTTCCACACTGCTGCTTTGTAAATGCAACTTGTAATGGAGTCAGCACTGCAAATTTTCTCATACATTGTACACTGAGGAAACTAACACACACAGACACACAGGTAAGGACCCCACTAAGAACTTACAGGCGCCAATTCAGCCTCTTCTTCAGAAAAGTCAATGCGACGTCTGGCTTGCTTGCTGGAATGTTCCACAGAAACAATATGCTGTGAAAATGTCAGAGGAAAAGGATGGGGAAGGGCAAAGGAGAAAGGGGTGGTGGAAGGAACTATTTATTAACATGCAGGACAGGGGCAAGGAGCGGCAATATGAATTAAAATATATTGAACATTGAGCACCTTTGCAGACCCTGTGAGATTAGCCATTTCAGAGAAAATAAGCATGTATTTTCTCCTGTTGCACAGCTTTACTAATAAACAAGTTTGCAGTTACAGTCTATATGGAGACAGATTAGTTGGCAGACCAACTTGTTATAAAGATGTTTGCAAATGTGACATGAAGACTGGAAACAGAAACCCTGCCTTGTAGGAATCCCTTGCAGATGAACACACTGGCTGGAAACCGTCAGGTCGTGTATCCACAGCAGTGAGCAGAGGAGAAATTACTGCTGGGAGGACCACAGAGAGAAGAAATGCCACGGTGCACCTGTCCCAGTAAAATCAGATGCCCTCACCTGACCCAGCTGCAATAAAACACACCTCTCCCATATTGGTCTGTAAAACAGCCACAGCAGGCACTGTAAGTCTCCAATAGAGAACGCTTCCATTGTCTCGAGACAGACTGATACCAACAGGAGAGTAGTCAAATTGTGGAGAAAACTATTATCTCACTGGTGTAAGCTGGTGCTATCTTTTACAACGCCTTTCAAGTTTTAAGATAAAATGTTGGCAATCCTACAGACCAAATGGGAGTAAGTCCCTTCACAGCCAGTGAGACTTATTTCTGAGTAAATGTGTATATAGCATTGGATTGGAAATGGGAATTTCAATTAAAATACAGTGGTGCCCCGCAAGACGAATGCCTTGCAAGGCGGAAAACCCGCTAGACGAAAGGGTTTTCCGTTTTTGAGTTGCTTCGCAGGACGAATTTCCCTATGGGCTTGCTTCGCAAGACGAAAATGTCTTGCGAGTCTTGAGATTTTTTCCCGCTCCCCCCCCTTTTTCTAAGCCGCTAATAGCCTTTTAGCAGCTAAGCCGCTAAGCCTTTAATAGCCGCTAAACCGCTAATAGCGCTAAGCCGCTAATAGGGTTGCTTCGCAAGACGAAAAAACCGCTAGACGAAGACACTCGCGGAACGGATTAATTTCGTCTTGCGAGGCACCACTGTATTTAGGTCTGAGTGTAAAGAACATAGGGTTCTAATGCTGTGTTGAAGAATTTGTTTGGTATTAGGCTACAACAGAAATGCATCATCAAAAATCAGAATGTATCACTTAATTTGCAAATATTTTAGACTACAGCTTCTCTATGTTTTTACTGTGTTACACTACTTCTGCAGCAGATTCTAAATTGTTTATAGCTGTGTTAGCTTTTAGATGCATTTGTCAGCTCCATTATTTGTGAGCTTGCTAGCTTTGTAGAAAAAGCAAATGCAAACAATTAATAGCTTACCCCAAACGCACAAACATTAGTTTTGTAACTCCTTTCTGAGTAAGACCTGCCTACATAAAAGTAAGTTATCTGACACCAGAAAATCACCTTCTGGTGACTTTCTGATGATGGATAAAGCTCTTTTTATTTAGACAGGTTTTCCACCTGCTGCTGCAGGTGAATTTTTTTAGCTGGAGTGGTCCACTTTTTACCAGCTTGTTTCAAATACTGCTTTTCTTTTAAAGGTTTGTTTTATATTGTTTTTATCTGATTTGGGTGCCATTATATAGATATATATATAAGGGACACGGGTGGCGCTGTGGGTTAAACCACAGAGCCTAGGACTTGCCAATCAGAAGGTCGGCGGTTCGAATCCCCGCGATGGGGTGAGCTCCCGTTGCTCGATCCCTGATCCTGCCAACCTAGCAGTTTGAAAGCAGTCAAAGTGCAAGTAGATAAATAGGTACCGCTCCGGCGGGAAGGTAAATGGTGTTTCAGTGCGCTGCTCTGGTTCGCCAGAAGCGGCTTAGTCATGCTGGCCACATGACGCGGAAGCTGTACGCCGGCTCCCTCAGCCAATAAAGCGAGATGAGCGCCGCAACCCCAGAGTTGACCACGACTGGACCTAATGGTCAGGGGTCCCTTTACCTTTATATAGATATATGGGACACAAATTTTAAAATAATAAATAGATTTGCACTTATGTGATTTATATTTTACTACAGTTGATGGCCACAGAATGCTCCATTTGCAATTTCTGTTTTGAGAAGAACTGTTAGTTTCTAGGTATGTTGTGGAAGTAATTGGTTAAAGCAGTACCTGTGATGTGGTTGGATGGTGCCACCGAGACACCATCCTGAAAACAAAGTCCCTGCATCTTACCAGAATGGGGATGAATATACTGACAGAACCTCACTTTCACCCTGTCCTGTCCAGGTAAACTGAAGCAACACCAATGTTGTGAGGTCACCACAAGGATTACCACTTGTTTAAAATTATTCTGCTGACTACTTATGGAACAGCTGAGAAATATCCATCACATTCTGTTTACCAAGTCAAGCTATAGAGAGTTTGATAATTAGCGATTCTGAGCAGATAAATAAGGGGGTGGGGAATCTCTGCAGCATCCATGGTGGTTTCCAGACTATTGCTATATTCCATTCTGCTTTTTTGCTCCCACAGGTTATGGCCAGGTTCATATGCAATGATAAAACGAGGCATTCGTTTCAAACAGGTAATAGTTAATTAAATAAGCCAGCTTCATAACCCATGGCTTGAATTAACCTGTTTAGAAACCGAGTGCTGTTTGTGTTTTAAATCAGGATCCCTGCTTCATTCACAAAGCTAAACTGCGATTCTTTGAAAGCAACACTAAATTCAACAGAGGTCCTCCCCTCCTGCTCATGCAGAAGGGAAGAGGGAGGAAGGGGAAGTGTGCAAGCCATGGGATTTAAATGGGTTCATAGAGGCTTATTCGTATTAAGTATTTGGCTGTGGCCTATGAACCAATATACCGTGTATAAATGGGGGTGGAGGAAAATAATGGAGAATATCAAATAGCAATTTGCTATTTTTTGAAGGCTCTAATGTTTCACCCCTCCTAAAGCTGCCCTAGTGTCCTGCTGTGGAAGAGAATTTAACAAAAAGAAACCCATAAAGCATCTATGCATCTTCTGCAATATACTATTGACTACTCAACTGCAAATAAGGGCCAACACACTAATACAAGAGGTGTAGTAGGTCTTATATAAAACGTCTCCCTTTTAGTTTTCCTCACCACTGTTTTTGACTTTTTTAAAATAGCAGCAAATCACGAGCCAACTCCCAAAGGGAAAGGAACCAATGGATCAGATCTGCCTTCAACATCCTTCATAAACCATTTTTTAAAATGGTAGTGGAAGCCATATTTAATTTGGGACACATAATCTACATATGAACAAAATCACACATTTTAAATAGATTGTATTGTTCTTGAGAGTAGGAAGGGAAATTCAAATCAATTTCCCTCCATATAAGAGTTCCTCCAGTAATCTTATAGCTGTAGCATATTATGTGAAAGGAATGTTGAGACGGAACTTATGTACAACACATTTAGGATGAACACTTCCTTCATTTGAAATTTGTAGTGCATATATAAAGACTCTTATTGCAAACTGGTATGCTACTTTGAGTATTTCCACTGAAGTTGTTCCAATAGAAGAGTGAAGCTTTTCTTTTCTTTTTGTTCCAAAAATAACAGATGCTAAACTGCTGATATTTATGCTGCCAACAAAGCTGTGAGCCAAACTAATATTTCAAGATCGTTACTGATCAAAATTCCTCTCTGCTAGTTTATTATAAATTAACAAAATAAATAAATCACTGCTGATGCTAAACAACAATAATGAAGACAGTTTCAAAACTTCACGCATATTCAAAATGTAGTATTTTGAGAGGTAGAATACTGCCTCCTCTCAAGCCAATTACTACCATGCTGTGAAGCAGACTTTATCCTGTGCCTATAGGACTTTTAACTAACAACTGTAGTTGAAACACCTTTTTGCAAACCAGCCTTTTGGAGTCCACTGATAGCAACATAGCAAAGTGGAAGATCTCTTCATAGACAAGACTGTTTGTCTTTTTGCAACACTGGTGATTAAAATGGAATCTGAATCCCTGAAAATTACTTGACCCTGCCTTTCAAATGCATCATCAAAAAGGACAGGACATTATCTCTATCTATGCTTCCTTGCCTACTGATCTCTATCCCACAAATAGATGTCATACTACAACATGCTCTAAAGTAAAAAATTCTGCAAAATCTCAAACATCCGATTCAAAATGCAGCATGCAAATTGAGTAAATATGCAAAGTAAGCAGATCTGCATAGACTAATTTCCAGCACCATGCATGGATTTTGGCACAGGAGAACTCTACCAATTAAAAGTTAATGGGACCTTGCAGTGGTGGGAATAAAATAGAGCTTTGCATCACATGATACGAAGTGGAAACAGCCAAGAGGAATTCTGAGTCAAAGGAAGAACAAAAGGGAATAGCAGAGGAGAGCAAAATAGGCCTGCAAAACAGGGGAGCTTTGTTCTTGATGGAGGATAATGCATTTCTCTCAGCCAAAATTATGAAATAAATTCACCTGGGGCCTTTTCTATCACAGGATATAAGTTAGACCGATTCATCTACTTCACTACTATCTACTTATGATGGCTGTGGATATCCAAAATTTCAGGTAGCAGTCTTTCTCAGCTCTACCTGGAGAGGATGGGGTCAAATCTAGACCTTCTACATATCAAGCATTTGTTCTGAGAAGCTACAACCAATCTCTTGACTAGTCTTCCTGGAGCAGTGACTGTGGAAGCTATAGCCCCAACATAATCTGGGGGGTGGGGGTGGTGTCATAATTCCCATCATCCATGACCACTGCCTATGCTGGCCGAGACTGATAAGAGTTGAAGGTTCTCAACCCTGTCCTGAAGTGCCCTTAACAAGATTTTTCTCATACATGATGTTGTATGGAATTCTGTAAAGCACCAATATTGAAGAAGACAGTACTGAATGGAAGTAGATCCCCGTGCTTTGAGCAGGGGATGGCCTGGCATACACAGCTTTTCATCTAATGTGAAACAGCAACATTTTCAAAACGCGTTCTACCGAAGCAAATTGCCAAAACAGTCTCAGTAAGCTGTATGTTCCTAACAGTCCATGACAAACTCAGAAACAAACTGGGCTAACATCATGACTCGAAGTCATTTAAAGAAGACTGAATATATATGATAGAAATAAAACAGCAGATTGTTATGGCAAGACTAACAAATATATTATGGCATAATTATTTGTGGACAAGAACTAGAGTTCAGCACCTGATGAAGAGGACTCTAGTACATGAAGCCTCGTGTCATATTTGTGGTCTTGCTATTAGACCATGTTGTTTCTGCATGCATACAGAGGCATGGCTATCCCTCTGGAAATGGTTCTTATGGAAGACATTCTCATATTACTTTATTTCCACAAGTTACTGGAGAAAGAAAAAGAGTAATTTCGAATTTTTGTACACAGGAGAAGCTTTTCCCCACTCAAAAAGACACTGCCCCTACAGACTTCTAAACAAGAACACAAGTGAAGTGCTTGACAATTATCACTAATCTAAGAGTGGAAGACAGATTCTTTATATAAAGTTACATGAGAAATTCAACTGTGCCGATAAGTTAACATGTTCAGCTACTGAATTTAACGGAACGTGGTTTTCTGTATTTATTTCAGACTAATTCGGGAACATGATATTAACGGTAGTTTTGAAATCTCTTAAATACATACTTTTCTTTTTAGCCTGTATCTACATCTTCAAATGGACTGATCCTTAGGCAAATGCCCTCAGTCAATTACTTTTATCTATCATAATTACATAGAGTTGTCAAAGACCACATGGAAGGCTTCAAAATTCATTTGCAAACTATTAACTGAGAATGTTAAGGATCAGATATGATTGCCATCTCACCAAGCAAGAGACTGGATGTTCTAGGCAGGTATGAATGATGTTTTATTGAGCCATTTCCTCTCAATGGTTTTTATCCTTCCTTATATTACTGCTTCATTGCAAAGCCTCACGGATTAGGAACAAACAAATATGGCATTTCACCCGTCAGTCATTGTCTTGCTCTTCCCTTTAATTACAGATGATATTGATGGCTCTTAGGTTTTCTTCAAGCCATGTTTTATGTAAAGTAGAGCAGAGCTACTAGGATTCTCCTTCCCCAGGAGATGGAGCAAAAATGCTATATTGTCTGAAGTTCAAGAAGCATCAGACAGGTGACGGTTTGTGAACAGAAGAGCCCTGCAAGTTCAGACCAAAGGCCTGCTTGGTCTAGCCCATAGTGGGTGAAACAGCAAATGGAATTCAGAATCCTACTCTGATACTGGAGGTAGAATACAGCGATCAAGACCGCGATGGCAGCTTCACCCAATGGTCTATCGCGAGCAAAACCGCCGCCGCTCCTGATTCCCTCTGCAGTGATGCTATAAGATTGCTGTTTAAAAAGGACTCATTTTGCCCAGAGAATCAATACAGATTCTGTCACCTTGACATCATACTCTGAGCAATTAAACAAGTGGCTTAGTACTTCATTACAGAATATGCACGTGAAAGGAAGATGTCCAAGAAAGACAGGAAAGTACCAATTTTCTCTAGGAAATATTTAAAATGAGTAATTCTTGCTTAGCCCAATGCATGATGTTTATTAAAACATGTTTTACAAAAAAGCACCGAGGCAGGCTAATGAGTTGCATTTTTGAAGCCTGAGTAACTGTGAAGAATGAGTTATACTGTACCTCACTAACTGGCTGTCCTTGTTGAGTCAAATCTAGTTCTTGAGGTCTTGTCACTTTATCAATGTCCAAGGAGTCCATACTGGAGGCTGCAGATGTGATGCTGGAACGGGAGGAATTGCTGATAGAACGGACTTCAGCATCACTCACAGTACCTGCTGAGGCTGTCCTCCTATGCTGGGTGGCAACTATAGGCTTGCTATCTTCCATTATAGGTTGCTGGGCCGCTTCATCCATACTCAGAGATGCCTTCTCTAATTGTGCCGTAATGTCATCCAGGGAGAAGATAGCATGTGAAGGCTTTGTCACCCGGCTAGATGACGAAGAGGACAATCCTTTCATACTACTGTGTTTAGCAGCGAGTCGTCCACCACCAGCTGGTTTCTGAGCCATTTTTCCTTCTGTGGCAAAGCGTTTCATTGACATACTGTTTGCAGACTGTGACCCGATGCTGCTGAGCTCCTGCTCAATGGAACAAAGGTCTGCCATGAGCGCATCAAGATCCACGGTTTCTCCCTGATTCAAGGCTTCTGCAATGAATGACAAAAATATGATCCAGATTCTATCACAATACTCTGTTAAACATTCCACTGTTTTGATATCTAATTTATTTGGTCAGCCTACAGCAGGAATTTTCAAGTTTTCTCCCCTTTCCAGATTGACTTATTTGTGTATTTTTTATGTTTTATTGTTTACTTTTGTTATGTTGCAATTATGTATTTTTTATGTTGTAAGCCGCCTTGAGCATGGTTTAAACTATGAAACGGTGGCATACAAATAAAATGACTATGTATTTATGTATGTATGTATGTATGTATGTATGTATGTATAGAAACTGGATGTCTGCACTGTGTTCTGGGGGCATGTTTGAGGGCAGGAATAGTCAATATGGTGCACTTCAGAAGTTGTGGACAACTTCCACTGACCCAATTGGCCATGTGCATAGGCTCTGGAAGACTCCAGTTCTAGAGTGTAAACATAGGGCAGTAGCAGGGTCTATTGACTCTCACTATTGGCTCCCTTAAACAGAGTGTGCCCTAGAACACATTCAATTCTACCACCAACTTGCCCTATATTGAAATTGTCAATATTGTTTATTGCGGTTTTAAAATATAATTTAATGTTTCCTGTAAGCTGCCTTGGAAGAATTTACAGCCTAAAAGCAGCACAAATTGCAATAAACGCATTTAAATCGTTAAAACGTAAGAGAAAAGTAGTACATGATACGTGTAATTCAAAATTATATTTAGATTTACATCTTACTAGGTTTCAGCTTATGTACCATTTTGTTGTCCTAGTCACTCTCATTATAGTGACATTACAATTTGCATTTTATAAATTTTGCAACAGGGTTTGGACCGTAGAGTCAGCATTTCTTAAGAAAACAAAAGGAACCTGTTGAATCAGTTCCAAGGCCCATCTAGTTTGGCATCCTGTTCTCAAAGTGGACAATCGGGTGCCTATAGAAAGCTCAAAAGTAGAACCTGAGCAATACAGCACTTTCCACATCTGCAATTCAAAGGTATATTGCCGTCAACAATGGAGGCAGAAAATAGCCATCATGTGGTTAGTAGTCACTGATAGCCTTTTCCTCCAGAAATTTGTCTAATCATCTTCCAAAGCCATCCAAGTTGGTGTCCATCAATTCTTCCAGAGTTTAACTGCGTAGTGTGTAAGGAAGCCCTTTCTTCTGTTTGTCCTGAATCTTCCAACATCCAGCTTTACTGGAATGTTTAACAAGTTCATCCATTCCAAGTCCAACGCTTCATTCAATAGTAAGATTCTTTGGGGGGGGGAGGAGCCAAATGGATTTTGTGCCCACTAAAAGTCACTTTAAGTGTCTTTTATAAACAGGTCCCATTCTGATACACACAATGTTTTCTATTATTAGAAGAATTCTAAGTTTTAAGCATTTCCCCATCTCCTCCAGCTGAAAATGATTTCATAATGCATCTTACCATTTAAATTGTACATTGAAAAGCGATAGGAGAAGTTGGCAATATTAGTCTCCTGGCGAAGAGGGGATCTTTTCACTGGCTCCATGGGCTTATCTGTATCCAGACTCTAAATAGAACAAATTGGAGGTGGAATAAGCTACAACATTGTAAAACATAAATCAGCATAGTCAAACATGGGCAAATATATTGCTTTTGTATCTGTGCTATTTTAAAATCTTGTTTCCCCCCTTTACATATGTTCAACAGGAAAAAAAAGGCTACCAACATTTGATGGCACTAAGATCTATTTGCCAAATACACAACTGTTTGTGTGCCTTAACTATTTCAGTTTTACGTGGCAGTGTAAGACATTTTAGCCTGTATAGTGTTCATATAACAGTTTGAAAACAGGTGCATTTGTTGCCAGTCAGTTTCTGGGCATAAGTGAAGGTGTTCACACTAATGTTTAAAACTATAGCAAACTTAGTCCTCAAATATCTGAGAGACCACCTCTGCTTAAGATCAGCAGGGGGCACCCTCTTGATAGTTCCACTGCCCTATAAAGCTTGAGGTGTTGGTGACGTGGGACAGGGCATTCTCTCTGTCAGCCCCTACATTGTGGAATTCCCTCCCCACCAAGGTGCACACGACACCTACACTGTACAGTTTTTGTTGTATGCTCAACTCTTTACCCTGGCCTTTGACACATGAAGTGTATATTTTCAGGACCCACCCTATTCTTGTGACTGTAATCAAACTAGTTTTAAAGTTGTATTTTACATTGCTGTGACCCACCGTGGGATCTTAGGGGGACAACTGGGTATTAAATCCAATAAATAATAATAAGTTGCATGGACATGGAATATAGACATTCGATGTATGACAGCGGCCCAAAACTAATGATGCACTTGTAAAATTATAAGCATGTTTGCATGCTTACAAATCTTGGGTTCTGCTAAAGCTATCATTACATACAGCAATTGCAGACATTCCGATTTTAGATGGCATGGACGATGGAGAAAAACAAAATCTCTGCACTACCAACTCAGCAAAATAACAACACTAGTCAGGCTGATTAGTGTTTCTATGCATAAATTCCAATTAAAAAAACCCCAACAACTTAATTTTAGTTTTAAGCATTGTTTTAGTTGTCTTTTTGTATGCTCCCCACTTTCTGCTATTTATCAGAAGCAAGCAAGGAACTTAACAGAATTCTAATATCACAGATTTCCTAAACAAGTTAAAACTTTTCAAACACATAATCCTACCATCTTCTGCATCAAGTCCTTAGTCATATGGCAATAAGGTAAAGGTAAAGGACCCCTGGACAGTTAAGTCCAGTCAAAGGTGACTATGGGTCACCTTGCTTTCAGGCCGTAAGAGCCGGCGTTTGTCCGCAGACAGCTTTCCGGGTCATGTAGCCAGTATGACTAAACCGCTTCTGGTACAACGGAACACCGTGACAGAAACCAAAGTGCATGGAAACGCCATTTACCTTCCCGCCACAGCGGTACCTATTAACCTACTTGCACTAGTGTGCTTTCGAACTCCTAGGTTGGCAGGAGCTGGGACAGAGAAACAGGAGCTCACCCTGCTGCATGGATTTGAACCGCCAACCTTCTGATCGGCAAGCCCAAGAGGCTCAGTGGTTTAGACCACAGCAATATTACTGCATTATACAGCAAAATGTGGCTGTGCATCTGACAGATCAATAGACAGTTCTGCTACCTGTCAGCGAGGAACTATTATCACATTACAAATGCTACCCGTTCCCTGCTGATATGGCTCATACAGTCAACGACCAATCTACTTTACTCTATAAATGCTGATCTCCTTCACTGTGGAGAGTGGTATAAAGTTGACTTTAACCTGTGTGAGTTTGTCTAACTCCCCAAGCCAAGCTCCAAACATCTTGTCCAGATCCTGATCTTCTTTATCGCTATCTTCTTCCGCGCCATGATCAAGTTCTTCATCTGATAGCTGTTCCATCTAAAAAAGACAAAAAAGCAGCATTTTAAAGGTGAACGCTTTGTATGTTTTGAAGATTATATGACGTTATTTCAGAACACACTTATGCTCAACAACCTTCCTAATGTTTCTTTATAAGTGGATAACCACAACGATCAGTTATGTTAAAAATATTAGAGGGTCACTAAAAACTGGTAAAAAAAATCCACAACTGTTATTGTGAAACATTTTCTTTCCATAAAAAATAGAAACTCCCCCCTGTTTGCTACACCCAAGTAACAAAGAGAAGCAGTTCACTTTGAAAATTCAGCACATACTAACTTAATTCCAGAAAGGGGGCTTTTGCGTCACAGCCTAATGCTTTGGACATATTCAAACGATCACAAACTAAAGCACTTATTTCCTCTCATGTCCCTAAACAGACGTCTTCCTGGTTTCATCAAACCAGTTTGTCATGACATCTGAACCACCAAACTGTGGTTTGAGTGACGTCTCCAAACCAGAATCAAATCACTCAAGGTCACCGTTAAGTCTCTTTGAATTATGTTTGGAGGATCACAAATGTGATTTTGAATGAATCCACTATGCCTGCTAATCTTGCTGTCTCTTCAGTTCTTGCTCAGTTGAAAATATGGCTACAGTTTTTTGGTTTTTTAAAAAATACTGCTCAAGGGTTTAGAAATTTAAATTGTTTCATCGATGTAACCCATGTATGAAGAGATTACTGTATTATGCTGCCTCCCTTATAAACTCTGCTCTCCTACAAATAATCCTGCTCATCACAAGATCTTGTGCAACAAAAAATTGATTAAAACACTGGCCATTGCTTTAGAGTGCAAATAGTTTTGTTTTCATATAAAATATCAAACAGTATTATGAGAAAAGCACACTGATGTTGAGAATAAACCCTTTAGCAGCCGAACAGCACAGTGGTAATATCCTGTCTATCAAGAATCAACCAAATGCACTGACCCAGGTAGAGAAGACAGCCGATAGCAAAGCTTTCCATCACAAAGTGTTTGGTTGTTTTTTTTTTTAAAAAAAAGTGTAAAAAGGTTCCTGTATTTGACTTTGAAGCAAATGGCATAATGGTAGCTTTCCAACAGAGTTCGTTATAATAGGACCACACTTGTTTGTCCTCTTTTCAGGAGAAAGAAGCAATAGCTTTCTACTGGAGGATTAGGAAGTCCTTGTTTCAAAATCATTCTTTCATAATAGGCAAAAAAAAACAAAACCCATTAAGATCCTCAGCATGCATCTAGCTGACATTTCTTGTGAGTCAGTGCCAGCAACCATTTTTGCACTGGAAAAGTCCAGGGAATTCAAGCTGACCACAAGTTGTGCAATATCACTCAATAAGAAATGCACTCTCCTAAATAGCAGAATATACCTCTGCTCATAGAAATCTTGCTTATATAGGCCACAAAGAATGCCTGGAAGACATCCTGTCACAGAGTTCAAATATTTGAAACTGTCCAGACTACTTGAGTCATATATCCTCTATGATCTCTACAGAAAATAAAGGCACAACAGAACCAGCTATAACTGAATGATTTTTTTTTTATCATCTGCTTTCAATAAAGATTTTAACTGAATTATGGTGACTATCCAACAGGAAGGACAGTTATTTTATCATACGACACAGAGTAGAATAAAAAGTTGGCAGATAAGCTAGATATACACATATCCTAGAAACACTGACCATGTTAATATGGCAAGAACTCAAGAGAAAAGGACTACAAGACACACACACACTGCAACACAAATGACAGCAGACTTGATAGAGCACTAAAAAGGAAAAACACGGCCATTTGGGCGACCATGGCCTCGTTCACATATAACTGTAAGTCAGAGTTAAATAAACTATGTCTTGCTGGGAACAAGCAAGCATGCTGGTCTACAGTGCTCAAATTGCTTCCATCTCCTCCTCTTGCCATGCTGGGTGGAACAAACCATTAACACTACATGGGAAATAGCATTTGTAGTTGCCTTCACTGACACAACTCAACAATTAACCATGGTTTTGTTACAGACCTCACTTTTTGATTAAGATAGTGTATATCAGAAAGAAATGAAAGCGGCTGGTGCATGATCTAGAGAGGAAGGGTTGGATAAGCAGCAAAGATTCATGTTTCCTCTCTAGTCCACTCTATGGTGTCCTCCCAGACTACCCCATCATGAAGCTGTGAAGTGATAAGTCCGATAAGAACAGTATTGGGCAATTTATTTCACTGAAAAATCATAATCTTAGCATCACCTCAAGCAAAAGCGGTCATAATAAAGATTTCAAAATCCATACTGGGCAATACCTTTGTTAGGCCAACCCAAACGCTGCAAAGCAACATGCAAACTTTCTTCAAGCCCAATGTCAAACAGTGGGTAGGTGGGGTGGATGGGTGAGCAGGCAGAACAGAGGTGGCTCATGCTGAAGTCACAGAGTCTGCATCTGGTCACAACCTCAAGGCTGAACGTGAGAAGAGGTGGCAGACATTCACATGAGGCTTTGTTGGCTACTATGCAGATTGTATCAATTGCTACTAGGAAGGTGGAATATGAAATGTCTGACCCACATTTTGGGGAAGATAAAATGCTTTTATATTCCAAAAATAGGGGACAATATTCTGGTTGGCTGAAATGAAAATACTGTCCTCTTCTGAAATGGCTTCTGAAATGATCTCAGTATGTTTCTGAATTTATTTCTATTCTTGTTATTTGTGTTTTTAATCTTTACTATTGAGGCAACTTCCAATGCACTTAATTGGAAGTACAGTCATATCTTGGAAGTCGAACGGAATCCGTTCTGGAAGTCCGTTTGACTTCCAAAACATTCGGAAACCAAAACGTGGCTTCCTGCAGCCACTAGGAAGCTGCGGAAACCCCGTCGGACGTTTGGCTTCCAAAATTAGTTCGCAAACCAGAACAGTCACTTCTGGGCTTGCGGCATTCGGGAGCCAAAACGTTTGAGAACTAAGCTGTTTGAAAACCAAGGTACGACTGTACCCAAACAAAATTGTTTTTGGATGCTTCAGATCTTAGAGCATGTTTTAAAAAGAGGTAATCTGACAAAATAATAGGGAATGTCAAAACTAGTTCTATTAGACATATTAAATAAACAGATTTGGAAATCTAGACATAGCTGATTTGTAAAAATGTGTGTACTTTCTCATCTTATAAATCTTATAAATTCAATGTCAACATTCACAGCTAACCTGAAACACTGTTGAATTGACTTCAAGAACTAGTTCTTTCCTTGGAAACTGAAGATTGCATTGTATTACATTAAAGCATAGAGGGAGTTTACTTTGACTCACTTGAATTTAGCCTTCATTCAGGTCTGCCCAATTTAAAGTAACAGTCAGTACATTCTCTTTCTACGATGAGAAAGTTTAGAAATAACATCAACCGATTTCAGGAAATTTGAAAGGACCAATTACTCTGCAGATTTGTAGGTGAACAGATAACCTCAAAACTGCTAAAATGGTTAGCAGAAAGACCAGAAAGAAGCACATCTAAAGACTGTATAGTTAAAAAAAATGCACACAGTAAAATCTTTATTCATCCCTACATCTTCCAAATCCTAATGTAACTGCTTGCCAAACTGATGAAAAGGAAGAGCTTAATAATTTAATTCTTTATTTCCTGGACAAGGACACCAGCCACATAATCCAAGGAATTGTTAGACCAGCAACAATTACTCTAATAGTATGCTAGCATGGAATTTAAAAAAAAATCTTAATGCATTTGAATTGCAGTTCTTCCTAGAGCAACACTAGTAACACTCCTCTATAAATTGATATTTTACAAGCCTCCTGCTACCACAGCGCTATTTCTGGTGCATAAAAGAGGAAGTTGAGGAAGGATGTGTTTGTAGTGAGCATTTCATTTTGTTTGAAGCATGAGACAGCTGCTCTCTTGTCAGAAGAGTCTGATTATTGTCTTGTGGGAAAGATTCCTACAGCCAAGCGAGTAGTTTCTTCTTCTTAATTAGTAGTGTCGTGTTCATGAAAGGGAACACACTGCGCCCAAAATGTAGATAATAGTCAAGTTAATATTGGCAATCCAGCTTATAATGTTTAGTGATGAATATCAGTGCTGTACAGATTTCCTCAAAGGAAACATTACTAAATAAGCCCTTTGTTCTCGATTTCGGGAGCATATAGACAAGATTTAAAATCTGGAGCAGGCAAACACACTGCTACCACTGACAAGCTGTGGCGCTAACAACACCTAGCCACCTGTCCATGTTCCATTTCCCTGAAGGTCAGGGATTCGCAAATACAGTTGTCAGAGGCGGCCATAAACTTAATTCTGAAAACCAGCAAGGACACGGCATCTAGTACACTGCACAAGAATAATAATACAGTGGTATCTCGGGTTACATACGCTTCAGGTTACAGACTCCGTTAACCCAGAAATAGCACCTCGGGTTAAGAACTTTGCTTCAGGATGAGAACAGAAATCGTGCTCCAGCGGCATGGCAGCAGCAGGAGGCCCCATTAGCTAAAGTGGTGCTTCAGGTTAAGAACAGTTTCAGGTTAAGTACAGACCTCCGGAGCGAATTAAGTACTTAACCTGAGGTACCACTGTACATTTTTGAAACCTGCTAGCAACACAAGGAGAAGACAGTACCTCTTTCAAAATGGTGTCATACTATATTTTGCACCATGATACACCATCTGTGTCCAGGGATACAGGGGAAAGGTTGTCATACACATAAACACACAGCCCATTACTCATTCCCCATTAAACCCTTTCACCAAGCTGCAGGTAGAAAAATGATGCTGTTACTTTACATCTATGGCACACACACAGCCAGCCAAGCACCACTTGTCACAAGAAACAATGACTGCTGCCAAACCTATCCAAAATGTGTTGATTCCTGTCTGAAGAAAAAGCACCTCTGTAACTGCTTGGCCTCACATTCAAAGCCGCTGCCAGACAGCAAATAATCTTGAAACCCTCACTTCTCTTAAAGTGCCCAAAAGAAAAGGGAAATATCTGTAAATATTAATGCTATTACAGCATTATAAAAACCTTCGCATTAGTGACAATGTTGGCTTCGTGTGATCTTCCCAATTAACACCATAAGCATATAACTATCCTGAGTATTTAGTATACAGTGGTACCTCGAGTTACATACGCTTCAGGTTACATACGCTTCAGGTTACAGACTCCACTAACCCAGAAATAGTGCTTCAGGTTAAGAACTTTGCTTCAGGATGAGAACAGAAATCGTGCTCCGGCGGCGTGGCAGCAGCAGGAGGCCCCATTAGCTAAAGTGGTGCTTCAGGTTAAGAACAGTTTCAGGTTAAGTACAGACCTCTGGAGCGAATTAAGTACTTAACCTGAGGTACCACTGTACATTTTTGAAACCTGCTAGCAACACAAGGAGAAGACAGTACCTCTTTCAAAATGGTGTCATACTATATTTTGCACCATGATACACCATCTGTGTCCAGGGATACAGGGGAAAGGTTGTCATACACATAAACACACAGCCCATTACTCATTCCCCATTAAACCCTTTCACCAAGCTGCAGGTAGAAAAATGATGCTGTTACTTTACATCTATGGCACACACACAGCCAGCCAAGCACCACTTGTCACAAGAAACAATGACTGCTGCCAAACCTATCCAAAATGTGTTGATTCCTGTCTGAAGAAAAAGCACCTCTGTAACTGCTTGGCCTCACATTCAAAGCCGCTGCCAGACAGCAAATAATCTTGAAACCCTCACTTCTCTTAAAGTGCCCAAAAGAAAAGGGAAATATCTGTAAATATTAATGCTATTACAGCATTATAAAAACCTTCGCATTAGTGACAATGTTGGCTTCGTGTGATCTTCCCAATTAACACCATAAGCATATAACTATCCTGAGTATTTAGTATACAGTGGTACCTCGAGTTACATACGCTTCAGGTTACATACGCTTCAGGTTACAGACTCCACTAACCCAGAAATAGTGCTTCAGGTTAAGAACTTTGCTTCAGGATGAGAACAGAAATTGTGCTCCAGCGGCGCGGCAGCAGCAGGAGGCCCCATTAGCTAGTGGTGCTTCAGGTTAAGAACAGTTTTAGGTTAAGAACGGACCTCTGGAACGAATTAAGTACTTAACCCGAGGTAGCACTGTACAGGAGTTAATTTGCCGGGGTGCTGAGCCACTTGAAAGGAACCTCATAAAAGGGGGGGGGGGGAAAGGATGCCTTCCATATGTGGAGATGATGGTATGTTTCCTTTTATTTAAAGAAATTTAATTACAGATATACTTTGGGCATTAGCTGTGTCTTTCAAGGCTGGACTAATTAAAGCAGAAAGAACGGACAAAACTATCTCAGTGTAATGAGAAAATTTTTAAAAAATACTTAAGAAGCAGCAACATACAGCAAAAAATAAAATAAAATGGGAAGATCCCAAACCTTGGACATAACTGAGCTCCTAAGTTTCAGGTGTTGAGAGCAGAAAGCAATGCACATACCGTATTGGCCCGAATATAAGCCACACCCGCAAATAAGTCGCACCTTTAAAATTCAAGGGCGGAAAAGAAAAAAGACAATAACCCAAATATAAGCTGCTCCCTTAAAATTTCGCAGGCACTCATACCCGATCCGTTTTACTGTATGTTTGTTTCAGCAGCGATATCGTAAAAGCCAATTTTTGTAAGGTCGCGGATTTAAGTCACACTTTAGCTTTTCACGGTTAGAATTTGGAAAAAAAAAGTGTGGCTTATGTTTGGGCCAATACAGTAGGTACACATATGCAGTTCCTCAGGTAACACACGGTGTTATTTGTGAGAAGTGGAACATGCACAAATCCATCAGTAAAAAATCTCAAGTTCACTGAACCCATGGACTAAAGTATACTCTGTTCAGTAATTTTTAAAGACATTTTGGCAGATGGCTACTCAATCATTGCAAGTTGTTGTTTTAAAGTTTTCTATTAAGTAAAAGTGAACTTTGGGGCTGAAAAAAGGAGAGTGAAAACAAGACTGGAGATTTAAGCTATACAAGAGGTTATAATAGCACAGGTTAGCCAGATTATGATTTGTTAAATACCTGCACATTGGGCAATATACAAAAATAAAACCAGTACCTCCAGACTTACTATCTGGAGAAACAATCTGGTATGAAATAGGGAAAGAAGATTGAATGTTACATAGATATTGCATCAAAATTACTTAAGTGTTGAACTGCAGAACAGTTGAGTGAATAATTGCGAAGTAGGCAAGCCTTGTAGGTTAAAGAAGGAAGTATGGTCAGTAGCTGTAGAAAACAATTAGAAAAGTGGTTGAACCACGTATGTACAAGAGCAAAAGATTTCTAGAGCAAGGCCAAGTTAGGTAAAGAAGAAGGCAGTAACCAGCATTCAGGTATGGGCAAAGTGTTGACCTAACATGAAGGATGTTAAGGGTTGGTGTATTATTATTTTTTAAGTGGCAGCCTAGAAGCTTTTCCAGTACATAAACAAGAACTGAAATTAGTTCAGGACGAGGCAAATAGTCTGGGACAGCCAAATAAACCAAGTAAGGGAGACTTCTAGCAGGTTTACTTAAAGCATGGCCAACACTTCAGCCTTAAGGCTTCCTAAACAGTTTCAAACAAGGAGCCTGTCCCTCCCCCACCTGCAGTCAGCTTGCATCTTGGAAACCACTTTGGAGAAAGGGGCAAGACAGAGCTGAACATTTCAGTCTTTCCCTTCCTGCTAACTTCCTTCTGGAAAAACCGGGCAAAAAAAGAACACAAAAAACAGGCTGCACCTGCTAGACAAGAGATCATCACTTTCTTGCCAACCCCAGGTCTCTTTTTTTCACTGCACCACCTAGTTTCAGTACTGACAGCGTGAGGAGGAAGAACAGTGGTTGGAACACAGGGTGTTGCTTCCTTATACCAAGTCCATGTGGCTGGATACCGTCCACAGCAGGGCTGGGGAACCTGTGGTCCGTGAGTCTGGTGCCGGATTATAATCAGTGGAAGGTACCTGCTCCCTTTTAAGTGCAAGTATGTGTGCGTGAGAAGGGACGCGGGTGGCACTGTGGGTAAAACCTCAGCGCCTAGGACTTGCCGATCACATGGTCGGCGGTTCGAATCCCCGCGGCGGGGTGCGCTCCCGTCGTTCGGTCCCAGCGCCTGCCAACCTAGCAGTTCGAAAGCACCCCCGGGTGCAAGTAGATAAATAGGGACCGCTTACCAGCGGGAAGGTAAACGGCGTTCCGTGTGCTGCGCTGGCTCGCCAGATGCAGCTTGTCACGCTGGCCACGTGACCCGGAAGTGTCTGCGGACAGTGCTGGCTCCCGGCCTATAGAGTGAGATGAGCGCACAACCCTAGAGTCTGGCAAGACTGGCCCGTACGGGCAAGGGTACCTTTACCTTTTTATGTGTGCGTGAGAGAAGGGGTGGGGTGGTAGAGGAATATATTCCAGAAGACCAGGACAAAAACCTTTAGCACTATACTAAACAGCACAACTGCATTTCAGTTTTTGTAATTGGCATGTGCAATCAGCATCTAATTGAAAACAGATAAAATTGGGTGTCATCCACATTCTGGATCTCCAGGCAACTACTTTGGCAGCTGTCTTTTTGTGTGTGCTTGGGAGAGAACAGAACCCTGTAAGACCCCCAAAGGACCCCGCAAAGGGGTTGAGCAATGTCCCCCCAGCATCACCTTCTAGTTCACAGTTGTTTAGAATATCACTTTTTTGTCATTACAAGTCTCTCTGTTCTAATAAATCAGTGATTTAAAGTAATTAGCCAGTTGACCAACACTCTAAACTATCTAGGGCTGTATTTGTGCTGGCCAAGACAATGATACAAATATCCTTGTTCTTCTATGTCTCTAACCATTGGTGGTTCTTCTTTTCAAACCTGCAGCTGAGAATGCACATAGAAAACCCTTCAATAGAAAGCTCAGTTCCCACCGCTGAACTCTTTGTGACAGAAGTAGAGAGCTAGACTCAGTCGTCTCCCCTCCCACTTTATTGCTAAGCAGTTGTGAGCAGGATTTTAGCTTTCAAAGAAGGGCTGTGTGTGCACAGCCCTGGCTGCTCTGCGTGTACTCTTTGCGATCAGCTAAGTCTAATTCAAAGAAGCTGGCTGCTAAAAATAGCAGCTGAGCAGAATGTGACTCAAGGCCTATTTGAAAAAATAATACCGAAACTATTTGGTAAGCCAAATTTGAACAAAAATCCATGTCTGAGGTTATGGAGATCCATCTTAGTGAGAGGCTTTGAACAGAGTAATATTTTTTTTCCTATGCAGCTGCCTCTAGGGTTGGGGGCTTTCACACTTGCATTTTTTGTAACGTGTTCCATCAGCTCCATATGGGCTGTGTGAAAGCAAGTTCTGTGGGTACTTTGCAAGCTTCCATATGAGTACAACCTATACCTGCAATATGCAGCCGCTGGTCAGAAGTGAAATATTTTCCCCGAAACTGAAGCTCTAAAATTAAGGTTCAGACATACAAAAATCTTAATCCAAAAGTCTTCACATCCAGGGGCTCAACAGCTGAACATTGACCTCTTAAGAATAGCTTGTCAAACATAATTCAAACATTAAGTAGGATCTCTGTTGTTAAAAGCAGAATTTAAAAGTGGAAGTGAATGGGCTGCATTATTTGCTTTCTTCAATTTATATTTCTGAACGTAGCCTGCAAAACTATAGTGCACAGAATATCAAAAGTATAGAAAGCAGCACATTTCAAATTTAACTACAGTGGTACCTTGGTTTTCAAACATAATCCATTCCGGAAGTCCGTTCGAGTTCTGAAACATTCAAAAAATGAAAGCACAAGACTCAATACGGAAAACTCAAAACGGAAGCCGCGTTTCTTGTTCAACTTCCGAGGCGCATTTGAAAACTGAGGCACTTACTTCCGGGTTTTTGGCGTTTTGAGTTCCGAAACATTCCAACTTTGGAGGCGTTTGAAAACCGAGGTACCACTGTATTCAGAAAGTTACATTACACTCAGCCACGACAGCATTTTAAGAGACACTGGTTGCATCAGCACAGATGAACTGTTATATGGGATGCTGCCCTCAAATTAATTTATTGATTAAATTTATACACCACCCTTCATCAAGAGATCCCATGGCAGTTTACAGAATAAAATAAAGATAAAACACAGGTAAATATTTAAGCCAATACCACAAAACAATAACCATCCTCCTCACAGATATAGTTAAAAGGCTGTAGGATATGAATCAGCCAAAGGCCTGGTTGAAGAAGAATGTTTTCGCCTAGTGTCTAAATTATAAATAATGACGGTGCAAGCGAACCTTCCTGAGGAGAGCATTCCACAAACCGGGAGCCACTACAGAAAAGGCCTGTTCTCGTGTTGCTGCCCTTCAGACCTCTCATGGAGCAGGCACATAAAGAAGGGCCTCAGATGATGAACACAGAGTCCAGGACAGTTTATATGGGGAGAGGCAGTCCTTGAGGTGTTGTGGTCCTGAGCGGTTTAAGGCTTTATTGGTCAAACCAGCACTCAAAAGCTTCTTAGGCCAAACATTTAGCAACACTGATTAACAAATTGCTTATCTGTAGTAGACCTTAAAGGGATTTGAAAATGCTCCTCAAATCACTGCACGTTGTTCTTTCTCTTACTATTAAGACCTCACTGCCCCTGTTCAATCTATTGCTAGCTCTTTCTTTTTACCATTCCTGGAATATAAAGAAGCACAATCATATTATAAATGATATATTAAACGGACAATAAACATTTAGAAAACAAAAGGCACTGAGTTAAGACCACACAATCTAAATCTTGAAGAAAAAATCAAAAATGAGCTATGTCCGTACACTCTGCAACAAAGGACCGATTGCAACAGTTGGAGAACAGTTACTTGAAAGAAATGTCCTGCTGAAATGGGATTTACTTCAAAGCTGATAAATTTAGCACCAGGAAGGCAGTATGAAACATATATATATATGTCTGTTGGTTTGTTTGTGTGTGTGTGTTTGTATGTGTATATATATCTGAAACATCCTCTTTATATTGTCAGGAAGTTTTAGCAGTGTATATGATTTTTTGCCTGGCATTGTGCAGCAGAACCTTGTGTTCAAAGGGAATGCTATAAGATCCAGGCACTCTTGGAGGAAACTGATTTTCATGATCCATTTCAATTAGGCCTGGTTTGGGCACAGAAACTGCTTACCCTATAAGGTAAAAGTTAAATGACCCCTGGACGGTTAAGTCCAGTCAAAGGCGACTATGGGGTTGCAGCACTCATCTCGCTTCAGGCCAAGGGAGCCAGCGTTTGTCCACAGACAGCTTTCTGGGTCATGGGGTTTCTAGCACAACTGAACACCGTGACGGAAACCAGAGCGCATGGAAACACTGTTTACCTTCCCACCGCAGTGGTACCTATTTATCTACTTGCACTGGTGTGCTTTCGAACTCTAGGTTGGCAGAAGCTGGGACAGAGCAATGGGAGCTCACCCTGTTGCGTGGATTCGAACCACCAACCTTCCGATCAGCAATCCTAAGAGTCTCAGTGGTTTAGACCACAGAGCCACCCACTCCCCTGTATGATGGCCTGTCAGAAAAGAGACAGGGGAAATGTGTTCTTGTTCATTCTCCTTTACCTTTCAGCAGCTTTTAATACCATCAACTGTGGTATCCTTCTGGAGCAGCTGTCCAAGTTAGGAGTGGGTGACACCCCTTTGTGGAAGTTCTGGTCCTACTTGGATAGTCATTTCCAGAGGGTGATGTTCAGCCCCGTGAAGCCTTCAATGTGGGGTTTCTCAAGGTTAAATTTTATCCTCCATGCTGTTTAACGTCTACATGAAACCACTGAGTGGGGTTATCTGAAGTTTGGAGTACATTGTCAGCAATACGCTGATGACAACACAGCTCTACTTGCGTAGCAGTGGATGTGCTAAACCGTTGTCTTGCCTCAATAATAGACTGGATGAGAGCCAATAAACTAAAGCTCAATCCAGATAAGACTGAGGCACTGTTAGTGGGTGGTTCCCAGACCGGATGAGATGGGAGGTTGCCTGCTCTTGTCGGGGTTCAATAAATCAGTTAAGTGAAATATATTGCAAATAAATTATTTAAAAACAGTCAGCTTAAATTGAAATATTGGATGGGATTTCTTGGGACATAGTTGTAATGGGGGGGGGGGATTGTATCTTTTAGAAGATGCAAAGTCTATAAAATAATATGGCCTTGGTCTATAAAAAGCCAGCTTATAAATACTGAGCTTTCTAAAAAGCCATCAATAATAAACACCCTCTTATTCTTGCTAAATGGATCCTTTATATAAGGATTTAAGTGGCAATTATGTGAGTATTCAGTTTTTTTAGATTCCCTGCCATGTGAGACATTGTTGGTTTGTACAATGTGGGTACTTATCCAGCAAAAGTCCAGAGGAGCTGCCAAATTCCTTTCAACAAGGACTCAGTATCAGCATTTCAACTGTGGTTTGTTTTTGTTTTTTACAAAGATGGACACAGTCTTCAAACTGCTACAATAAAAACATCTTTTCCTGCATACAGTTGCCATACTATATAATTATAGTTCATAACCACTAAGCTAAACCCAACAGCAATCTGATTCAATTCTGTAGTTAAGAAATACTGTTAGAGTAACAGTTTTTGCTGAGCTACGGCTGTAACAGGTCTTAAAAACAAACACAAAGAACCATTAAAAAGGAGTGGGGAATACATGCCTTCCTCAGTTGCATTTGTATAAGCATATTCACCTGAATTTCTAATACTGGAAGGAACACTGAATCACCAGTAATACCTGGTCCCATACTTATCAGTGCAAGACATCTTTCCCTTGTCCAGTTCAGATACTCACCTAAAATCAACCCCAGTTTGACATATCCAAACCATAAATTTCTCCCAGGTGCCTCCAAGGTCCCTTCCAGCTCTATGAATCCCTGATCACCCTCTCATTTTCATTCCCATGATACATTCCCCAGAATTCCCACTTCATTCCTTCACAATGGTTTGAACTCTGCAACACAATGATACTTCACAGGCATACCTTCTCTCTTACATGTGTGTGGAGGCAGCACTGCCTCAATTAACTCTTTTCCCAATCCTATACGTCCCAACCCCTGCAAGAGGCTTGGACAACTTGTAACCCAACGAAGTGAACACAGTGTACCAACCACCAGAAGATCAAAAAACCTCCTGGCTTTCCTGCCAGTCTGTGATAGAAAACATGATAAGCCACAGTACATCGCTAGTGGGCTGAATTTAGCCTAATGGGTCATGAGTTCCCACCCCCTAACTTCTTCCTAACCCAAGCACACAGTGGGCAAGTTTGAACAAAGGTAAGAAGTGTTCTTCATTCCTATCACTGCAGTTCCCAAACAACCCCAAACGGCCAACCAAGATATCATGCTTTGTCAACCACTTGAGAGTAATCACCCCCGGGGCAAAAATGCTTGAGAAGGTGGAGGGGCAGCCCCAACAGCAAATGCTCAGGCACTGATAACATGAGCTGTTGGGCTCCGTTTTGCTCTCTTCACTATTACTCAGAGTGCCTATTCTTATAAGCCTTTAACTGTAATTAAATATTTAATTGTAAACAACCATATTCTAAAAATACTAACTGATGATGCTTGCACAACTCATCACAATACACAGAACAGGCAGGCACAGATAGGGGCTGGTTTAACCACTGGGTCTAAAAAGTCAGCGCTTCTTCCTTCTCTCACATATAAATTCCCTCTGTGACTTCCTGGTTCTAGCAAACTACAGCTTGGCACTTGTTCTCCAAACCAGAATGGGAAACCGCCGTGCAAATCTATTCTGGTTTAAGGAACAAGTACAAACCATAGTTTGCCTGTTCAGACATAATGGCAAGCTATGGTATGAAAGAGCCAACAAGTCAAGGAAGAAATAAATGTGTCAAGAGAAATTAAAGTGTGAAGACATGGCTTAGGCACCATGGCCAACCATATTTAAAAGTCAAACAGGCCCAAAGACCTGGGATTAGTTCTTTCATTTAAGAAAAAGAATCCTCAATCAGAGTTAAAAGTAAACTACAATACATATTTCACCCTTCCTTTACCTAGGAGACAGCAGAAGCACTTCGTTCAACTATGGACTGGGAACAGTTTCTTTGCCATTTCTTACATGAGAATCCATGGAAAATACATTTTTACAACCAACACTTCGCAATTCTACATGCACTTCTTGGGAAACTAACAGCTCTATCTTTAGCATGGTTATCTGAATGTAAACCCAACTGAGTTCAATAGAATTTGTACAGGTAGGATTCCAAGTAAAGCTTCAGGCCTTACCATATTTCGGAAGCTAATAGCTTTTCCTACTGCCTACACTGCAGAGACTAACATAAACCACATATTGAATAGTTTGGCTACATTCCTTTCTGTGGAAGCATAATGCAAATGATTTTCACTCACACCTTTGTCTGCTTTTAGAACCAAGACACAACCTGTTTCCTGAATTATGTTTACATGCATATATAATTTTCTTCTTTGCATATCTGCAAAATTTGTGTGCATTCAGCTAGTATGCACACACACCCCTAGAGCTTGCAATGTATTTCCCAGTCTTAAACTAATAGTTCCAGCCATAAATCAACATCAACAGAAGTACAGTCTCCCGATTAAGGGAAGTAATAGTACCATTTATTTTCTGCCTCGGTCAGACCACACCTGGAGTACTGTGTCCAGTTCTGGGCACGACAAATTTAAGGAGGACATTGACAAGATGATCAAGGGTCTGATCTTATGTGGAACAGATGAGGGAGTTTGGTATGTTTAGCCTGGAAAAAAGGAGACTGAGCGGTGGTATGATAGCCATCTTGAAATATCTAAGGGCTGCCACAGGAAAGATAGAGGAAGCTTGTTTTCTCCTGCTCTGGAGGGTAGGGCATGAACCAATGGCTTCAAGTTACAAGAAAGGAGATTCCGACTAAACATCAGGAAGAACTTTCTGACGGTAAGAGCTGCTCAACAATGGAACAGACTCTTTGGGAAGGTGGTGGCCTCTCATTCTTTGGAGGTTTTAAAGCAGAGGCTGAACGGCCATCTGTCATGATGCTTTAGATGAGTTTCCTGCATTGCAGGGGGTTGGACTAGATGACCCTTGGGGTTGGGGACCAACTCTATAATTCCATGGTTCTATGAATCCCCCCCATATTTTTTTTTTGTACGCCACCTTTCCACAGTTAAAACAATGCTCAAGGCGGCTTCCAATATGAAAAGATTGACATGATTACAAACATAGCAAAGTAGTCAAAAATAAATAAAACGCATTTAAAACTTCATAACCAAACTGAACAATTTCCACATAAAAATGAAGATACAAAAAGTTAGTATCAGTAATATCATTTAGTATCAGTAACAACAGCAAAAACTCCCAACAAACTTTCCCCAAAATACCCCAGTACAGTGGTACCTCGGGTTAAGTACTTAATTCGTTCCGGAGGTCTGTTCTTAACCTGAAACTGTTCTTAACCTGAAGCACCACTTTAGCTAATGGGGCCTCCCGCTGCCACCGCACCGCCGGAGCCAATTTCTGTTCTTATCCTGAAGGAAAGTTCTTAACCTGAAGCACTATTTCTGGGTTAGTGGAGTGTGTAACCTAAAGCGTATGTAACCCGAAGCGTATGTAACCCGAGGTACCACTGTACTTGCTGGGCAGCAGCTGCAGCAGCAGTCCTTATGAGGCCTGTAAGGCCCCAGCTTGGGCCAGGTGGAGAGTGGAAAAGTCCTGCTTTTCTCCTCAGACACTGCCCTAATTCTGCTCTATGGTAGATAGGGGAATACCAGCAACAGATCTGTTGCCATCTACAAACTAAACCATATTCACTAGCAACTTTCAGGCATCAAGGTAATGTAGTGGGTTGCTGAGCCAACCTTACTATTGTGCCACAGCCCGTAAAATAAATTTAAAAAGCATTAGTTGGCTTTTGACTAAGTCTTTAGGACATACCAAAAAGAGCTAAATAAATGCACTGCATATGCTATCTGCGGATTCAAAAACACAACCGTTCGTTAGTTGCAGAGTTGACAGACAAGTAGAAACAGCAAGATGCCAGAAGGCAACACCTGCAATCTTGAATTCTTACCTTCAACAGTCTAAGTGAACCATCCTTCCTGCATAATTACATAGGTAATTATTAAGCAATAACAGGGTTGCAATTGTTGAACTTTGTAGCTTGCGGCCAATAAAATTCTTTTTTGTTCTACTTAATAAAAGGTAGTTGTAAGGACTGAATGGTGTTCTACCATCCCCACCATATAGCTCCCCCCCCCGGCATTGCAACTACTAAACTTGCTTTTCACCTTGCCAATCCCACTACGGAAGCCACTTTTCTGTTCTATTCTGTACCTCTCTTTGCACCTGTTTTCAGCTTCAATACCCATGCCCCTCTCCTTTTGTGGCGATCGGACCATAACTATTACTGGGATTTTACACTTCAAACTTTGTGATACAGCTCCCTGCTAAAATGCATAAAATAAACTTAGATACTGCTCTGTCCACCTATAGCAAATTTCATCTCTAAATAAGTTTATCAAATATATACTTAGAATACAAATATATATTATAATACATAAGGAAATAAATATAATAGTATAATATTTAATGCATAATTTCATTATTTACTCTTATCATTCTCCATGCTATCCTCCTGTTGTTATCCGATCATTTCAGCAGTGAGGTCTCAAACGCTTCAATTTCAAATTTTTGCTTACAAACGTGAGACCAGGATTTTTCAAACTGTTCCTTTTTCTGCCTCCTTTCCCTCAGTTGTACCAATTTTGTTTATTCAGCAAACTATTTTTGTACTGTAGGAGTTGCGAGTATATGCCATTTTGTGACCAGTAACATTCATGTAGTTATTAATAAACAGCCTCCTAAAATATGCCGTTATGATAGCATGGCTGTTTTCATATAACTGTGAAGTATTAATCAAGAGTGTAAAGGTAAATAATGAGTCAGTTTCAGTGTTTTAGCAATCTTTTCTCAGTATTATTTCACCATTTCACAAGCTCCATCACATGTGCATGAAATCAACTCCAGATTTTCCACATTTCCAATTTTGACTACAACATTGTGTATCATAAATAACACTACTACATCTTAAAGCAATTCTCTTTAATACTTACACTTGGAGATAATCCTAAATATAACATTCTATACTTCTGCAATATCATTAACATTCTTTGCCATCTTACTTTAAACTTGTTTCCTTTACTAGATTGTGTTGTTGGTGGAGATACTCCTTCAGGTATACCTGACTGAGGCTGTTTAGGGCGTTAAAGGCCAGCACCAACACTTTGAATTGTGATCGGAAATGTACGGGGAGCCAATGTAGATCCTTTAGGACCGGTGATATATGGTCCAGTCAGCCACTCCCAGTCACAAGTCTAGCTGTTTTATTTATTTATTCAAGAATGTATACCCCACTCTTCAAATGTATATGCATTAATCAGAGATACTTACAGCAATTAAGATATCATTTTAAAAACATAGAGACAGTCTCAGCAGCTAAAATGCAAAGCTCATCACAGAACACATTATTTGCCTGGTGAGGCAAAACCTTGCAAGAACAGAAAAGTATTTAAAACAGCAGAAGACAGCAAACAAACCATTGAAGGCTGACTGAACCAACTATGCTTTGGGGTTTTTAAAGGTATTTACTATCAGTACAGGGTAAGTGCAATATAGACCCATGGACAAGCATTCACCAACAGCCTTGTTGCCATATTCTGAACCAACTGAAGCTTCTCAAAGCTCTTCAAAAAGGTAGCCAATGTAACAATTCAATCTGGATTATTAATTTAAACTGTGTGTTACCATGAACTGGGCTAACCCTCTTAATTCCCCCGTTTAGGTATTTGTTAGTATTTTTAAAGCCTTTTGGCAATTATGAACAGCAAGGTGCCACCCAGTCAGCAGTCCCCAAATAATTCCCTGAAAGTGAAAATACGAAACCATGTTGTTTTCATCTTGTAGATCAAGTGTCTCTATGTAAAGAGAATACCTCAGATGAAAACGTTTTCATGGATTGCTTTACAAGGGATGGTAACTTCATGATCATTCTTCACCAAATCACAATTCCACATCAAGTTAAAACAAGCATGAATGGAAGAGGAAGGAAGTTCTTATTTACGTCCTTACTTAAACAAAAAACCTTATGTCACTAAAACAGCTGCGCAGCGTATTGGCATGGTTCAGATAGATCAGTGTGTGCGAATAACATCCCAATAGAACAATTATTTTCCCTTCCTCATAAATATCCTCCTTGGCATGAAGACATGTCTACTGAGATTTACATGAACCGATTCCAGGACACAAGAAAAACTGTGCTATCAAACTTACTTCACCATCCCAATTTGGTCAGTTGTATTTTGGTTTAGTAAGTCAAGATATGAACAAAACTTTTGCCTGCACAGGCAACTCGACTGCTCTCTACTCCTTTGCACAACTCACAATTAAAACAGGATGCCTTCAGTTAAACATAGTTTTCTATTTTGTCCAAATGGGGGGACTATGGTTACCAGCCTTAGAACAATCTAGAACAGTGGTTCTCAGAGTGGGTGGTACCACCCCCTGGGAGTGGGGGGATTACCTGAGGTGCTAAGATAAGGTTACCAGCGGGGACAGTCCCTGGATTTACAAATCAGTCCCCATACAAAATTCATTGAAGTTGAAAAGTGTCCCCGGATTCACTGAAAAAAATCTGGTAACCTTATGCTAAGCGGCAAGGTGGTGGCCCAGGGATGCTGGAGGTGTAAATGTCTATCAGACTTTGAAAAGACTATGTATCACTGGAACAAATTCATCAATTTTGTTGAAATAAATAAAATTGTTTTAATTGGATTAGTTTTAATTGGATTTTGAATAAATGTGCAATTAACTGTTATAGTTTTGAATTTTATTTGTTATATTCCTTAGTGGGTTATGCAAATCACTTTTCTGAATAATGCTTTTCAAAGGGCAGGGAGCACCGAGGATGAGGTTATGGAACCAAAGGAGCGGTGGCCACAAAAAGTTTGGGAACCACTGTTTCAAATTGCTCAATTGCTTGTGCTACAAAGAGAGGGGCAAAGGACTAATTCATGGTTCACATCATTAAGCTGACATATGATCATTAGAATGAAGCCACTGTGTGAAGAGTTAATCCCTTCCAGCGGTTTTCATATCTGAAATAAATAAAAGAGAGTTTGCACAGTTTTATGTATGATCAAAAACTAGAAGTTACAGCTGGCTAGCAAACTCTAGTTGACAGAGCATGATAGGTGTAAACCACAGCAATTATCTGTGTTAATGTAAAATCTATTAGTTAAGAGTAGTGAGAGAAGGGCTAGTACAATTTTCATATGACAAGGCAGAATGGGAGAATAGAATACCAGCCCATAATCACCACTGTTGAGTGGTGATTTCGAAGAATCTATTTTAATTTGCAACTTAGGCAATTAACCAATTGCACCGATGAATCAATTACAGACTTTTTAAAAAGGCTTTATTAAGAATGATACAGTACAGAAATAAGGCCTTATAATATTGACCTTGAATTTGGATATTAATTAAAAGATGTAGCAATTTTTAACAAGTCTTACTTCCTATACTTAAAACTTCTGCTACCTGATAACCATGAAAAACTAAAAGTGGACAGAACAGAAATGGATGTCATGTGACAGGATTCAGAGAATCAGCTCCTCCAGACTATTATCAGAGTCCTGTCCCACTCACTTAGAAGTTCCCATAACATAAATGTGATTCTATAAAATGGTCAATAGACTGGTCAGGTAATGTGAAGTGGCAATAATATTCTTCAAACATTAAATTTACTAGATTCTGGGCAAAACTGTGTGAGTATGTGCAAAGGAAGGGAGGGGACATGGAAGGCCCTTATGCACAATTTCCCCCCAGGCGGAATCACTGTTACACCTCACACAATGGTGAGACCTGGGCAAGTGAGCAGGCTGTGATTCAGAGCCTTGTTATCTGGCTTAATGCAATCAGCTGAGCAGCAGGCTGACTCGCTGCTTATGGGACTGGGGCTTTTTGAACAGACCTGCCAAGGGTGGTAGATCTCCTGCAGCAGGCCAACACCAATCACCCTTCAGGTACACCAGAAGAACAAAGGTGTCACCTCATATTGTATTTTTACTGCTTTCTCCCGTTTTCTGCGGGGAGAGGTGCATAAGGTTTTATCATCATGTTGCATATGAACCTGAAGACATTTATTCCTACACTTTCTTAGGGTGGCAACCTGATACTGGAGTAGTTTTTGGTTCTTCAGGTGAGAGATGAGGGAAGTAGGTGGTATTTATACAAGGCATTCATTCATATGGGTGAAGTGTTATTGCTTGGCTGCTGATAGAGACACAGACAGACAGACAGACAGACAGACAGACGATAGATAGATAGATAGAGATAGATAGAATATCTCTCTCTCTCCCCCCCCCCCCTCTATCATACTGCCCTTCCAAAGATCATGAGGTGGTTTAAAGCACAAAAAGACAAAATAAAAACACAAATACATAATGTAATAAAATAGACAAAGAAAGAAAAAACCAGTAACCTCCCTCCCACCCCACAAACACATTTAAAAGGCCAGACTAATAGAGGGGATAAATTATCTCCACCAGTAACCCTGAGTGAGAGGTGAGGGGGCATTATTGGCAGGAAAGTTTTATTTAGGAGAGGGTCAAAGTCTCATGGTGTAGACATGTGAGTCGGTGGTTGATGTTAGATTGAATTATAGGAGTGGTTGTGGTGAATGAATAGTTTAACTGGAGGGCATGCTAGAAGACTGAGGTTTGAGTATGTTGGTTTATAGCATTTATCTGTTTGTTCTGAGCGTTGATTATGAAAGGGTGCTCTTGAATAGAAGTGGGTGGAATTTTTTGCTACAGTTAGATTAAGCTGTCTTTATCGGTAAAAAGGAGGGGCTAGGAATTTAATTAGATCAGTTTGTTTAAGTATATGATTGACTGGTCATATGGTGGTTTGGAAAGAGTTTGCTTTTTATTTTGCTTACTTGTCAATTATATTATTTTAAAATGTGGGTTTTATATTATGTAGTTTATTATAATTTGTAGTATTTTATTGCTATTTTTAGAGGTCATTTTGTTTAGTTGCTTAGCTGCTAACTATGTTCTAAAACTTGGCATTTTCAGTGTATTTCTGTAGCTTATGCTGATATTAGACAGTGCCCAGATTAGTTGTTAATTGTGATGTTCTATAATGTGAATTTTTTTCAGTACTTTATTATTTATACTCTATGTTTTAAAATATACTGGCAACTGTTTAAAATCTCCCCCTCCCAAATATAAGTGATACACGACTTGCCTAAATAAATAAAATAACAAGAGACTTTTAATCATCAGTGGGTTTTACATTTATGCCAATTGCAAAATATAAGTTTGTTAACAGTAACTGCATCTATGCCTCAACCAGCAAAGTACTGTTTGCCCCTCTGCAGCCTCCTGTGCCCCCCAAGATCTGTTTGAAGGTCCCCCAACCCTCAAGAACAGACTGGGGGCTCCCAGAAAGGGGAACTGGCAACAATCCTCTCCTTCCCTTCTGCCCATTAGCAGATGTCTCAGTGGAGCAACTGCAAAAGATGCCCCAACTGGATTCCACACATATGCCATTCTCACACATTGTTAATCCATAGTCTAGCCCAGATAAAAATTGCAGGTTCTCCATACCAACTGATTTTGGCCACTGATATTAGCACTAGACTGGTCTTCCACTCTACTACACACTAGAGTGTTCTTCCTTCAGCATGGTCTCCATAATTTACCAAACTGAATTTCATTGTCTTAACTCTATGTATCAACATAAAACTATCAACATAAAAAGATGACAAACAACATGATACATCTTCATAAGGCAATTTCAAGAAGATGACTAAAAACAATGATTTTAACAGACTGCCCAAGCTCATGGGGCCACCATGCAATTGGCTACGAAAAGCTATTTTTCTTTGTCATTTGCTATGGGGCTTCATAGGTGTGGCCCATAGCCTGTGTTTTCAAACTGTATACCAACATCTTTGTACACGACCTTTGTCAGAATTTAAGGGGACTGCTTCTAAGACTTACAAGCTTCTCATCAATGTGTCCATGTGGTCTATAGTGGCATTGAAATATGCATAGGAAGAAGATCTCAGGATAAAAATAGATGATTCCAATTTAGAATGTTTGTAGACCCACCTGCCCCTGAAATCTATTTCTGCTAAAATTAAGAAGGCAGTTCTCAATATTGTATTTCATTGGCACTGGATCTTGGTGAAACATCATAGTACTAATCCAAATATATTTCCATTGTGCTGGGGGGTTGTGGGTGGAACTGCACATATGTTAAGCATTACAATGATTTTTTTCTACAATTTCGGGCAACTCCTAAACCCAGATCCTCGTTTCCCACTACTGTCAAAAGATAGTGAGTTAGATTTTTCTGTGTAACACAAGGGATTTGTTGCTTTATTGCTGGCAATAGTGCAGGCACAGATAGCACGCCACTGGAAATGCAAAATAGGGTTGTGAAAGAAAGGATGGTTGGACAGGATCTTGTCTGTGGCACTCTCAGAAAAGCTCACTTACAATAGTAGACTGGTCCACAGCACTTCAAAACAGGATTGTTTTGAATCAATTTGGTTCCTATTTTTATGTTGTGTTTACAGAAAGTCAACTGTCAGGTCCCCAGTTACTCAGGTATCACTTTGGAGAGGACTAATTCTTCCACATGATGATAAGCTTAAAACAATAAGTGACCATCTACTTGCTCATCTACCGCTTCTGGAGCAACAGAACATGGTGATGGAAACCAGAGCACACAGAAACGCCGTTTACCTTCCCGCCGCAGAGGTACCTATTTATCTACTTGCACTGGTATGCTTTCAAACTGCTAGGTTGGCAGGAGCTGGGACAGAGCAACGGGAGCTCACCCCGTTGTGGGGATTTGAACCACTGACCTTCTGATCGGCAAGCCCAAGTGGCTCAGTGGTTTAGACCACAGAACTACCTGCATCCCTACTGCTCAACTACAAAGGTGTCAACTAAGAGGTTAACAGTAAAAATTAAAACCATAATATATAAAAGTGAGACATAAACATGAAATAAAAAATGGCTACTGGCCAGTATAAAAATGTAATAAGAAAGTAAGTAAATGGCTTGTGCACCATACACTAAAAGATTATCGTCCTAACTACAGGTCTCTGTGGTCTCTAAGAATGACTGAGGAGAACATTCTCCTGACTGACAACGTCCTCTGTGTGCCAAATGCAAACAAAGAACTGCACTGAGCTACTTTGATGACTGCTTCACATCTAAACTTCCTCAAGATATTTTGAGCCATAGATGACAGTCAATAAAAGTCTCTACTTGTCAAGAGTACATAACTTGCAATAGAGTCTAATAATATACACCACTGTGTTGTGTGAACCCAGCAACTCCTGACATAATTGTTGTATGTGCTCTCTGCCATAATTGGAACTAAAGTAGTTTATCCTTAGAATGAATGGCTTAGAGACTGGAGTGTTTCAACAAAAGACAGATCTCGACAGAAATTTCTCACTCTGGATCAACCAGCATATCCACATTTTATTTAAATTAAAGACAGCTGGGAGGTTTTATGAAGCAAGGATAAAAATAGGCATCTATCCAGTTGACAGAGGGATACCCCAGCCAAACTGTTTCCCTTGTGAAACAATCAGCTGCTTGGCAGTACTTGATCCATTCTCAAGAAAATGTAAAAAAAGGTTATGGAAAATGCATCTTGCATACAAGTGCCAAAATGAAGCAAACTCCCTAAACTAGTTAAATATCTCATTTTATATAAAACTAAATTATATATGCCTGAGGAGAGAGAAGGATTGTACTATGTTTAGCGCAATCAACCAGGATGTAGGATTAATAGCTTTTATTGCAATGTTTTTAGAAAAGTTGGAGGGTAAAGAGGAATAATTAGATCCTTGTATCTCATCTATTTGTAATAGAGAGATCATGCATTAATACATAGGCAAAGCCACTGGCTGTTAAGAACAACTTTTCAAAAGCAAAATTTTTCGGAGTGCCCTTTCCTCTGTTTCTCTGCATCCTATTATGATGCTCTGAACTTCATATTTTGAAGAGTTATTACATCTTATAGTCAAACACTATTAAAAGGTAAGCAGGATTATTCTGGTTAGGACAGGACAGACAAGACAGCTTTCACACTCATGCGCCCCTGTCCTCCCAGTGCAAATGGCTTAGATTTTTATAAGAAGTCAAACACTTTAGCAGCAGTACAGTCGCACCTGGTTTTGAGTCTGTCCCATTTAGGGTCCATTTCGTCAAACGTCTGCGGCAAACCCGAAGTACCGGAACAGGTTACTTCCGGGTTTGCCGCTCATGCACGTGCAGAAGCTCTAAATCGCGCTCTGCGCATGCGCAGAGCGGCGCTTTGTCCAGCATCCCTTTCATCAAGCGTCTGGGACTCCAGAACGGATCCCGGACGCAAAAGGAGGTACGACTGTATGCGCAGCACGTGCAAGGTTGTAAATGGAAGCAGTTCAAGACTAACAAGAGGAGATATAGTAAGATAAGGGAATCCTTAGATTTATTTGAATCAGACGGTCTATGGGCCAAGAGTAGCTTTCACCATAACAAAACAAAACCACTCCATAGTTACATAGAGAAAAACCCGAAAATACAAAATACTAAAACCTAAGCAGCAAAATAATAAAACAATGTGACAAACATGAAATAAAAGTCATAGAAGTGTTTTGCTATTATTGGCATAGTCATACCTTGAGTTGAATGTGCTTCAGGTTGAGCGCTTTCGGGTTGCGCTCCGTGGCAACCCGGAAGTAACAGAGCGCGTTACTTCCGGGTTTCACCGCTCACACATGCGCAGACGCTCAAAATGTCGTCACGCGCGGAAGTGGCAAAACGCAACTGGTGCACGCACTGTCGTGTCTTACGTTCCATTCAGGATACGAACGGGGCTCCGGAACGGATCCCGTTCGCATCCCGAGGTACCACTGTAGTGCTGAATCCTTCCTTGAAGCAGATAATGATGACCACAACTTCTAGGATTAGTCAAAATGTTTGAGAAAACACTGTACTGTACAATACTATACTTTATCTTTGTGGATTTCTGAATGGTAGCAACACATAGTATTCTCATGGAATCAAGTTCTCTTTCATTTTCATCTACTTCCTGCCCCGCCGACACAGAATATGTTGCATATGTATTGCCATTTTGTTGCTCCACTTGAGTCATTTATTTTGGTTTCCTCCCTGCTCCCCCCCCCACTAAGGTTGCTCCCGCCCCAGTGAAAGCTATTCATTAATGACAGCCATAGTCTCTCATAATTTTACTAGGGCCATAGGTTCTATTTGTTTTGTGGCCTACTTCAATCCTTCAGAATTGAACCAGCTCTCCTACTTTAAGGCTCATGTAAACAAAACGAACTGTAGTGAGAGATGAGGAAGGGTGTGTGGCATTCGAGACAAGAATTGTTACCTTAGTAAAGAAGCGATCAATCCCTGATCAACGTTAGGTAGCAGACAGACTTGCTCTTAAAGTTCTATTCATCTTACAGATACAGTAACATATCTTGGCATGGGAGTGGGAAGAAGGGAACTGTAGAACAAGAGAGGAGGATAGGAATGAGGGCGTCCTGGGTGCAAGGGAGAGTTGCAAAAAGGAGGAGGCAGAGAAAAGGGGAATGAATTTTATAAGGGTGTCTGCACAAAGGGGGCTGTATATAGGAGAGAGGATCAGGCATGGAAATAGGGACGAACTGTGTGCAAGGGAAAGTTGAGAAAAGCAAGGACGACTTTTTACATGAGTAATTGCCACCTGAACTTTTCCCTTGGTGAGCACCTGAGCAACAAACTGAAACTAACCTTGCTCCTGGAACCACCAACGTCACGTGCATATCCACCCAAGCACAGCACTGTGTTTAGCTTAGACACATCATGGCTGGGCTAAGGAAACTATTCAGCTCAAAGGCTGCATTCCCCTCTGGGCAACTTTCCAGAGCCCACATGCCAGCGGTGGGTGGGACTAGAGACAAAAGTGAGTGGAGCAATCAACATGAATTTTAACTTTATGCAGTAGGCTAGTTTCTACACAAATCCCCGCAAGGGACACCTACGTATTCCTGCATTGAAGGGGGTTGGACTATATGAACCTCAGGGTCCCTTCCAACTCTATGATTCTATGAGTCTGTAGCATGTCTATGCTGAATTTTTTTGTACTTGTATTGCTTCTTTTATATCTTATATTGTATTACATTGCATTACAATTTGAATTCTATGGAATGCAAATTGCAATACATACATTAGAAGAAACAAAAAAGCAGTAAAAATGCAATTAAAAATCATAACAGCATTTAGCACAGTGCACTGCAACTGCTACAATAGGCAAAAAAATCATTAAATGGTCCACCGAGACCATCAGCAATTTTCAAGCGGTCCACAAAGGGAAAAGGTTTGGGAAACTGCATTATGCCATAAAAGCAATTCACTTTTAAAGTTAAAAAAACAGCTTTTAAAACAATGCAGGATGGTCTTCTAGTGAGAATGTTTTTTTTTTTTGTGTGTGTTAATAGGCATAATAAAATGTGTACTTAAAGTAAAAAGAAAAACTGAAAAATGTGACCCAGATAGTTTAATGGTTCTGTGGTTCTCATTCATCATTTTAAAAACATCTCTGACCTAGTTTTATGTTTCTAATATTTGATATGCTTTTGCCAAAGAAACCAGATTACATTTTTTTTTTACAGAAAGACAGTGCAACTGTTTGGAATGCTGAGCCATTACTAGATAATGCTAGCACCTAACATCCTATAGTCCCAGAAGGGATAAACTATAGACTATACCCACAGCAGTCATATACACAACATTTTTAGAAAAATACAAAGGCCCTTGTTCACACATACTAAGCTGCTGTTTGTTTAACAAAGCATGACTGAACAACAAGCAGTCCCACAGGTGATCAAACAAACCATGGCTTTTTTCTCCAAAGCTTGATTTGTTTTCCAGTTGATCGTGCTTTGTAGCTAGATTGCGCACCTGGGTTGGGATGGGCAAACAAACCATTGCTATGGAAGAGTGCCAGGTTTACAAGTAATACCAAACCATAGTTAAAATAAACCAAATTAATAAACCAACAAAAAGCATGGCTTCAGATTGTGGGTTTTAGCAGGTCCATATTTATGTAGCTCAGCAGGGTTTGGGTAATCAAAAAACTATGGTGTTAGAAACTCAGGTATATAAGCTAATCACCAAATGGGACCTTAAACCTGGGTTACAGTTGCCACAACGGTATGTCTAGGGACTACCACCCCCAGATATTATTATCATAATCATCATTTCTATACCACTTTATGTTTTAAAGAAAAAAAAATCAAAGTTCACATTAAAACATCAAATAAAACAATTCAAAATAAAACAAATTCAAGCTTCAAGGAAAATATTTCAGATCCTTCTCTGTGACATTTTGCTTTTCCCATGTTTATTTACCTACTTAATTTATACAGCTGCCCCATAGCAGAAGTACTCCAGGAAGTCAGTGTGGTGTAGTGGTTAGAGTGTCAGATACGGGCCTGGGAGGCCAGAGTTCAAATCCCCACTCAGTCATGAAGCTCACTGGGTGACCTTGGGCCAGTCACAGCCTCTTAACCTGCCTCACAGGGTCACTGTAGGGATTAACTGAGGAGGTGGTGAACCATGTACTCTTTGGACAAAAAGGTGGGATATAAATGCAATAAAAAGGACCCGGGTGGCGCTGTGGGTTAAACCACAGAGCCTAGGACTTGCCGATCAGAAGGTCGGCGGTTTGAATCCCCATGACGGGGTGAGCTCCCGTTGATCTGTCCCAGCTCCTGCCAACCTAGCAGTTCGAAAGCACGTCAAAGTGCAAGTAGATAAATAGGTACCGCTCCGGCGGGAAGGTAAACGGCGTTTCCATGCACTGCTCTGGTTCGCCAGAAGCGGCTTTGTCATGCTGGCCACATGACCCGGAAGCTGTACGCCGGCTCCCTCGGCCAATAAAGCGAGATGAGCACCGCAACCCCAGAGTTGGCCACGACTGGACCTAATGGTCAGGGGTCCCTTTACCCTTACTAAATGCAATAAATAAGCTCTTCTGCTTACCAGCTTAAGAAAGCTGGAGGGGCCAACCAGACAGAGGTGTCATTTGCCAACCTGGCATTCCAGAGACCTCCAGGTGGTCACAGTTGGAACTGTGCCAGTCACAAAATGTGCCTGACGCCTAACAATTACTGTATAATGCTTGCAGGATACCAGCAATGGTTTTCCTACTGGATATAAGGATGAATTGTAAGTCTGGAAGGGCAAGCTTGATTTTTTTAAAAATATAGAAGTAGTGATATTGTCACATATGAGTCCAGAGCATGTACTAAACACACACACACTCAAATGATGGACTAGCTTCCCCCACACCTACAGAAGTCCTAGATTTTTCTCCTTCAAATAAGCCTAGGTTCTTTCAAAGGAGAGGAGATGACATATGTTAGAAACTGAGAGGAGGTACAAACATGTAGCCTCAATATAAATGGTGAACAAATTGTAGAACAGGAGAGGGGAGAAATGAAGCTTGGAAAGAAAGAAAAAGGCTATTAGCGCAATCCTTGCTAAGGTAGTGGTACACACAAGATGGCCGGAGTCACATGCCCCTGGTTCAAATCAGCCCTATTTGCTAATAGGTTTTCCAAATGAACACTATCTGCATAGCTCATTTCCACCATAATGTTTGTGTGATGGAAATGACAGGGGATAGTCTGAAAAATAACAAAGCTGCAAAATATTTGACACAGTATCCCAGAGCTGCACAAAATGAAGAACCTGTGCAACAAGCAGAAAGGCTGGGAAAAGAGTGATAAATGGAATGAATAAAGTGTTAAAAGTAGTGTGACTAGACAAAGATGAAAACTACAGAAATTTGGTCTGCCTCATACATATAGAAATTATCAATGACGGTATAAGGGTGTAACTCATGAGGAAACCAAGCCAGAGTCACAAGATTAAGGTAGTGAAACATTTATCTGATGACAGAAAGAACTTCTGTAAAATAACTTTGGTTGCTCATAATAGATCAAATGGTTTTAAGATACCACTTGAAAAGAAACAAACAACATCTTAAACAATAACACACTGATTATGGCATCAGCTTTTGTGGACCGCAGGCCACTTAATCAGATGCACTGAGTGTAATACAACCATATTATGCATACATTCATATGGATGGAAGTGGAGTTACAGGGGAAGTGAAATGTAAAAGTACAGGGACCAAAATGGCAGTTTTGGGGATAACAAAAACACTCTGGGCATTGGTAAATTAATCCTCATTTGGTGGACACAAATCTGTAATTTGAATTCAAGCCACAGGTTACAAAACTGAATTGCCTGACAAAATATGATTTCACACTGGAGTTTCCCTATGATGTTTCCTGATAGCCACCTTAAAGTCTGGGCATAAAGTCTCCTATTATGTCTTCCTACTGGTTTCTGCATATTGCCATTTCTGATATCATGTTTGTCTGCTTATTCTTTAATACAGAGATTGATCAATTGTAGGACGCAGAAGGGCATTGCTGGCAGATGATGGCATTTAATATCAAAAATTAAAATTTATAAAATCCTTACCTTAAATTAAGTGATGTACAAAACAGTATAAAAAAACAAGCAACATATCACATAGGGAGAGGAGCAGGTAAATGAACCCATGATAATGTGGCTGACATTATTAGACTCTGTAACAGTGCTGCCTGGGTAGATATGGGGACAAAGCTGGCATGTGGTTTTTTGCAGTGTCTGGTTCTTGCATTTATGGCTTTTTTTACCTGGCTCCTATTGCTGGTTTGTAACTGTACTGGTCTATTAACCAAGGTCTGCAAGATAGGAGTGTCATAAGAACAAGCCATGGCAACATTTTCTGGGCCTCTACAAACGTAAACCAACCAATTTATCTACATACCAAAAAAAGCATGCAGAGGAGTGTTTTGAAAATGTGCCACGTGCAGAAATCAACAAGCATCCAAAATATTGTTCCTAAAGCATGATCCAATCACGTTCCTCTTTCTCAATAGGAAATAACCTTCCTGAAGATATTATCATAATTAATGATGGAGACAATGGAAGATAAAATCTTTCCAGTTCTCAAATCAGGGATTTATCAAACTCCAGATATCCAGAGGAAATAGCAAAACTAACTATGGTCTAAAGCCAGGACAGGTTAACAAAAAAACAAAACAAAACAAAACAAAAACTAGGACTGAGTTTATACACAGCTGCTGATAAAAATGAGTAGTGAAAATAATCCAAAAGGTTTTCATTTAGCATTAAAAATGGTAAAATAAATGGTATGAGTGGGATGTGTCTGACCCTGAACCTGACACATCAATGGGCATTAAGTCCCTAAAACCAAATGGTGGTATGCCTCTAGAATATTAAAAAGCAATAAAGTAAGAACAAATAATATCATTTAAGAGTGTTTTATACACAGGCACCCCCCCATTTGTGCATAAGCCCAACCCCCATTCCAGCCTCTTTGAGGTCGAAAAGGACTCATGTGTCAGCGGATGCACGTCAATTGAACGCGCACAGAATGGTTGCTGCCCATATTGGGGGGGGGGGGCAATGGAGGAGACAATGGAAAATAAACTATTTCCAGTTCTCAAATTAGGGATTTATCAAACTTTATCAGGTCTGGTGTCCGCCTGTTGTACAAATGTTCCAGGGAAGATTTGGTGCTGGAGGGGAGGAAAGAGAGAAAGGATATATGCTTGTCATATTTGTCTTATACAGATTCCAGTTACTAGTCTTGTTCTTTGAGGAAGAATTGCCTCAACCTTGTTTGTACGTACCTGTTGCTAGCTGGTTCCCTCACCTCCCTGCATCCCTGCTCCGAAGCTTAACTTCCTCTTGGTGGCGGGAGGGGACTTCTCATTGGGTCCCAGTTCAAAATAGGGAAAAGGTCCAAAATTTCTCAAAGAGGTGGCAGTGTACGGCAACCCCACCTGCAGGGGAAACAGCAGCCACCAGGACAAGAGCTGATGGTGCAGGTCAATGAGGAGTCTGGGTTCCAGCTGTGGCTGAAATAAAACACACTTCCTTTTTCAAAGTGGAGAGCAAGACAACTAGGGAGAAGTGGTGCCAGAAGGCAATGCCTTGGAGAGTGGTGGAGGGAAGAGTTCCCAGCCAAGGAACAGCTGCAAGAGCGGTCCGGTTTTTGTCTCCAAGCCTAACATACCAACTCAATGCCTCCTCCGCAACAGTAGTATACCTATGGGACCGCCTGTATGCCCCACAGAGGACCTTAAGGTCCATAAATAGTAACACCCTAGAGGTCCCGGGCCATAAGGAAGTCAGATTAGCCTCAGCTAGAGCCAGGGCCTTTTCAACACTGGATCTGGCCTGGTGGAACGCTCTGCCTCATGAGACCAGGGATCTGATTTCTTTCCACAGGGCCTGTAAGACAGAGTTGTTCTGCCTGGCCTTTGGCTTGGAATCGACTTGATCTCCTCCCCCTCTTTCCTTTTTCTTTCTGTGATGGAACTCCTATTTGGGGACTTCCCTGGCTTTTTTTTGGCCCATGTAGGACCAGTCTGAATAGTTGGCCTTGGTGAAGACTTGATGTTTTCATCCCTAAAAAAGTTTTTGATTTGAGTTCCTATTGAAATGAGGCTGCATTTTAATGTTTTAATGTTGTATTTTAATCTTGTTTTTAAGTTGTATTTCAATCAATTGTTTTTATCTGGTATCAGCTGCCCTGAGCCCGGTCTTGGCTGGGGAGGGCAGGGTATAAATAAAATTTCTTCTTCTCCTTCTTCTTTCCTAAGTGTGGCCACCCCTGGGACTCACTGCTAGAGCTGATCCCAGTAATTGTGCATGCTATTTCTCTGCCAAGGGCACTGCAAAAGCCAACCCCTTCACCACCACTTGGTGGGACTCTGCATAGCTATTTGCTATGGAATTGTTCCAAGTTTCCCTGAGCATAGTTTCACCTGTGATGATGTCCTGAGCCCCCCAGCAACAACCTGATAATACTGCCCTTAAGCATGCATCTTGTGCCTAAAACATTCTAATAACAGTGGTACCTCTGGTTACGAACTTAATTCGTTCCGGAGGTCCGTTCTTAACCTGAAACCGTTCTTAACCTGAGATACCACTTTAGCTAATGGGGCTTCCCGCTGCTGCTGCACTGCCGGCGTGCGATTTCTGTTCTTATCCTGAGGTAAAGTTCTTAACCCGAGGTACTACTTCTGGGTTAGCAGTGTTAGTAACCCGACATGTTTGTAACCCAAGGTGTTTGTAACTTGAGGTACCACTGTAAATGTATAACAACAGAGAAAGGATTTTTAAAAACCCACATACAATAGAATTGCCATAACGTTTAAATGCATTAGTGTTTGATAAATTAACAAAGTGAAATCAACAAACAGATGCAACCTCATATGAATATTTTAGATTCCAGAAGAGAGTACTGTATTTGCAGACTGATCCTCAATGTGTTCAATAGGAATTGCCGTTTACTCCAAGTATGAATAAGATTACAATCCCAGTTGTGGTCTCCCTCAGCAGTATTTCCTACTCATGTGCACTTTCCCTAAACTGTCTCCTTAAAATTGCTTGTTCCTGGAATACCATTGTATTCCGGAATGCAGTGCAACATACAGAGAAGGGCTACATACCAAGTGAGGCATGGCAAAACAACTAGATCTATATTCTGTACACATAACCGTAAGAGAAACTGGCACATTAACAGCCCGCACTGTCAAATTTAGTCACTGGAGAAAGACACTGAGACGCTGGAATCTGATTCAGCATTTTTCCAGATGCTTACACTTCTCCGCCCCTTCACTTACAAGGGTTGCTTCAGTAAGCAGAGGGCTATAATTTAACAGGCTACACAAAAGTGGCAAAACTGTTCAAATATGATATGTACCTGCATTTCTACACACATATTTGGTTTCAGGAAACTGAATCTTAGAGGGAGAAAGGCAAGTTTTTTCCCCAAAAGAGTAACCATAAAAATTAATTTGAATTAAACCAGAGAAAACTGTGATAAGCCAGCTAATAGCCTTTCAGATATAAAATGTATTCATCTTGCACTACTTTAGTGTTATCATTAGAACAGTAGCTTCCACCTCTTGTAAAAGGCAGGACCCTTGTAAAATATCTGCTTCTGGAACACTTCAAAAGTCCAAAGACAACCTCTTCTTGTGTCATTGATAGCCGCTATGCATCCATTATTTCTTTCACATCTCTGCAGCCTTATTTTTTTTCTTGTTGTATATGTTTTCTTGGAACATGTAGATATTCCCCACTACGATTCTTCTGTCTCCTTTACAGATTATCCCTTTCAACCTTTCAGTGCCACACTGTCCTTCCCAAAATTCACACGACTTCTAGGCTCTAAACTACATTTTTTATAAACCACCCAGAAGACTTTGGTTGATGGGAAATCTAGAAATCTACTGAGAGAACTTTCAGATACATCAGATGCATCACACCAAACTTGCCTTTGTTAACAAATGTGTGGGGTCTGGGGGTTTGTTTGTTTTTACAATCAAGCAGTATAGAATTTTTATGAAATAATGAAAATAAAAGATAGATTTCTTACAACTGCTGGTATTATGCAGATCTGTAACAGTGCTAGTTCAAGCAGGCACTTTCATTGCCATTTCTGCATTATCTTAAGTTTTGCTCCTTTTTGCACAAGAGGCCAGTACAGTGGTGCCTCGCAAGACGAAATTAATTCGTTCTGCAAGTTTTTTCGTCTTGCGAAGCACGGTTTCCATTTTTTCAAAAAAATCTTCAAAAACCTCAAAAAAGGCTACCACACCGCGTGCTATGAGTTGCTCCTCGAAGTCAAGTCGCAACTGCACCTCTTCAAGCAATGCACCCTGTATTACTGTAACGGTTTTAAGAAAAAGGAAACAAACTTGCAAGACGTTTCCATCTTGCGAAGCAAGCCCATAGGGAAATTCGTCTCGCGAAGCAACTCAAAAAACCAAAAACTCTTTCGTCTTGCGAGTTTTTCGTCTTGCGAGGCATTCGTCTTGCAAGGTACCACTGTATACATTATTGCAAAAATGGGAACAAACATTATCAAACAGTTATCTACAACAAAAAGCATTTCTCCTACTTCATCCTTCCTATTTCACCAATAATCTTCACCATGCACTAGAAACCTCTCCTCATCCTAATGGTAGCCACCAGCTGTGCCAGAAGGACTGATTCTTCAACACCATGCCAACCCCACTATTCTCTGTACAGCTATGCGAACACATTCTGAAAGGAAACATTTATTTCACGCCAATCCATGCTTGCAACCCCTTTGCCCTCATGTTCTTAATTTGCGAGGCTTTCGCGAGAATTATTCCACATGGATTTGCATATCCTTGCAAGAGAGGCGCTATGTTGGTCTGCCAGCTCCACAGGGCGGAGTCCGCCCCCCCCCCCCCCGCTGGCACTGCCTGAATGCCTCAGTCCTGAGCAAACCCTTCCTCTGACAGCCTCTAAGTCCGTTCTGAAAGCTCGGCTAAGTGCTATTGCTTTCCTATTTTTACGTTCAAATCTCTGCCTATTTGACAGCAATCGTTGGGAATGCCGCTGGGAGAGATTTCAGATTTTGGGGGGGCGGGGGAGAGGGGAGCTAACCAGAGTACTAGACCAACCCCTCTCTCTCCAGCGCGCAGCCTGCGCTTAACAGATTCCAGAAGGAAGGAGGGGTGTAAGGGTGGAGGCTGGATCCACAAGCAGTTGAGTATAGCAACAGACAGAGAAGGGATGTACTGTAATGCTGTTTTCTGCTGCAAGCCCATCCCTCCCCTCTCGCATGCAGGCTGGAGGAAAAGGGGACTGGCTCGCTGGGTTGCTTGCTTCGTGGAGACCTTTCCTGCATGCAGAAATGCGCTGTACATAAATACACCCAAGTCGTGCACCCCCCCCAATAATTCAGAAAAGACCCTGCTGCACCCATTCTCCCAATGAAAACACACACACACACATAGATATGGATAGACAGCTATATAGATGTGGATATAGATATAGATATATAGATATGGATATATAGCTATACAGATGTGGATATAGTGGATATAGATATGGATATATAGCTATATAGATGTGGGTATATTGGATATAGATATAGATATGGATATATAGCTATATAGATGTGGATATAGATATATAGAAATATAGATGTGGATACAGATATATAGATGTCTTGCTGGTCATTGACCGTATTAAAGATATTTGATTTGATTTGATATATAGATGTGGATATAGATGTAGATATGGATATAGATGCAGATATAGATATATAGATGTGGATATAGATATAGATATGGATATAGATGCAGATACAGATGTGGATACAGATATAAGCTCATCCGGGGGGTTGGGTGGGGTGAGGCAGGGTGGGGTACATTTCGAAACATGAATCCCTCTCCCAACACTTACTTAGCTTTTTTGGGGGGGGGGGGGTGGAGGAAGAAGACATTCATACCTCTGACCGCCCCCTCCCCACGCTGCGACCCGCAAGCAGGGACAATAAAAAAACGGGAGACCCTCCCCAGCGAGGGGAGGAAAAGCGCCTGGCGAAAAGGGGCGGCGGGGGGAGGGAAAGCGGGCGGCAAAGGCCGAAGTACTGGCGGGGGGGGGGTCTCTCTCCGGCCCCACCCCACCGCACCCCCTTACTCACATCCCACCCCGGGGTAAGGCTCCGCCGCCTCTGCTCCCGGGGGAGGAGGCGGCGGAAGAAGAGAAGCCCCCCCCCCCACTTTCCCTCACACCCACAACGCCGGGTGTGGGGAGGAGGTTTCGGGGGGAAGGTGTGGCGGCTCGGGGCTCTCACCGTGGCGGCGGCGACGGCGGTTGCTTCTGCTGGAGACCCGGCGGTGGTGGCGGCTGCTCCTCCTCCTCCTTTTCCCTCAGCGCCCTGGCTGGGCTTGGCTGCCTCCTCCGCCCGCCCGCCCGCCCGCGGAAACCCCTCAAGCCAAGGCTGACGAGATTCCTTCCTTCCTCCGACGCCTCACAGTCTTCCTCTCCCTCACACACAAGCCGCAGCAGCCACACCGCGAGCAGCTCCGCTTTAGCCGGCCGGGCTCCCTCCTCCTCCGCCCCGCTTCTCCTTCTCCTTCTTCTCCCCTCAGTCAGCTCACTTCCGGCGCGCAGGCCTCGCCGCGCCTCCCCGCCTTTCTCCTCCTCCGGCGGCGGCGGCGGCTGCGGGAGCGGCAAGGAGATCCCTCTCGCCCGGCTCCGCTCCGACTGGGCCTCCCGCGCGAGGAGGAGGAGGAGGAGGAGGAAACTAGCCTCGCCCTCCTCGCGCCCCTCCCGCCAATCCGCGGGACGAGAGCTCCTCTGAGCATGCGAAGAGTCCCCGCCCCTAGGAGCCAAACTCCGGGGTCCCTCCGGCCCCAAACAAATATTCGACGGAGCCCCCCGCAAAACAACAGTTGATGGGACTTGCCATTCAAATGGCATCATGCGATGGGTTATGTGGGAAGGGGCTTACCTACTGCCCCCCCTCCATAAAATAATAATAATAATAATAATAATAATAATAATAATAATAATAATAATTTATACCCTGGTTTCCAGAATATGTGCAGAGGAGGGCAGCCTAGATGATGAAAGGTCTGGAAACCAAACTTTATGAAGAATAAAAAAATTGTCCAGTAGCACCTTAGAGACCCAACTAAGTTCTGGGTATAATCTTTTGTGCGCATGCACACTTCTTCAGATGCCAAATTATGAGGAAGAGTTGAGGAAGTTTGGAATCTTTAACTTGGATAATAATAATGGGCGGCTTACAGCACATACAAAATGATAAAACATTAGACGTTTAAAATTTCCCTATACGGGGTTGCCTTCAGATGTCTTCTAAAAGTCAGATAGTCTTGACCATGGGTAGGCAAACTAAGGCCTGGGGGCCGGATCTGACCCAATCACCTAAATCCGGCCCCCGGGTGGTCCAGGAATTAGTGTGTTTTTACATGAGTAGAATGTGTCCTTTTATTTAAAATGCATCTCTGGGTTATTTGTGGGGCATAGGAATTTGTTCATTTTTTTATTTCAAAATATAGTCCGACCCCCGCAAGGTCTGAGGGACAGTGGGCTGACACCCTACTGGAAAAGTTTGCTGACCCCTGGTCTTGATGTCTGATGGAAGGGCATTCCACAGGCCGCCAATATTTTATTTAAATTGGTCATCAATTTCGGTCAGGACCCAAGTGAGGTTCTGGTCACGGAGTCATCGACTTGGAAAGGACAACGAGGGTCGTCTGGTCCGACACCCCCCCCCCCAAAAAGGAATCCTTCTGCCCAATGTGGGGCTCCGACTTACAACCCTGAGATTTAAGATCATTCACCTCGTGCTTGCCGGCTGAGCTGAGGTTCTTTGCCAAGGCATGAAGAACCCTTTGCACAAATATAAGATGGGTTGCCGGTTGGCCGAGGCGGTAATCTTTCGTAATGTGGCTCCCTGTGCGAGGCCAGAATTTGGTGCCCCCAAGGAATCTTCTGGGACGCGGGTGGCGCTGTGGGTTAAACCACAGAGCCTAGGACTTGCCGATCAGAAGGTCGGTGGTTCGAATCCCCGCGACGGGGTAAGCTCCTGTTGCTCAGTCCTAGCTCCTGCCCACCTAGCAGTTCGAAAGCACGTCAAAGTGCAAGTAGATAAATAGGTACCGCTCCAGCGGGAAGGTAAACGGCGTTTTTGTGCGCTGCTCTGGTTCGCCAGAAGCGGCTTAGTCATGCTGGCCACACGACCCGGAAGCTGTACGCCGGCTCCCTCGGCCAATAAAACGAGATGAGCGCCGCAGCCCCAGAGTCGGTCACGACTGGACCTAATGGTCAGGGGTCCCTTTACCTTTTAAGGAATCTTCTCCATTACAGATCTTCTCAATGTTGTACCCACCCTCTCCCCTTGGCACCCTGTCATGGGGACCTCCTGCAACACCCTAAATATGTTGCTTCAGTCCTTTTCAGCATATGTGGTGGTCTTGTAGTAAGGTTAAAGCTTACTGGGAAATGGTATACAGTAATACCTCTGCCAACATCCGCTTCTTCTAGCATCCGCTTCGGCGAACGTACGCAGCAAACCCATAAGTACCAGAACGGGTTACTTCTGGGTTTGCTGCTCACGCATGCACAGAAGTGTTAAATCGCGCTTCGCGCACGCACAGAAACACAAACCGCTCTGCAAAACAAGGTACAGTGGTACCGCAGGTTAAGTACTTAATTCGTTCCGGAGGTCTGTTCTTAACCTGAAGCACCACTTTAGCTAATGGGGCCTCCTGCTGCCGCCGCACCACCAGAGCACGATTTCTGTTCTCATCTCGAAGCAAAGTTCTTAACCCGAGGTACTATTTCTGGGTTAGCGGAGTCTGTAACCTGAAGCGTATGTAACCTGAAGCATATGTAACCCGAGGTACCACTGTACAACTGTACTGTATAATGAACTGAAAAAGATGTTTAAAATAATGTTTGTAAAAACAACAACAACCCAGAACCCTTCCTTTTGGCAATTATAGGGACAGAACTACCCAAACTGATTTGTTCATCCACTTTTAATATATACCCTTATAAAACTGCAGGTTATTACAATAATCCTGCCAATGTTTTTATCTGTTTACAGTTTGTAAATATTCCATAAACCATTTCCGTTCTTTTATAAACAGTTTGCTATCTTGATTTCTTATTTTTCCAGTAAGTTTTGCCATTTCTGCATATTCTGTAAGTTTTTGTATCCATTCTTCTTTTGTTGGGACTTCTTCTTTCCATTTTTGGGCAAGTAACATTCTTGCCGCTGTGGTTGCATACATAAATAAATTTCTATACAGTTTGGGTAGTTCTATCCCTATAATTCCCCAAATTCTCTGTTTTGCTAATACAGAGTTAACTCCAGCTTGCTCAGTGGGATTTGCTGCTGGCTTGCTCCTTTCAGAAGTAGGGCTGATGACTTTAGTCTCTTGGACCTGCTACTGTTCTTGGGAGAGGGGTGTTTTTAGATGGTACTTAAAAATGTGAATATCTGGCATTGCTGTTTTAGCAGGTCCCCTGTACTTCTGTCTGAAAATCCTAACTTGATACAGCACCTCTGATTAAGTTGGTAGTATTAATATTGTTTAATTTTTATGTCAACCTGGTGTGTGGCAGCTGTGGAGGGGGGAGTGATTTACAAATTAGGATCATTAGGGATTGAATTAAAATTGCCAATGTCACAATGTCATTACACAAACCTATGGAATGCTGTGTACCGTTCCGGGTGCCACATCTTAAAAAAAAAAGCATATTTTTAATAGCTGCAAGAGGTTCAGAAAATGGCAACCAAAATGATCAAGGGGTTGGAGCAGCTCCCCTATGAGGAAAGATTAGAACATTTAAAAATGCCGAGAATGCGAGGAAGCAGGGACCTGATAACAGAGATTATACACGATAGGAAGAAAGAGGGATATGGAGAAAGAGAGAAGCTTTCCTGCTCCTTCATAACACGAGAACCTGGGACCATTCAATGAAACAGAATGTTAGAAGGTTCGGGAGAGACAAAAGGAGGTACTTTGTTGCAACATGCACAATTAAGCAATTAATGTTTTTTTAAAAACGTTTTTATATGTTCTGGAAGCCACCCAGAGTGGCTGGGGAAACCCAGCAAGATGGGTGGGGTATAAATAATAATAAAATTATTATTATTATTATTATTATTAAACTGTGGTCTTGGCTCCCAAATGATTTAAGTGACAGCCATCAATCCTGGGAATCACAAGTGTCCTGCTTGTGGAGTTCACCTAGGCATCTGGTTAGCCACTGTGAGAACAGGATTCTGGACTCGATAAGCTTTTCTTTGTTCTGATCCAGCAGGCTATAGAGCAGCTATAGTAGGATCTGGGAGTAAACCAGAAGCCAGGGTAAGGATTTAAGGAGGGGCACCGTGGTCGGAGCGATGAGGAGAGATGTGAATAATTTTAGCAGCAGAGTGTTGGATGGACTTAAGTGGATAACAGTGAGATAACAGTAGACCAGAGGAAAGGAGATTGCAACAAAGTGAGAGATTAAAATTCTGCCCGTTCCTGTGCTCATGCAGGAAAGGCATATGAAGTACTACACTTCATTCCGAATTCACTAACCTAGATACTAACTACCTCCCAGTTCTTTTTGGTGTGTGATTTGAATCAATAAATAGCGTTAGAAGACACAAGGCAGAAATTTGCATCTTTGCCTGCCTTGGCCATAATAAGAAAACGACATTGGCATCGTTCTTTCAGGCATTCAAAGAACTTCAGGTGCATTAAATGTGTCTATAATTGTGGTCGTAGTGAGTTCAGGCAGAGGCAACATTAAAGCCAGGGACTTCCTGATCCTCTGCGCAGTGTCTAAGCCACTGCACTAAACCACACTATGGGCATTACGGCGTTTATCACGTGTTAATAGGCAATACATTCATACATTCATTTTAAATTAACTTTGGGCATGCAGCGTCACCGGCCAGCTCAGGCTCAGTCATAAATGAAAAGGAAATAGAGACACTTCCTGAAGCAGGCGGGGGGAAAGGGGCAAGGAGAGTCCTCTAGCAGCTGTGACCCACTTGCTAGAGTGGCATGAAACAGCCCTGCCTTCCGTTCCAGCCTGCTCAATGGGCAGTGCCAAATTAGGGGACACACCCATGGACAACTGCGGGCAAGCTGGCCAAGTGAGACATGAGAGGGCAACACCCTGGGAGCGCTGCCCAGGCGAGAATAAACACCCTCCAGGCAAGAAATGAAAACGTAGACCAAGACACACCTAGCAGCAGCTGGTGTCGTGACCGACTCAGTGTACAGCTGGCTAGATAATGAAAACAAACATGCTGTTAGTGATTGTAAAATAAATAAAAAACCCCAGCATTTATAAAGCACTTTTTAATATGTGCAAGTTGCTCCATGTATCATCTCAGCATTCTTAATATCAGCCCTGTGGGGCATGTTCAGGTTCATTGCTAGGTTATTGATGGGGCATCGGCTATAGCTAATGATCAATAAATACTATCACCATGGCGGCATCTGGAAGGTAGGTATTGATTTCCTCATGCTCGCTCTGAAGCATGCTGCAGCTGCTATTGCCACTTCCCAGCAAGCCATGTACAAGCATTGACTAAGAACATGTCTCTAAGGCGCGGTGGGGTGGGGTTGCAGAGTACAAAAGGTTTACCTGATTTACGATAAAAATCACATCGATAGGCTCTGGCCTCCTTTTCTAGCAACGGAATGATTACTGCTGGTAAAGGACGTGA